CGCGAAAGCTTGGGAGCAAAAAACGAGCGTCCCAATTTTGATCAGCAGCATGTTGGAGGGTATGCTATTTTAGCATGAAAAGCATTAGATAAGCATTTATGTGGCTGCTGCAGCTGAGGTTGCTTCCCTGCCTAGAATGTTCACCTTACAAAGAGTTTTACTGGTTGCTTTGAATCAATCTAAGTATATTCTTTGTAGCCAGCATGGAAAGGAAAAGGAAGGGGCAGCTTTGGGACTGCCAGCTGAAATCAAATACTGTGGTTTTGTGGGGCTACGTTTGCCTTGAAGCCTAACGAGCCTGTAAAAAACATTTTTTTATCACAAGTGCCGCACAGGAATCACCAACAGAGAAGGAGTATCTCTTCTGCAATTGCTTTATATTTGTTTTCGTTAAATAATACTGGTTCGCTGAAGACTTTGAAGTAAAGATAAAGCAGCACGGCCTAGAAACCAATTGCAGTCTTTGAAAAGTTAGCGGAAAAGTAACTAGTGTGTGACAGAGTGACCTAGCTTAGTTTTTTACCTGAACATCCCCTCTACTTTTTCTACACAGTGGGAAGTTCAGGCCAGGGTTGCCCTGATGGGATCCCTTTGCTTTGGAAGAGAGAATACTTCAGAGGCTTGTACTATCTTTGCAGTATTCTTGTTTATTTACATATTTACATGTTGAGGAGTATCACATAGTAACAAATATAGGCAGCTCCAGATTTCAACATTTCAGACACCCCCCAGTCCCGATATCAGCTCATTTCAAAAATTTAGTAATTCTGTAAAGCAACCACTTGCTTCCAGCACTCTGCCACCCGGCTTGGAATTACAAGCAAACTTTTTAAAGATACATTGGAGTGTCTTGATCACTGAGAGCAAGTTTGATGTAGCATACAAATAAGAGTGTTTACTTTGCCTGGAGTATTGTGTCTCAGTCTAATTTACTTGACTAGGTTATTGCAAAGATGAATGACATAAGAATTGGAAAGTGCAAAAGTGTTGAAACAACTATCTGTCATCTAGTTGGCAAACTGGCAGATTACTGTAGGAAAAGATTAAAACCTGGGTGTAGCTTGAGCCTTATAAAGACTGAATGCTGTTCAGTTTGGGAAGGAGCTACTGTATATCATTGGGTAGTGGCAATCGCCTCTAAATTTTGTGACTTGTCAGCACAAAAGCCAAAATGGGATGTGCAAACCAAATGCAAATATGGCCGCATAAATGCATCTGTTTTACAAACATAACTACACTCAGTGCTAAATCTCATTTCATAATGTTGTTGCTTCACTTTTTCAAAACAGCTAGGAAAACACTTTTACTAGGAAAATGCCTCTATATTGAATCATAACTAATAATAATTACTAATACTAAAAAGTCTTAATAATGTCTTTACATGTGCAAACCATTCTACATTGCAGAATTTGGAGGATAGGGCCCAAGGACTGTGAGGTAGAGTCAAAGGACGGGTCTAATTTCAGGATTTGTGAAAGTGCTTCCCATAAAAATGCCATTCAGGGAAAATCCAGTTCCAGTGTTCTTTACCTTGCCTTTGATGCTTGCTTGTTTCTCACTGTTTAGCTGTCCACATTAGCAACTATGTGCCACCTTTTCATTCCGTTGCAAAGGTGAGCCAAGGAAACCAGGAGGAAGCATAAAACTGGAAGGTCAGTTCCAGAAAAGCATAGGGAAGATTCTAAAAAGCACTTTGAAGACAAAAAGTAATAGCTGTAGTCTACTTAAAGCTAACATTGCCTGGAACAGCCTGCAGCACGCCCCCATAACCCTCTGGGGGGTTCATCATCCTAACAGAATTGCCTGGGAACAACAACAAAAATCTTGAGTCAGATTGATATAATGACATAGGTGCAGGGAGAGTGGCTTTAACCCTTTGCTCCTGCTATTGTCCTTATTAGAACTGGGGTCCCACATGACTGCTATCTGCAATAGGAGCAAAGCTTGTGGAAAGATTCTTAATAGCAAAACATGCTGTATAGATTATCACACTGTGAAATAATAATATATGTAGTACATAAGAACATAAGAAGAGCCTGTTGAATCAGGCCCATAGCCCATCTAGTCCAGCATCCTTCTCTCACAGTGGCCAACCAGATGCCTGTATGAAGCCTGAAAGCAGGATTCGAACACAAGGGCACTCTTCCCTCCTGTGGCTTTCAGAAGTACTGCTGCCTCCAGCTGTAGTGGCAGTGTACAAACAGTACAAAATAGCTGTAAGCATATACAGCTGATCAGTTATCATGGAACCCCATGTAGGGTATAAGGTAAATGGAATAACCAAAATGTTTATTGATATTTCATAACCCTGGAATTAAAAGTTGACAGGATGCCAGTCTACAGCCTGTTTTGTCCATTGCCTTGTTCAGGAATCACCACATGTTTAGTTAAGAGTGTTGTAGAATCAACACACACATTGAAAAATCAGATAGCACAACTAACCTTACGCTAAGCTATGCAGCTGCGGTGTGCTTATAATAAACAGAGAATCAATAATTCCTATCTAAAATATCTACCCAGGAATATTATATGTATATGCCTGTCATTTTTTATGCTTCCTATCTTTCCAGTGAGTCACTAGTTCTTCTTTTTGGCAAGCCATAAGAAGCCTCTCAGCTTTTTCACAATTTGATGTTTGAGAGTGTTTTCCTTATCTGTGTACTGAAGATTAATTTGGCAAGGTCTCATCCGGGCCGAGCCTGCTATGTCTTTCCAAGAGGTACACCCATGGAAAATGCAAAGCAAAAGTGAAGAGAATGCCTTCAAATATATGCAGAATGCTTTCCCCTCGATGCTTTGTTAACATTGTTTATCTGAATTGTTTGAACTCTGCTTTGTCGCTTTCCAAACATACTCTGTCTACTAGGGTATTCTCCCAGCCATCTGTTGTGTGCAGAAAGCTTTTCATACACAACTGTGTGCCGCAAACAGATATTTGCGTGACAATTCTTTTTGTGTAATCAGGACTGTGGCTCAATGGTAGAGAATCTGTCTTGCATCCAGATGTCCGCAGATTCAATCTCTGGTGTTTTGTTGTGCTTTTATATATGTTGAAAGCTCCCCAGAGTGACTGGGGAGGGCAGGATATAGATTTAAAAAATATTATTTATAATTATTATTTTCTATACCTCAACATGCTTTTGACTTGCAAAAGTGTAAAAGATGTGCAATCTTTAAAAAGTCCAACTTCCACATTTGCATTAAGTTTAGACATCTCTGTAAGTTAATGGGAGTCACCCCAAATTTAAGTTTAGTTTTATTCAGGTCTAAGCTGTTGTTCTTGTTCTTGTTGTCATTGCAGAATTGCTCTGGATGTAAAGAGAAGAGGCCTGCACACAGTCTGTGTACTAACTGCAACAAGTGGCTATGCAGCTTGTGTACAGAAGAGCACGGGCATGGCAAGGAAACAGGAGACAATTTCTTGCCTATACCACTGAAGGGATGTTCAGGTAGAAATGTAATCTCATGCGGTTCTGTTTTTGCCAAACTTCACAGTGAAGTGCCACTTGTCCCCATTAAACAGCTGACTTGTGTCACCTGCCACCTGCACTGCTTCCTTGCTTGCTTGCTTGTTGCCTGCCATTCTGTTGCCACACATTCTGCATGCCAACGACCTTACATTTTTATGTATATAGGAAGAAAATTGCTATTTTCCTTAGAACAAGGAGTGCACCAAGGGAAACTTACATCTGGGGAAAATATTCTTACAAATGCACTAGAATGCAAAGTCAGTCCTCCAGCAATCTCTACCCCATTCCAGAGTCCTCTCAAATTCCTCAGAAACTAAATGCAACATAGATAACTTATTGGAATGTTTTCTCCACAAAGTAGTGGAGATTTGTGGAGAGCATCAGTAGCTTTAGTGTGTAGGTGTTTAAGGTCTTTACTTCTGAAGGAAGCTTCAGAAATCCCCTGGGGATTTTTGCCCACCTTTGTTGAAATGTTTTCTGGAATCAAGGCCCCCAATTCCTGTCTTCAGTATGCAAAATGAGACTGGGAGAATCTAGCTTTTCATTATTTGTTAATTTCATTAATTTAAAATTCATGCAGTGATAAGCATAGAAGAAAGATGCCAGATAACTACATGCCCATCAAAAGAAAACATGGCACCAAAGTTAATGAATACCCTAATAAAATATGCAACACTGCTACATACAAGTGGCAGTTTAATAAAGTATGTAACATGCTGTATTATACATTACATCTAGATGAGGCAAAAGCTGGTTGTGAATTTGAGGAAATGAAGTTGAGCAAGTCTTTGGAATGGGAACTTGGCTGGAAACTTGCCTTAAGAATGTAAATGACTTTCCCCTTAACTGTCCTAGGAGGCAGGCATGCCAGTAACAAAAAAGAAAAAGAAAGAAAAAGAAAAAGACCATATTTATACTCAACTCCCATTAGTGCCTGGTAGTTTTCCTTTCTTTGAAGCTAGTAGTAAGTGATTGAATCAGAACAATCTCACAGGGACTAAGGGATCTGATGCATGTGCATATCAATATTTATTAGGCATGCTTCTTGGGGGAAAGGAAGATCACATACACCTACTGATCTGGGAAAACTTCGGAACTCAACGTATGTGCATTGTAGCCTGAGGATGGATAAATACGTGTAGTAGAAGCTGAAGCATTTCATACAGAGCTTTGAGAACAGAATCAGTTAGTGGTTGAATTAAGCAAATTATACTCAGGATATGTGATCTTCTTTCTGCTTTGCTGTTGACATTGTGCGCCAAAGAAACTCTGGTGTTGTGCTTAAACTAGATTAGGAAAATAAACTGTAAATGCAAATTTGTTTATTTTGCATAAGAGTGCTCAGATTACATGCTCTATTCCAAACTTAATAAAACTACAAGAGAATAGGGGGAGAGCAGTAGAATGACAGTAGGGCAAGAACTTAAGGCAAATGCCATGGCATTTTTGTATACCTCTGGAGTAATTTTGTATTAATCCTGCTTTCCAGGAGCTGATGGGGAAACAAGTGAATTTCCCTTGTTCTGCCCAATGCACAGTCAAGAGACACTCAAACTGTTTTGCGAGACCTGCGACGCCCTTACTTGCCGCTGCTGCCTTCTAACGGAGCACAAGGAACACAGGTACTAAATATTTATTGTCCTTTGTTCTTAGTCTAGTGATACAAGGAAGAGCCTAGTGATTGAAAGGATAAGGTTGCCCCACTTTATTTTTCTATCACAATGTTTCTTCAGCTGTACAGAAGGTCACACATCCCACTATGCAATGTAAACTTCCACTGTTTTCACATGATGCACTTACCACACCATCCTGTCTTACCTAGAGGTAAGACCCAGAACAGAATTGAAACCTTTCTTGGGAAAAAGTCTCATAGTACTCAATGGAGGTAACTTCCAAATTAGTTTGGACAGGATTGGGCTGTGAGCACATTTTGTGTCCCATTTTGAATACTATGAAAGTGGGAAAGAATTTGGAGGAAGAACGGAAAGTATAGGCCAATGCAGGTTTTAGATTAATCTTTGGAGGTTATTTGGAGCAAAGCTGATTTCGACTTCACATATGAAGATTATTGTGGTTTCCTCAGTTCTTCATCAAACACTTATGCAATTAAGTAGACATTTGTGATTATGAAGGGAAGGTGAAGCAGTCTGTGTAGCCGTTACAAATGATATTGTGTTTTTTGATAGTTGTGGAATAAACGTGAGTAATAAAAAAACTAATAATGTGGTTCAGGAAACAGTTTTAGGAGAAGGCAGCTGTCAAATATGTACCCAGATTTGCACACAGAATCTGGTAGTCCAGGCCTTGACTGGGTGGTACATAAATAATGATGCCAAGACAGTAGAAAAGCTGCTGGGGTCTTCTGGAAAGTTTTTGGTTGACTGGACCTTAGGCAGATCCACACCATACATTTAAAACACATCCTATATATGTTTAAAGTGCATAACTTGCCCCAAATAATCCTGGGAAGTGTAGGTGCTGAGAACAGTAGCTCTGTTTGGGGAAAACTTCAGTTCCCAGGGTTCTTTGGGGGAGTCCATGTGTTTTGGATGTGTGTTGAATGTGCTTTAAATGTGTGCTGTAGATCTGCCCTATCTTCAAACATACATATTTAACACTTCCTGACTGCATCATGTGTGACTTCCATATGTGAAGGAGCCATCATGGGTCAAACACCAAAGACAAAGGTGTCTCCTCCTTTCAGGCACTTTGTTGTTCAATGGAGGCAGTTTGCATTTTAGTGGTGTGTCATTTATGTGTTGAGTAGTCAAATCTAGACAGTACAAGTGATGTATGAACCTGCCCACGTTGTCTGGTGCAGGGGTGGGGAACATGTTTTGGCCTGAGGATCACGTTCCCATATGGGCAATCTGTCAGGGGCCACACGCCAGAGGCGCAAATCCTCCTTGCGTTGGATTTGAACCGAAGACTGCTCACTGTTAATGTATGAATTTATTAGTAGAAGAGTTAAAAAAAACACAAAAGGCTTCTCTTCTTTTCCTAGGTTCAGGCATCTCCACGAAGCTTTACAAAACCAGAGAGCCATCCTGGAAAATGTGACGGCTAAAGTGGAAGAGAAGAAAAATGGGGTGCAGGTCTCAGCCAAACAGATTGAAGACAGGTAACTTTCAAGGACACATTCTAGGCAAGGAAGAACAGAGACGGTTTGGCTGGGGACAGGATACAAACACTTTACAAGGAACAGAAAGAGAGCCCGGGTGGCCTGGATGGTTGCATTTGGCCTCAGATCTAATGTTCCCACAATAAGGCAGTCAGTGATGTTTTTGAAGGTGGCCTAAGTAGGGACATAACTGGGGCACATCATTTGAAGGAAAGGGGTGTGGCTTGCCTACTTGCTTCCCCCACCCCCACTTTTCTTTGATTCCATATCTGGAGTGATGAAGGGGAAAGTGTGCAGAACTCTCTGACCCTCTTGGGCAGAAAAGCATGGGGTGTGTGCTTTTGCTGGAGATAAACGCTTCAAAGAGAGGAGATCTGACTACCATGCTGTCTTGTTCTAGGTATTCAGTAACATGTGAAAGAGGTGGCCAGTTTGTCTAGCTGTGTTAGATGGGAGGGCAAACATCCTTTGGCGTTTTGCTAAATTTACAGGCCAGTCTTGTGCAAGTTTGTTCAGAACTATGTTCTGTTCAGTGGATTGCAATCCTAAATTATAGTAGCTTAGAATAATTAGTAGTTTAGAAAGATTGAGGGCACAAGGAGAAGGGGACGACAGAGGACGAGATGGTTGGACAGTGTTCTTGAAGCTACGAACATGAGTTTGACCAAACTGCGGGAGGCAGTGGAAGACAGGAGTGCCTGGCGTGCTCTGGTCCATGGGGTCACGAAGAGTCAGACATGACTAAACGACTAAACAACAACAACAACAGAATAATGGCTAGGTTATTCAGGGTTAGATGCAGGAAAACTCAATTCAAATCTAAGCTCAAGTAATGCTTGAGCATAAAGAATGCAATAATAAGTATGCCCAATAAGGAGTTGCCAATATTACAGCAGTTAGAAAGGTTTTTTTCTGTCTCCAATGATACAAGAATAGCCACACCAATTACCCCCAATGATAAAATGCTGAGAACTTCAGTCTGACAACTTAGTATACATTATAAAGGTTTTGCTATAATCTATTAATAATGAACTAGACAAATATGATTATTGCTTTCTCATGAAACCTGGCAAATTTGCTAAAATTAGGCACTGTTGATTTGTCACCCTGATTCAGCAAAACTCTTTTGGAAAGTCCTACGTTTGAATCCATGAAGCATGTTTTTCAAGTTAGCAGTAGTGCACGCAAGCTTAGTATCATGATATTAGCCAGATCATAGTACTAAGTGCTTTGAAAGATGCAAGCCATATACACTAGTTGGCTTCCTGGTGCAATTGATAATGCATTCACAGTGATGACCATCAAACCTTCTCATATATGGGTACGCATATAAGTTGTCAATGGCTTCTTTTCTACAGATTGTTTGAAGTAAAGCACCTGCAAAGGAAAGTGGAAAATCAGATCAAAATGGCCAAGATGCTCCTGATCAGTGAAATAAATAAGAGAACGAATGTTCTACTTGAACAGCTAGAGGTAAGTAGGGTGGTTCTAATATAGCTAAGGCAGATCATTACGTGCAGACATAAAAACAACAACAATTTATTTATGTGGCGAACTCAAAGGTCAAGAAATGCACGGGGTGAGAAAAACTGAAAGGGGAAGTCCTTCCTCAGCTGATGTGGGAATGTCTGGTAATGAATAGGGTGCTTTGGGAGAAGGGCAGCTAGGCAAGAGATTTGGAAACAGCACAGCTAGATGTCCATGGTGCCTACAGTACCAGTGGGACTGCCTACATCAGGAGTGGGGAACGTTTTTCAGCCTAAGAACTGCATTCTCTCATGGGCAAATCTTCTGGAGGTCACATGCCTGTGGTGAGTGAGGTCAGAGGCAAAAGTGGGAAGGACTAATGGCAACACTGAGCTGAGCAACAAATTGAGTCTTATCTTTCTACAGTAGGCTATATTCCACCCATGCAAAAGCAGAAGTTTTCTGACTTTTGTTAGATGTTTCTGACACCGACACACGTTTCTCCATTTTTCATCCAAGCAAGCAAGCAAGAGGCATCATCACAGTTCCAATGACTATGTTGAGTAGTTTCTTTTGTTTCTGACTCTTAACAGAGAATCACCAGTGAAAAGAAGCAGAAACTGGAACAACAACTTCAGGGCATCGTGGTGTTAAACAGGCAATTTGAACACGTGCAGAACTTTCTGAGCTGGGCAGTGTGCAGTAAAAACAGTGTTCCATTCCTCTTCAGTAAGGAGCTGGTAAGTCTAAATGCTCACTACAATCCCAAAATACAAAAAAAGGAAGGGAAGGGAGAAAAACAAGTCCCCAAAGAAGCTAATGGGGAAAATGCATGAACTCTTCTACTGTACTGGTGGCTCAAGACTTTTAAGAGTACTTCTAGGTCTCCCAGAAGCTGAAGCAAAATGGAGGTTGGCAAGCGACTCCATTAAAAAGTTAATACTGCATTAGTGGGAATCTTTGTGGTGGCTCCTGCTTGGGCAGTGCATTAGTTGAATATGGCCCAATATGTTTAGAAACTTCTGTTTTGAGTGGAAATACACAGATTAAAGTGGAAATGGGACAGTTGAATTATGGGCAAACACATGCAAAAGTGGCATGGTCTGGAAGTTTATTGATTTGCCCATCCCTAGTCCTTATATAGATTGAGACTTCTTTTCATGCTAAAACATGGTGCCAATCACCCACACAACCAGTCATCTGGAAGCATATACTGTATAGTGCATATACAGTGCATAGGATGTTTTCTTGTGATCAGCATGGGACTTTAGTGCTGACCCAGAAGCATAGGAAATGGAACAAGATCCAGTGCCTTTCCCCCCATGCTAACACAGTCATTCACATAATGCCTACCTCATTCATGATTTACAGTAGCTTCCCATTACTTTCATCTAGAGTGGGACAGGATATGGAACTGGTGTGAACTGAAGATACAGCACAATACTGATGCATTTATGTATTTAAGTATGTATTAATTACCTGTCTTCCAAAAAGGCAACCAAGACAATGTAAGGCAACATGAACTAAAAATCTGCATTAATATGTAGGAGCTAAAGCAAATAATGAAAATACAAAAGGTACACATGTGTACTGTAAAGAGTAAATGCCCATAACAAATAATTAGACCCCCTAAACTAGCCCTGTGTAGTGCAGACCTGGCTGTCTTATGAACGCAGACTTACTTCTGAGTAAATATGCATAGGATTCCATTTTGCTGAATCAATAATATTCCAGATGAGGCTAGTGTGAAAGAGAGATCCTATGCTCACAGCTTGCAGGGCAGCAGCTGAAGAAGGAGCAAAAAGGGTTTTCTTGTGTGTGTGTTTCTTTGTGGCTGATTAGCTGCTCTCCCTGTGCAAAGGTCAGAGGGGGCAGGGTTTCTGTTGAGGCAGGTGATTAGCTGTGGGAGGAGCTTATCAGAGCTTGCAGGGCAGCGGCGCGCGCAGTTTGATCCATCTTTTAGATTTAGGGGAGCTAGTCTCAAACGTTTGTTGGGGGAGACCTAGGTTTTTTTTGGGGGGGAGTTATTTGTCCTGTCTTCACGCTTTTTATGATGGAGGACCGCTGTAGCCACCCCCATCGACACGTTCTCAAGATGGAGGGTGAGGGAACAGCTGCAGTCGCCTGCGGTTCCTGCGCAATGTTTGCCATCTTGCCAAAGGTTGCAGGCAGCTTTACCTGCAGCAATTGCATGTTGATTGCCCTATTAGAAGACAAAGTCCAGCAACTGGAGGAACGTGTAGCTACGCTCCAAAGAATTAGAGAGCTGGAGCTCTTCTTGGAAGCAACAGAGCACACCGTCTCCACCAAGGAGGAGACAGGGGACTCCCCTGAGAAGGAGGCTAGTTCACCAACACAGGAGCCAGATATATGGAGAAACGTGACTCAAAGAAGTAGGAGGCCCAGGGTTCGCTCTGATTGTTTAGAAATACACAATACCTTTGAGGTCCTCTCCCCTAGCATGGAAGACGAAGAGCAGACTCCATTTGAGGATCTCTCCCTCATTACAGTCGATCAGGTATATGAAGACGAGCAGCAAAGTCAGTCCTCAGGGAATGTGCAGGCGACCTTGGAACGGACAGCTCACGGAAGAACCCAGACCAGACCTAAGAGGAGGCGTGTAGTGGTGATAGGGGATTCCCTTCTGAGGGGAACAGAAGCAGTGATCTGTGGGCCTGACAAGATGTCTCGGGAAGTGTGCTGTCTCCCCAGGGCTAAGATCCAAGATGTAACTGAACGACTGCAAGGAATCATAAAACCCACTGACAAATACCCCTTCCTCTTGGTTCATGTGGGAACCAATGACACTGCAAGCAATAGCCTCCAGAAGATCAAAAGAGACTACGAGGCTCTGGGCAGGAAATTGAAGCAATTAAATGCACAAATTGTCATCTCATCTCATCTGTCCTCCCAGTTGAACGACGTGGCCCAGGGAGAGAGGGAAAAATAGTGGAAGTGAACAGCTGGCTTCGCAAATGGTGTAATTAGATCACGGACTGCAGTTTCTTGAAGATGGACTTCTGGCAAGCGATGGGCATCACCTCACAACGGTTGGGAGGAATGTTTTTGCCAAAAATCTCAGAAACCTCATCAGGAGGGCTTTAAACTGACTAATGTGGGGGAGGGAGACAGTGCTCCTGAAGGTAGGAGTCTATCAATTGATGAAGATGATCATCCAAATGTCATAGACCAAATGGAGCAAACAGCACGCAGACCTAGTGGTGGGAGGAAAAAATCCTTAAATAAGAGACACGGGGGAATGATTAATGGACTTCAGTGTCTGTACACTAATGCGCAAAGCATGGGAAATAAACAAGATGAGCTTGAGCTCTTGGTACAGCAAACTAAATATGACATAATAGGCATCACTGAAACCTGGTGGGATAAGTCCCACGATTGGAATATAATAATGGAGGGATACAATCTATTTCAGAGATACAGACCAGACAAGAAAGGAGGAGGAGTGGCGTTATATGTCAGGGATGTGTATACCTGTGAGGAGATCCAAGATTTAGAACCTCAAAGCCAAAGTGAGAGCATTTGGGTCAAAAGACCTCATTGTGGGAGTTTACTATAAATCCCCAAGCCAAACGGAGGACATAGATGATGCCTTCCTGGAACAGATGGCCAAGCATGCAAAAGGAAGGGAGATAGTAGTAATGGGGGACTTCAATTACCCGGATATTTGTTGGATGTCAAACTCAGCCAAGAGCATAAGGTCAAACAGATTCCTCACTGGCCTTGCAGACAACTTCATTGTCCAGAAAGTGGGAGAAGCAACAAGAGGAACAGCAATTTTAGATCTGGTCCTAACCAATGTTGATGACCTGGTTAGTGGGGTAGAAGTGGAAGGATCATTAGGCGCGAGTGATCATGCTCTTCTGAAGTTTACTATACAGCGGAAAGGAGCAGCCAAGCATACTAGGATTCAATTTCTTGACTTTAAGAAAGCCGACTTCATAAAACTTAGGGAAGTGCTGGGTGAGATCCCATGGACAGTAATACTAAAAGGAAAGGGAATTCATGATGGCTGGGAGTTTGTTAAGAGGGAGATAGTAAAAGCACAACTTCAGGCAATACCAATGAGACGGAAACATGGAAGGTGCCTAAAGAAGCCAGGGTGGCTATCTAAAGAACTTTTAACTGAGTTAAGATTAAAAAAGGATGTGTACAAAAATGGAAAAGGGGGAAACCACCAAAGAGGAATTCAAACAAATAGCCAGCACGTGTAGACACAAAGTCAGAAAAGCTAAAGCACAGAATGAACTCAGGCTTGCTAGAGAGGTTAAAAGCAACAAAAAGGCTTTTATGGGTATGTTCGTAGCAAAAGGAAGAACAAAGAAACAGTGGGGTCACTCAGAGGAGAAGATGGTGAAATGCAAACAGGGGACACAGAAAGGGCTGAACTCCTCAATGCCTTCTTTGCCTCCGTCTTCTCCAGTAAAGAAAACAATGCCCGACCTGAAGAATTTGGAGCAAATGATTCAGCAGAGGAAACAGCCCAGAATAACTAAGGAGATAGTACAAGAATACTTGGCTAGTCTAGATGTATTAAAGTCTCCAGGGCCAGATGAACTGCGTCCAAGAGTATTAAAAGAACTGGCAGATGTGATCTCAGAACCACTGGCAGTCATCTTTGAGAATTCCTGGAGAACAGGCGAAGTCCCGGCAGACTGGAGGAGGGCAAATGTTGTCCCTATTTTCAAAAAGGGGAAAAGAGAGGACCCAAATAATTACCGCCCAGTCAGTCTGACATCAATACCAGGGAAGATTCTGGAGCAGATCATTAAGCAAACAGTCTGTGAGCACCTAGAAAGGAATGCTGTGATCACCAATAGTCAGCATGGATTTCTGAAAAATAAGTCATGTCAGACTAACCTGATCTTGTTTTTGACAGAATTACAAGCCTGGTAGATGAAGGGAACGCAGTGGATGTAGCCTACCTTGATTTCAGCAAGGCATTTGACAAGGTGCCCCATGATATTCTTGTAAAGAAGCTGGTAAAATGTGGTCTTGACTATGCTACCACTCAGTGGAATTGTAACTGGCTGACTGACCGAACCCAAAGGGTGCTCATCAATGGTTCCTCTTCATCCTGGAGAAGAGTGACTAGTGGGGTGCCACAGGGTTCTGTCTTGGGCCCGGTCTTATTCAACATCTTTATCAACGACTTGGATGATGGACTCAAGGGCATGCTGATCAAATTTGCAGATGACACCAAACTGGGAGGGGTGGCTAACACTCCAGAGGACAGGATCACACTTCAAAACGACCTTGACAGATTAGAGAACTGGGCCAAAACAAACAAGATGAATTTTAACAGGGAGAAATGTAAAGTATTGCACTTGGGCAAAAAAATGAGAGGCACAAATACAAGATGGGTGACACCTGGCTTGAGAGCAGTACATGTGAAAAGGATCTAGGAGTCTTGGTTGACCACAAACTTGACATGAGCCAACAGTGTGACTCGGCAGCTAAAAAGCCAATGCAATTCTGGGCTGCATCAATAGGAGTATAGCATCTAGATCAAGGGAAGTAATAGTGCCACTGTATTCTGCTCTGGTCAGACCTCACCTGGAGTACTGTGTCCAGTTCTGGGCACCACAGTTCAAGAAGGACACTGACAAACTGGAACGTGTCCAGAGGAGGGCAACCAAAATGGTCAAAGGCCTGGAAACGATGCCTTATGAGGAACGGCTAAGGGAGCTGGGCATGTTTAGCCTGGAGAAGAGGAGGTTAAGGGGTGATATGATAGCCATGTTCAAATATATAAAAGGATGTCACATAGAGGAGGGAGAAAGGTTGTTTTCTGCTGCTCCAGAGAAGTGGACACGGAGCAATGGATCCAAACTACAAGAAAGAAGATTCCACCTAAACATTAGGAAGAACTTCCTGACAGTAAGAGCTGTTCAACAGTGGAATTTGCTGCCAAGGAGTGTGGTGGAGTCTCCTTCTTTGGAGGTCTTTAAGCAGAGGCTTGACAACCATATGTCAGGAGTGCTCTGATGGTGTTTCCTGCTTGGCAGGGGGTTGGACTCGATGGCCCTTGTGGTCTCTTCCACCTCTATGATTCTATGATTCTATAATTCTATGGAGTTTCTGGATATGACTTTAGGTTGCTCTCTATGTGCAGTTCTTTATTGGGGAAAGCACATATAAAAATATCGTTTGCAATTATGGGAGAAAGATTGTGAGACAGTAAGGATTTGCTTACACAGTAAAGTATTGTGGATTGTTATCTCAGCCTTGTTTCATACATCAGCAACTTATCAATTATTTATTTTATTTAGAGAATTAATAAACCACTAGATCAAAAGAAATTTCCCAAGTGGTGTACAGATAGAATTATAAATAAAAACATGGATAAAGTCATACACCAGTTAAAAACATGTGTACATAGAATCACCACCATCCTTAAAAACAAAGATAAAAAACAATGACTTTAAAAGAAAAATCATTAACTAAATCATGTGTCTGCCACAACAAAGGTGCTGCCATACTAAAGGAATGACTCCTCACAAATTTGGAACATACATTATGTGGCACTTGCAAAAGTGCCAGTTCTGCAGAAGGATACTTCTTGTTCACTATTTCAGGCTATTTGCTGGTCTCCATAGCAATTTGAGTAACTTTACTCTCAGCTGAAGTTTGCATAGCAGACATTACAATCCTGCTGGTGTCTGTCTGCATGCAAAATCATTTCTCCTGCAGTGATGGACAACTGGCTTAGGAGTCCCTGATTTCATCATGAATTCCTTTCCTCTCATTAGTTCACTTTAGCTAGGAGATTCTTGCCTTGAAAATGTAAGCAAATCGAAAAGCAAAATGAAATAAAAGGATAACTGAATGGGCAAGTAAGCAATAATGGAAAATGGAAATGTAGGGTCATTTAAAGTTATAAGTTATAATCAGCTGTAATTGATAAAGCATTGATCATCATTAACTCTTAACAGTAATTTTTTTATTTGTTACCAGATTGTGTTTCAGATCCAGCGTTTACTAGAAACAAACTGTAATACTGATGCAGGTCCTCCTTGGAAGGTCAGATTCACATGGGACCCATCTTTCTGGACTAAACAACTGTCCAATTTAGGTAAAAAAAGTATACAATGTTAGGTTTTCTTTGAGTTCATTAGATGAAAATATGTGTGTGTGTATTATCAGTATTGATGTTAATTTTTCCACTGCTACCACTGTGACAATTCTTTGTAAGTCACACTTAATATGTAACCCAAAAGCTGCTACAAGGTGAGTCAAAAGCTTTCGCATGCGGAAAAAGGCCAAGTTGTGAGTTATACCCCTATGCGAGTGACATAGGCGCCACTATTTTGCTTTGGTGGCATAAGAATGAAAACACGCTCACACACATGCACATCCATACATAAATAACCATGCCAGAATCAAAGAACTGATTGAAAGTAGGGGGATAATGTTGATGTAGTCCTTTCCATATCTGGAGAAGCATTTTGGGGGGGATGGGACCAAAAGGCAGCCATGTAGTATAGCCCCACCCACCAGCTGAAATAGCTACTGTTGAAATAATCTCACAAACCCTACTGAAATTAAAAGATTGCTTACAGCATAGGTAGGCAAACTAAGGCCTCGGGGCCAGATCTGGCCCAATCGCCGTCTAAATCTGGCCCACGGATGATCCGGGAATCAGTGTGTTTTTCCATTAGTAGAATGTGTGCTTTTATTTAAAATGCATCTCTGGGTTATTTGTGGGGCATAGGAATTTGTTCATTCCCCACCCCCCCAATATAGTCTGGCCCCCCACAAGGTCTGAGGGACAGTGGACCCGGCCCCCTGCTGAAAAAGTTTGCTGACCCCTGGCTTACAGTGTCTTTATGGAAGTGCTACAAATGACAATTTGGGGAAAAGTCATACATTCCCCTTTGGGCTGGCTATTATCTCACCAGTCCTCTACTTTTAACAGGGCTTAAAACAACAACAATTCATCATATGCCTCCATTTGATGCTCAGATGCTAGGAGATAATGCAAAAGGTGCGACTCTGTGGAAGTATTTCTGAAGAAGGTTTCCCCTGAAGGAAGATTTGATAGCCTGTTTCTAGCACATGTTGACCCCCTCCTGGTGGGTGGGTGGGTGTTTTTCTCCATTTTGCTGGTGCATCCTTCCCGTTTTTATTTCTTCCTTGCTTTCTGCAGGCCACTTGTCAATGGAGGGGGGACCAATCCATCACTCAGAAGTGCCATCCTATGGAAGTATGCAAGGAATGCAGCCCTCCTTGTATCACCATCACGGACATCATTCGCCAGCACCACAGCATGACTCTCTCAACACCCAGTCCCACCAGTTTCAGCCTCCTGTTCATTGCCCTACGCCTGTGTGCTGCACCCATTGCCTTAACATCCCCCACATGAATAAAGGACAGCTTCCTCATCAAACCATGAGCCATGCGCATTCCTTCCGACAGCCTCCTGAGATGCAGCACCACCACCAGCAGCAGCATTTCCCTCTGCAGTATAGCCAGCAGCAGCACGAAAGAGAACAGAGGTGCGCCTCTCGACCCGTGAAAACACTGCAGCCTTGTGCCGAGCAGAAATCTCACCAGGAGCACGATAACCTATCTGCCAGGATGGCAAAGCATTCCCAAGAGCAGCCGTTGCAACAGGCAGCACATCCCATTTATCCCCTTCCCCTGCATGATGGTCAGCAAGGCCAGGCTGGACATTCCCAGCAGCTGCCTGCGCAATCTGCTCTGCACAGTCCAACAGTGCAAGTTCAGCTTGGTCCTCTCCAGAAGCTAAAGCTGAATCACTTGCAACAGCAGCAGCAGCAGCAGCAGCAGCAAGAACAGCCACCCTTGCCGCCGCCACCACCATTGTCACCACAGCAATCATCTGCGACAGGTCAGAACGAGAAGGCTCACGAACAGGTGCTACAGCAGAGTTTGGACATCATGCACCACCAGTTTGAACTGGAGGAAATGAAGAAAGATCTGGAGCTTCTCCTCCAGGCTCAGCAACCGAGCCTGCAAGTGAATCAGGCCAAGCAGCCTCAGCATGTTCAGCAAACAATTGTGGGGCAAATAAACTACATTGTGAGGCAGCCGACGGCAGTTCAGCAGCAAAGCCAGGATGAAGCCCAGCAGGTGAGTTTGCTAGGTCTGTTCTTTTCTTCTTTTTTTGGTCTCTAGCTGTTTAAATGCCCTAACCAAAACTTGGTACCAAATAGGTTCCAATGCAGATAGGTTAGCACAGATTTAAAGCCAGTAATTGTTAATAAATGGGCCGACACCTGAGAACTCAGTAGGCCCTTCCAGGCATCACTATTTTTAGGTGGGATTCAATAACACACTGGCAAATTCTGGTTGCCCAATTAAAGTTGATTTGGAGCTCTTCTGCAAAAGATTGGACTTTTTGCAGTAAAGAAAGTGATGAGGAAATGCACTGGGGTGTGTGAGAACACTTGCTTTGACACAGCGTTATCTAACTTCACTGCAAACAAATCTGATTGAATGTTAACTAATGGGCAAAGTCAACTAATCTCCCTGCAAACAAATTAGGAGGGTGGCTCAGTCTACAGATCATCTGGAAATGATCCCTGTGTGTACAAATAAAATAAGGGTGTTCCATCAAAAGGATTTTTCATATTACTACTCATTTCCTAAACTGATCTTGGTGCTATTAATGAATCTGTGCTGATTATTCCCTTATCATAGGTTGGTGAAGATTCCACTGATTCAGAAGGTCAAAAACCAGCACTTCCTCTTGATAGAAACATGATTCCACCAATGTCACAGCCATTGGAAGATGCTATTGCCAGTATTCACTCCCCAGAGAGTACTTTGTTGAATCCAGTCAGAAAGGTACACAGAGCTTCTTCTTTTCTTTTTTTAAACATAAGAGAAAATGTTTCGGTAGCTCTATACGGCTTCTTTGAAGACTACTTCTCTCTTTCAGCACTTTGACAAGAATGAAGGTCAAGAGTGAAATTTCATCTTTGTAGGGGAGATTCTTCTCTGTAGAAAGCCATATCCTTGGAACACAGTGAATGTGTCCATACGAGTGCTTAAATTGCCCTTGAGACTCTCATGTTATTTCTATACACGTTTCATAGTTGTTAATATAGAAAAGAATAGAAGAAAGGCATTTGTAATGCAAATGTACATTTTTACATTTTGGGGCAATATACATTGTACGTTTGCACTACAAACTGATTGAAAAATCACATAAAGCCTTGAGTGGAAATTTCGATGGGAGTTTTTCATGAATTCTGATTCGTTGATCTCCAGGCAATGCCGCAAAAGACATATTTTTAGGGCTGCTTTGTTCCTGACATTTCTTTTCTACACAAGGATGGAGGGAAATCCCAGTGTTCACAATTATTTGAACACCCTATTTAGGTGTTCAAAAACAAGCAGCAATAATTGCATGATGGAGGGAATAGGGGGAATTCACTCAGTTCATCCACAGTCTTGTTCCTTGCATTGGCCTCCTCTTAATGCTGTCTTAATGCTGGGGCAGCCTGTCAAATGCTCATAGGTAGTTGGAGCCCAAGGGTGGCAGTTATGTATTTGTTTGAACATTTATAATCCACACTTTCATAAAATATATAAAGGTGGCTCAGAGCATATACAACACAATAATGTCAGTCTATAAATATCTATAAAACACAATAAAAAACTTCAGTGAAACATCAGTAGATACTGGTTGGCTAAAAAGATAAATTCATATTGTGAAGACCTGTCTAAACAGTACAGTTTTCAAACCTCTAAAAGAAGATAGTGACAGTTCCTCCCGAACCTCTACACAGCACAGGGCCTGCCAAGCTAAGGGCTCAATTCCTAGTGAAGGCTCCAGGGCATGGGGAACCACCAGAAGTACTTCATAAGAGATCAGATGGTGCTTTGGGCACGAGTTGTTTAGGGCTTTGTCAGTTAACACGTGTGTAGGATCATGGGAGGTTGCACATATGGCAAAGGTGAGCAACCTGTGGCCTACCTAAGTTCATTCAGGTGCCACAGAAGGATAATGGGTGGCAAAGAGAGAGAGAAAAAGAGTGATAGAGGTAGCACCCCTCTCACTTTTCACTCTGGCCTTGCATACTGCTATCATCTAGCCTCCGACAAATTACCTCAGAGGTAAATTAATTGATATTGTTATAATTTGGCTATTATTGGGTAAATATTGGAAAACTAATTAAAATTTATTTGGCCCAACCCCCCCCCAAACCCAGAGGTAATGTGGCCCTTAGCAGAAGAAAGGTTCCTATCCCCAACATTAGCAATAGCTCAGTGGTAGAGCACATGATTTGCATGCAGGCAGTTACAGGTTGTGTTTGTAGGTTATCCAGTTAAGAGGATGAGCTGTAGGTGATAGGAAAGACCTCTGCCTGAGACTTTGGAAAGCTACTGCCAGTCAGTGTACATAATACTAGTCTACTCTAGATGGACCTTGTGTAAGCCAGCTTTCTAAGGCCCAGGCACATGGCTTGTTATGGCAGGTACCTCTGAGGTTCCTCTGCAGCAGGTAAACAAACCTGCTGAGGAGGGCAACTCAGATGCAAGTTAACCCCTCTTCCTTCAATCTCAGGTGGTGGTCCCAATAACCATACAGGTAAAACAGACATACTTAGGATCTTCTGTATGCATATTTAGATTTTCTAAATTTAAAAAGGAACATTTCTTGATACCCAAAAGGGTTTTGTTTTCTGAGAACAGAGAGAGAGAAATAAACTCAGTACATATTGCTGCTACTACCCAGTGTGATGTCTTGACTGTAGCTTCATGTATTACAGACTGGAAGCATGCTTCATCACATAGGCAATATTAAATACTGAAAATGTGCTTCCTTAAGTTGGTAGCTTTTGACCACCTCCTCTGAGGACCTTTTGCCCAACAGTCACTTGATCTGGTCACTTCTGGTCAGTAAGAAATGCTTCCAAAATGATAAGACAAGGTTATTTTTACAAAAGTTGACAATTCTTCTTTTTAGGACATAAATGACTAGATAGATGTGAATAGGCATGCAGCTAGTAAATATTTTAGTTGGCCAGTAACTTCAGTGGAGTTGTTTAGTGGAATAATAGTGCCTTTCTTTCTCTGAAGCTATACTATATATCTATATATTTTGGCCTGGCTAGTTCCTGAATGGAACACTCTTCAGCCTCCCATATACACAACCATGAATCCTATGGAAAAAGAGCAGGATACAAATAAACACAAATAAACAGCCCCATCTACTTTGACCTCAAGAGCCTTGTCTTGCTATAGTGTCACAGCACTGTCATGGCTTGGTGCCAAAATTAGGCAAGTGCTGATTGAAGAAGTGATGTAGGGGTTGTAACTATAATGGGGGAAAGACCAAATTTCCTTTTGGTTCAAAGTAAAAGACAGGTTGTATCTTTGAGGATAATTTAACTTTCACGTTACATGATCATTTTGCTTGTACATAACTGTTTAGTTGTTTCTCCACAATTTCCAGGAACTTATGTACGGGTATTTTGATTAAATGGACTGTAACATGAGTCATAAGATGCAATGCCATTTGCATAATCCACATGCCATTTATATGAGTTCTAATTGTTTGATGTCTACCGTAGCTAAGGCCTGTTTGCTTAGGCTGCATTTAAGAACAAATGCATTGTATAGGCTAGCATTCTGTATCTGATATTGGCCAATCATCTGCCTAGAAACTGAAATGAAGGATAAAGATAACTGGGCATTCCCTGTTCCCAACTCTGAACCACCAATTTACAAGGGGATTAATTTTAGCTATGATGGCTGATACAGTCATACCTCGGGTTACAGACACTTCAGGTTGTGCGTTTTTGGGTTGCGCACCGCGCCAAACCCAGAAGTACCGGAACGGGTTACTTCTGGGTTTCACACTTTGCGCATGTGCAAAAGCGCTGAATCATGACCCGCGTGTGCGCAGATGCGGCACTGTGAGTTGCAAACGCTGCGGGTTGCGAACGTGCCTCCCGCACGGATCATGTTCGCAACCCGAGCGTCCACTGTATTTGAATAATTTTAGTACAAGTACCTTCTATTTAAAAATTTGGAAGTCCTTGCTTAGCCAAAGCCAAAAAAACCAGAATTTTTTATACCAGATTGCAGACAGTCCCAAAGTTCTTCAGAGTTTTTGGAGCAGCTTGCAAGGTGGTATAGGGGCTATAGCCAGAAGGGATCACGTGAGGAGCCTTATGATGTGTATGGTAACTCTGTATGGTCCCTTGGATCCAGCCAGGCTACAGTCTTTTGTCAGAGAAACCAGGCAATCAGTAGAATAAGAAGGTTGTATACAAATTACACATATTTGCATAAAATTCTGATAGCAAGGCCTTTGAGACTTCTGTGACTACTTTGGAGTAGTTAGATATTGTTTGTGGGTGGAAGAAAAGATGGATGATTGAAACAGGGAAAGGACTCGGCTGTAACTGCCTCTTACTGCTCAATATCCTTAATCAATCAGGACTCGAAGAACTTTACAGCTGTCTTAACTGACAGAATGGACAACATTATCACCCAGTACATCCACTCTGATCAAATGGAATTCATCCCATGATGACACCTGGTGGACAAAGTGTTACATGGGCTAGATGTTGCATACAAGGCAAGACACATTTTGAACATCTTATCCCCCAACACTGAGAAAGCATTTGATTGTATCGAATGGCTATGCCTCAAGTATTTCCTTCTCGAGATGATTTCCAGTCCTAATTCCTCCAGGGACATTCAGGCATTATCAACATCCTTAGGGGCTGTGTCTGTAGACAACCTGGACTTCTATCATACTCATCTCAAAAGAGAACTAGATTTGGCTGTCTGCTGCGTCTGTTGCTATATATCCTGACAATGGAATCCTTAGCCTGTGCTGTGTGGATGAACAAAATGATCCAAGTGTAACTAAACACAGCATAAAGCGGTGATTATCTCTGATAATATCTCAGCAGCTCAAATTACATCTCGTAACCAGTGTGAGCTTGACACATTTGAAAAAGCCAACTGTCAAAAGTCTGATATGATAAATATAAACTTGACCTATAAAATTATTTTGTGCAGCCCACTAAGCCATGGCATCACCTTGGGATCTTTCTGTCATCCTTCTGTCTACCTATTATACATTCAACTACCAACCACTTTCTAACCAGCTTTACAAATGCATGCAAAAATGGTATTCTGACTTCTTATGGCTCGCCAGGACAGCGGTTGTGTGAATGAATGAATGTCTAGAATCCTTCCTCCCTCCCCAAACAATTGCACTTTATCTGTCACCACCAAGTCTTAAGCATAAACCATGACTGAAGCAATTTCACATTTAATAGACCTATGGTTAAAAAAAGTTTGACAGTTCCAGCCCTGGACTTTATATTCTGCTGCAGCTCTCCCATATGGTTGCATCATCAGTGGACACAAATACAACATGCTACCAGAAACTATACACAGGATGTCTTGATTTGGAATGATCACAGGGATCGGCCTTGGTTCATACTTAGGCATCTCTTCCTTTAAGAATGCTCTGTTCATTGGGTCTGTTGAAGAGAGAATCACATTTTTGCCTGATCGTCTTTTTCTGTATCATTCTGATTTAATCAATTCAAACAGCCTTATGGACTTCTCTTCCTGGAAAACAACAAAGATACATTGGATGACAGACTTAACATGTTGAAGAAAACTCCAGGGAACATGAAAAGAAAGTTGATTCACCATAGCTTTCTGTACAGTGGTGCAATTAAATCATTTTGGATCCTAGACTTAATTATCTTATGGGGGTGGGATCATTTTAAATGATAATATGCATTACTTCACTTGCTGCATTTGCGGGTCTTCCTGTTCCTTCTGCTGAGTGGGGCCCTAATGGCACCACTATTCCAACATGTCACTCTGCAAATATGCTACTTTCTCAGACAACCATAATTCAAGCAGAATGCTGGAATCTCATTAGCATCATTAGAATCCTATTTAAATGTCACAGTGCTCTCCTCCTTAGCTCTTACCATCTACCTGTTCCTTCTGACCCTTCTTCTGAAGGACATGCTTTTGTAGTTGGAGGTTTGTAAAGGATCTGCCCAGAACTTTAGATTGGCAAGGCACCTGTGCCTCATTTTTGTAGCATGAATATAAAGAAAACTCAGTTTAAAGATCTTAACAGAAAGTGTGTAACTGCAGCAAAGTTCCACTTAATCCATCTGAGCTATAGTCAGTTCGTCTAGTATGGCTGTGTCCAAACTAGGACCTTTAAACACATTTTGTGGTTGCTCAACTCTTCTGCTAATTAATTGCAGAATTCTTTCAGGAGTTTATCCATTCTCAAGCAAATGATGACATTATAACTATACTTCTTAACAACACAATTGTGGTTTTCTCTGCAAAGAGTAGCTGAAGCAACAGAACTATCTGAGAAGTGATGATTATGTGTAAACTTTGTCAATAGATGCTGCAGGCTAGAGATAGAGTCTAGAAAAAGAAGATTGTTGTTCTTATGGTGTATGTGCCAGATAGCCATCTTACTGTTACCAAATGCAAAAACATTTACATCCCTCTCCTCTCTAATGTTTTGGCTGCTTGCACCTCATTTTTCAGTTTGCCAACTTAGCTTGACAAACATCCTCTTTTCTTAGAGTTCATTGATTGTGAATTTGACAGTCATTTCCACACACACACACCCCGCATCCTTGTACTGTAAATGTGCCTTAGTTTCAAGTTGCTTCTGTGTTTTTCTCCTTTCTTGTGTTGTGTGTCTCTTGTATATTTATCTAATATTTTTGAAAACTTTTACAAATAAAATTCATATTAGAAAAGCTCTAACAGACCAATAAAGCATGTGATAAGTGGGGCTACTGTAGACTCAGACATCCTGATGTAGACTCAATGCTGTTTCAGACAGTTACTGAAGACTTGCCACAAATGCTTTTGCTTAATGCATGATGACATGACAGTTACTTTTCTTGAGAACTCTGATCAAACCCATCCTCATCCAGTAGATGGGGCTATAGTCATGCTGCTTTTTGCCCCCCTTTTAAAATCATCATCAACAGCTGTGTCATCTGGTTCAGGGGTCAGGTAGCAAAGGGGTGCACAGGCAGAGAGGGAGTGATGTTGCACAGATGCCACATAAAAGTTGCCAGTAATACTCGGCAAATAAACTTTATAGCAACATATGCACTCTATGGGAGAAGCATCACATCTAATTGTGCACACACCCAGCGTTCAAAGCACTCCTCCTAAGAACCTTGGGAATGGTAGTATGTTAAGGCTGCTGGGAACTGTAGCCCTTTGAACTACTGTTCCCAATATCTTTCTCTCTTTCTTGCAGGGGTGATGGTGGGGATGTGCTTCAAATTTATGGTGTGTCAAGTACAGAATGTTGTACTTCTTTGAGTGCACATTAAATGCAATATTCCTACAACAAAAGCACTACTCTGGAGTCAAATCTGTGGACCGCATGCAAAATATATAGCAGGTGTGGCTAACTCCCAGCCCTGTGGCCTGATCTACATTCTCCATTTTTTTCTGCCCCCCTCCAAGAACCCATCAATTTGGACAGTGTCAAAAAATGGGGGGGGGGATATATAAAGTAGACACATAGCATGGATAAGTTTAAACCTCTTGGTCTAGCCCAGCAGGTTGAAGATAGAAATGGCCCCTTCCCAGTCACTGGCTCAATCATTTGATGAGCAGGGAGAGAGTGAAACAGAAGTTGGTTAAAGAAAAGTTAGTTAAGAAGTTAGTTAAAGAAAAATGCTATTCTGTACTCCCCCTCCCAATCAGTTCTGCATTCCTAATTAAGTCTTTCTGGAAACTTGTGTTAACTAGCCACATTTGAATAAATGCACATACATTTCAATTGAAGATTGTCATTTTTTAAAAGGAGTTGCTGTACACTCATTCAGAGCAATGATCCTCATACTACACGTACACTAGATTATATTATGAATATCATAAATTCTCTGGGAGAGAGTTGCCCCACTCCCAAACAGCTCAGATCCTAAAACTGGGGATGCCAGGATTGAACCTTAGACTTGAGCATCAAATATATGCTCTGCATCTCATTTTTGTGTTCTAGTTTGTTTTTAGTTTATAGTGCTGAATTATGATATTTCACCTCAGGACTAGGAGAATAGAGAGGAAATTAAGATGAGATATTAATACACAGTAAAGTTATAATTGTGTGGGACTTTATCATCATAATCATCGTCATTATTTCCTGAACATTAGCCGCTGAAAATCCCACACAGACCTCCTCTCCTTTCTGGGTCTTTAATGTTGGGATTCTTATATCTATCTCCAGGTTCCAGAAATCTACAAACTGGTAAAACAAGAGGTGATATCCATGACATTCCAACCATTAGGCTTTTTTTTTCATGGCATAACCGTGGGTGTCTAAATTTCTGCATTGATTGATTGTCATGGTAATTTATGATCTAAGCTTAAGCTCCCTGCACTGCCAAATATGACTGACTGCTACATCAGCATAAGGTGACAACATTTTCTGCTTACTGCAAAAGCAGCCTGCTGGTACTGACCTAGGAATTCCACTGAATACCATTGATTCTGTGCCCTATTGTAGTCAGGACCATATACTGGGGAGGGAACTAGTGTCCAGACTCCATCTTTAATCCAGATGCCCTCTCTCAATCTGTGTCCAAGAGTTTACCCCTGCAGAATCAAAGTTTCTAGGTTACGGTATCCAACTCCACAACTTTATGCCTAGTAACGAACTTTTATATTCCTGGTTTTGTGTTTGTACTGGCAGCTGGCCTGAACTTTGCAAAAGCCATGCCACCTAAATGTCCAAGGCACTGGCATTAAGCTGGTGCTGCCCAAACGTTACTGTGCAGGTGCAGGGAAAAGCCCAATATAAGTGCTTAGGATCTGATCCTTTGGACCCTGATCATCTTGGGGATTCTGGAGGACTGGATTTGCTGAACTTAAGCCATTCTGGTGGTAATCAGAACATTGTATAGGAAAGGGTGGTGGCTTAGTGGTAGAGCACGCTGAGAGTTCACAGTTTAATCCTCATCAGCTCCAGGTACAGCTGGAACATTTACCTGGCTTTTAACACCCAGCCATCTTTCCTACCCTTCTCACCCAGTGAAGAGTTTGGTAGAACTTGAAAGCTTGCTTACTATTTTATGCCATTTTGACTGGCCTAATACAGATATTGCCATGCTGTGGATTTTGCAGTATTTCACAGTGTGTTTTAGATTAGCAAAGCTTATTTTTGTGACCTGAAAAGGAAGATAAATAATACATGATGCTGCTTGTTCGGCTGGCTGTTTCTGCTGCTTGCACCGTAAAGCCGGCTCCATTTTCTTGTGATGCATTTTTTAAAAACAGAAAATAGAGGTACTCCCCCACCCCAAACTGGGGTGTTGGTCAGGGACGCTCTACTTAAGAGCCAAGCAAAAGGAATATATGTGTAGGCTATTGGTGTACTCTGAGTTAAATTTGAGCCAACTGGATTTGAATTAGTGCATTTCTTTAACCTTGCAGCATAATGAGCTGCCAGGGGGATTGCTCCACTTAACAGCAGCCTTCGTTACTTTCCAGTCCTTTGCTCTCAGTAATTTCTCCACAATCGCAAAGAATCTGTGTAGGTTTAACAAATCCTAAGCCAAGACTTTATTGAAGGTAGGCATTTTCACCTCCAACTTTCTTTGTGGTTCATAATGCATGTTTGCATGGAGCCGTATAAAAATATGCTCTTAATTTTTAACTCTGATTTTGGGCACATTATCTTTTTACTATTGTAAGTAGAGCTGCTGTTCCGCCCCCCCCCCACCTTCTTCCTGTGCCTTTAATAGCAGCCTGACATGCAGAAAGCTTGAAGATTAAGCTTTCCCTGTCACTTATCTTCATGCTAGGAACAGCATTTGCCAGCTAAATGTCTGCATATGAGGCTGCTATTAAAGGTATGCAGTAAGGCCGATGGAAAAGGGGGCTGAAATTTGTGTGATATAAGTGATAATGGTTAAAAAACAACTTTTGACATTAAGAGCACCATTACTGGACAGCTGCTGTTGCAATTAATGTTATAACGTGTCAGGAGCTGTACACAATTGAGATTGTGCTTTTTCAAAGTTTAAGGAAAACATGGGGATTGATTGATTGATTGATTTTTTGAAAATGAAGGGAATGGGCAAAAGCAAGCAGAGTGCGAAGATTTGTAATGGCACAAATGGACTTGTTTGTAACTTTATATATTAAAATGTTGGTACCGAAAGGCTTTCCAACAGCAGCAATCACACTGTGACAGTGTATATGATGAATGTAGCATTTGTTGTGTTCAAGGAATGAAACATTAAAGCTTTTTAGAGAATTCTGATCCATTAATAATAAAAAAAGAAACACCACATATTATCCAGTACTGTAGAAATCACTAGGGGAGATGAGGTCCCCCACCCACCGCCCGCTAATGCCAAAAGGAATGATTATTTTAGGGAGAGAATTAATAGGATCTTAATGAGCCTTACTCCCAGCGCATTGTTCACTTCACACTTGACAGCAGCTTTGTGGATCACAGTGTAGAATGTGTCAACTGCTTACCAGGAGCCTTAATACACACACACACACTTTTTTTTAAAGTGAAAGATCATAATGTTTCCTCATTATTAAAATAACCACAGAATTAACTTTTGCCTCCAGGGAGAGACAGATGGCAGTTTGATGGCCTCATTTTTCCTTTCTTTCCTTTTTAGTAAGATTAATGTTTTATACTGACTGATGCAATCTATTATACTCTCTTCATACACTTCCTGTAACTGGAGCAGTAATAAGGGAAAATAGAAGCCCTCTTCTCTGTAAAACTTAATCTCTTTAAAGGTATTAGTTTCAAATACATCAGGTGATTTTTGCAAAGACCTGTGCTTTGTAGCTCTGAAGTCTGAAGTTACCAGGAGTCTTTCCATAGAGTCTTTGGGAATAAGATCAGACCAGTCTATGTGAATGGCTCAATCATGAGATAGCAATAAGCATGGGATCTCTGGATACTACTCCAAACTTTGCTGGCACCCTCAATCTTTGGCAACCAGAAGCTCTAGCCTTCTGACTCCAGAAATATGGAATCCAGACACTGTGTTTCAACAGTAAGAAAAGAGCAATCTGCATTGGGTTCAGAAGCACTCTTCTTTCCTGGTAGCTTGCAAGGAAAAACCAGGCCTTTCTATTAGAATGAAATGGGAAATTTGTGGAATAACCAGCCTCATATAACCAACATGCATATGTCTAATTAAAGCATGAAGGGGTTAAGACCATAGAGTAAGCTGTCCTGCCAGGTTTAGCTCTATGGACTTTTATTGCCTTTGCAACTTTTCTGACTGATGTGAAGAAAAGCACATGAATCTGACCTTTGAAGAGTTTGTAAGTAAATCAGTTTTTAACTTGCCAAACTTGTGGTCCTTTCCTATGCCAGAGGAAGAAAGAATTTTTGTAACTCACTTGGAAGGGTATAAAGGACTAACAGCCTATATTTCCACGTTTTACTTTGCTGCATATTTTGTGACTTTAAAACTCTGCTGGGGATCTGTCTCCAAAGAGTACTTGGCCCAAACTTGGATCTTGGCACCCAAGAATTCATCTATCTATCTGTCTGTCTGTCTATCTGTCTATATCACCAACAAAATTAAAGCTGAAGGCTCCAAGACTAATCTCTGAATCTGGGGTTTGATTACCATAGAGTTGATTACCATAGAGCACCATAGCATAGAATCATATAATTGTAGAGTTGGGACTCTGAGAGTCATCTAGTCCAACCCTGTGCAACACAGGAATCCTGCCCACAGCAGTCCATGAGTGAACATGCAGTGTTTTGTGTGGAAATAGGAACACAGATCCGGAAGGTTGTGGAATAGGTAAAATGTAATTGTGAAAGACTTGTAGGACTGACAGCATAAGCTTCCACAAAATACAAAGAAAGTGATGAAATTAGGCACTGAATTAGGCACTTAATGTCCACGACAGTATGGATGAGCCTTTATGTCCACATCAAAAAAATTAGATCTGCATGCACATCAACCTACACATTGTCTTCTTTTTCAGCGGTCAGCTTCACTGAACATTGTGGGCTTTTCAAATGCTTTAGACATGGAGTTGTCTTCAGCAAGGGTATCCAAGTCAGTTGATTCACAGGCAAAAGAAATATCCACTGTAACATCCGGTCAGCCCCAAAGTATGCCATATACCTCTGACGTGCAGCCTGAAGTTTTGCCCAGTTACAGCCTGGCTTTGGATAGAAGTACAAATGACCTGAACTCTGATGCTCTTAGCCACTTAGCAACCGGTGGTGTGCCCCTGAGGAGCGCAGTGTGCAAGGTAAGGACTGTTGATTCTGTGGGACAACCAGCCTCATATAAGCAATATGCTTAAGTCTAATGAATGCAAAAAGGGTTTGAGACCATAAAGTCCTGCCGGGCTTAGCTCACCTTGGGAGGAACTAAGTAATCATGCCTTTGTTCCCTTTCAATCTACCTGAGAAGCTCAGTGTAAAGAGATTTGAGCTGCTTGCTCTAGCACAGACTGCATGGCTGACCTGGAGACCCCTATTTCCCTCACAGAACTGCAATTCCTAGTGTTCCCTGTGGAAAGAGATATTGTTAAACTTCTCTGGGTCTTATAGCACCCTTAACAAACTACAGCTGCCAGAACACTTCAGAGGAACCCATGACTGTCTAAAGTGGCAAGATAGTGTTTTAAATGTATGGTACAAACGTGACTTATGCATATATATTGCATGCTGCCTGGGCTAAATCTCTGGCATGGATTCAGAGAACCGTGGGACTACTAGCTCCAAAGGAGCTACTAGCCTGAGGGGACTTGTGTTTATTTAACAACCTCTCTTCATGTCACATACAAACTCATGAAATTGCATGTGCCTCTTCTCAAAACCTTGTTTGCAATATGGCATGTGGATCGGTGGTTCAAAGGTTCTGTTGAACATGCCTAAAATAGCTTTTTGGATCCCAGCCTCTGTGTGGAAATAAGAGTGCGACAAAGCAACAATATTCAACAATGTAATTCTTTTCTTGAGATTGATGTAAGTTTGTATATTTCAATCTTTTTTTTCCTCACCCCACCTTTTTTTTTGCAAGCTGGAGAATGAAGAATTCAGCTCCATGACTTACCCTCTTGGAAGTGATTCTGTTGCTTCTCAGTCCAAAGACATCAGTGAGTTATCTCTTCCCATGCAAAATATTCTGGAAGAGCCTATTAATCTTTCGGTGAAGAAGACGCAGCCATGTGCCTCCCCTCCCATACTTATCAGCAATGCTTCCTGCATGCAGCCAGTTACTCTACAACCAAAACATATTGAAGGTATGATGTTTTTCTTTTATCTTCCTTTGGCTTTTAAAATCCGTTCCACTGCATAGTGTGGTCATTTCAGGGTTGCTGTTGCTGCAATTAGCTTGTGTGGCACCTTCAAGACTTCCACATTTATTATGGCACAAGCTTTCGTAGACTACAGTCTGTTTAATCAGATGCATGAAATGTTATCCTAACTTGGCATTATGGCCTGTGTGTGGAAATACGTAGATGAGATCAGAGGGAAATGAAATGCAAAAAGACAATTTCATTCCCGTATGACCTCACTCCCATATGTGCCCCCTCATACGTTTATATGGTTACAAATTTAAGATTACACTTCATGCTTCCACAAGGGCTTATGCAATAATAAATCTGTTAATGTTTAAGGTTCCTTCTGGTTTTTGTAGTAATTTTTTTGCTGCAACAGACATAACACAGCTCCTTCTGGAAGTAATTCATTCTGTTGCCAAGCTGAATCACAAAACTGACTACAGTTTCCTTACCTGTTCTCTTTGGCATCCACAATACTTGCCCATGTTAACAGAGAGTGACCTGTTGAGACCTTTTGAGAAATCTGGGGGTGGGGGGAGACATTGGCTCCTAAAGGAAACCATGAAATGGAGAAACACCAAGCTGCTCTCTGCCCTGCCAGCATAAGGGAGACAGAGCTTTGGATCTGACAGTTCATCTCTCTGGGATTCTCCCTCCTCCAGCTCTTTTTGGTTCTTCAGTTAATATAGTACAAAATAGTGGTGTGCATCAGATTCAGTGAATCCTGCGCTCCAAGGTGGGATGCCTTGTAGACATTTGGGGCTTGTCAGAAGTGAACTAGGATTTCTACAAGGCAGCATGAATCAAAGCTGAGATCCCTGAAGCACTTCGTGGTACCTTTGCACTCTGCCCAGCAACCCCAAATCTCTTTTGTGCCAGGCTGGTGGACTTCTGGATTGGGTTGAGGTGTCTCTCTGGCAGACTCTGTTGGTCTCCCGCTAGCCTGTGCTTCCAAAGTAACACCAGTATCACTCTGCTGCTGTGGTGTTCCTCCTTCTGCCTGCCAAATGTGGGGCAGAAGTGCTGCCAGTGGAAAACAGGACTCTCCATGGGACAGAGCATGCTGGAGACAGCCTGAGATCTTGCATTGACTCCTCTTTCATCATATGGTGGCTTGAGAGGGAGTTTGGATTGCCTCCGTAGTCATTAAAAATGTTGCTGGCAAGTGTCTGCTTAAAGCAAAATTAATAAGCTTCCCAACGCCAGGATGGGATGATAGGAAAGAACAATCAACAGAGTGAGGACAGAGAAACAGCTCCTGTCATAACTAACAGGTCTAGTAGAGATAATGATTTTAGTGTTGTTCAATCCTGGTGCTTTGGGGAAGGGAGCAGCTTTGCAGAACCAAAGCATATGGAATGGGAATGTGGGGAGTAAGAGGGATACCTCTCTTGTGTCTGCAGTTTTCAGACCAGTTGCCAACATACCACTAGGAGTAATTCTTTTTTCACCTACTCCAAAGCCATGACGAGCAGCAAAGTCAGTCCTCAGGGAATGTGCAGGCAACCTCGGAATGGACAGCTCACGGAAGAACCCCGACCAGACCTAAGAGGAGGCGTATAGTGGTGATAGGGGATTCCCTACTGAGGGGAACAGAAGCAGTGATCTGTGGGCCTGACAAGATGTCTCGGGAAGTGTGCTGTCTCCCCGGGGCTAATATCCAAGATGTAACTGAACGACTGCAAGGAATCATAAAACCTACTGACAAATACCCCTTCCTCTTGGTTCATGTGGGAACCAATGACACTGCAAGCAATCGCTTCCAGAAGATCAAAAGAGACTACGAGGCTCTGGGCAGGAAATTGAAGCAATTAAATGCACAAATTGTCATCTCATCTGTCCTCCCAGTTGAACGACGTGGCCCAGGGAGAGAGGGAAAAATAGTGGAAGTGAACAGCTGGCTTCGCAAATGGTGTAAACAGGAACGGTTTGGATTCTTAGATCACGGACTGCAGTTTCTTGAAGATGGACTTCTGGAAAGCGATGGGCTGCATCTCACAATGGTTGGGAGGAATGTTTTTGCCAAAAATCTCAGAAACCTCATCAGGAGGGCTTTAAACTGACTAATGTGGGGGAGGGAGACAGTGCTCCTGAAGGTAGGAGTCTATCAATTGATGAAGATGATCATCCAAATGTCATAGACCAAATGGAGCAAGGATGTCACATAGAGGAGGGAGAAAGGTTGTTTTCTGCTGCTCCAGAGAAGCAGACACGGAGCAATGGATCCAAACTACAAGAAAGAAGATTCCACCTAAACATTAGGAAGAACTTCCTGACAGTAAGAGCTGTTCGACAGTGGAATTTGCTGCCAAGGAGTGTGGTGGAGTCTCCTTCTTTGGAGGTCTTTAAGCAGAGGCTTGACAACCATATGTCAGGAGTGCTTGGCAGGGGGTTGGACTCGATGGCCCTTGTGGTCTCTTCCAACTCTTCCAACTCTATGATTCTATGATTCTATAATAGGTGCTCTTTCAGGTAAACCACTGCAGCTGTCCTTTAAAAAAAAACCTGGCATAATCCATGCCCTCAGAAGAGGTGACCTTGCAGGCAAGTTATATATGGTTCTTCAGAAAGAAAAAAATAAGAATTTAGAGGGGCAACTGTACATGCAGATTTGACTGTAGTCAAAAGCGGGGGGCGGGGGGGCGGGGGGCGGGTCACAGCCATTTTATATTTCCTATTAGTGAAGGGAGAGGAGAGAAAGCCAAACCAGGCAGCCTTCAAATTGGGATCTTGGGGGCATAAGTGGGCTGTTTTACAAAATCCCGAATAGGGGTCTGAACAGAATGTTGGGTTTAGTGCATACCAATACAAAGTTGTTCAAAGGAGGCCATGCATTCCAAATATAACTTCCCCTTAGGATAAGACCACCAAATATTTTATTCATTTTCTTTTCTTGCAGACTGCCATAACTGCGAAGAGGAACATTTTGATATGGAAATTAAAAGTAATCAGAGCAACAGGTAACATGAAACACCCGATTTGAAAGTGTAGCATTAAGATATTGAATCCTTTTTTCCCCTCTTAGAAAGGAACATAAATCACATTTGTTGTAATAGCACAGTTAAATTAAGTAATTCCAGATGTGAGAAGGATCTAGAACAAATTATTATAAACAGTTACAAAAATTAGTTTTCACCACAATCCTCAATGCACTTCAACAAATATATTAGTAATCTGTGAAATTAATGTGTCAATCTGTGAAGTAAGGTATCACTTTAAAAACAACATAATGGCATTATTATTGTTGTCTGTGGAGCAATTGGTGTAAAACGAACTGATTAATTTTCATGTCAGTTCTGTGAGTTTTACTGGTGAGGAAACCTAGGTTGAAACAATCGTAGGTCTGACTTTCCAATGGTGAGGGAGCCTGTGGAGAATCTGTTGTGAATCACCCTGGGATCTTTGGATGAAGGATGGTATACAAATTTAAATAATAATAGTAACAACAACAACAACAACAACATAGGAAGACCCTTGTACACACAACTCCCATTCATATGTGAAGATTTGTTGATCCTGCATTATGAAGTATGAAAGCCCATTCTTGAAATTTCAGGTGTATTAATAACATCATATTAGAACATTTTGATTAGCCATCTAAAAATACAAGGGAACCTGTGAAAACATATGGTATATTAATAGAGGTGGAATGGGGGGATGATTCTTACTAGCACTGATGAAGTCAATCCACTCTTTAACCTTGTTCTTAGAGCTTGTGCCAAAGAGGTAAAAGTCCCTTATGTGCGACTGGAACGACTGAAGATATGCAACTCAGAGTCTGGAGAACTTCCAGTATTTAAACTGCAACCACAGAAGAGTGAACATGATGGAACTTTCTTGCTGATAATTGAATGTGGTACTCAGTCTTCAAGCATGGCTATTAAGGTAAGCTCAGCTCAATTCAGCTGGTTTGGTTGCTGTTTGGCATTGCTTCTATTCTACCCTGACACATTCAAATTCACTGATGCCTTTGACCAGCAGATTTGAATACACTTAGGGCCAGACTACGAGTGAAAAATAAGATCTGTGATCATATCTTTTGATGCCTTCATGTTTACTTATGAGCAGCTGCAGAGGCCCCTGAACTGGTTCAGAACTTCAGCACTGGGGACAGGGGTAAGCTTTTCCCCATGCCATTTCCCTGACCTAAATCCCCCATCTCAAGCTGCTGTTAGGGGGAAATATACAGAAACAAAAACACTGTATGTAGGTCAACAGCTGGAAGTGTCTTCCTTCCAGAAAGAAATAGACTGGCAGTGGCAAGTAGTGTGGGATGCTGCAGAGAAAAGAATAGGTGGTTCCCTGCACTATTCTTAACGAAAGCTGAAAGTACTAAGAGCACTTGTGTGAATGGGAGACAATGGACTTCAAGTCTATTCCTGCCCTTGATGTTTATCAGAACAGCAGTACACAACAAGTGAAACCTTTCTTTGATAATTGCTGGGTTGTATTCAGTGCAGCACTAAGGTGAACATTCCACCCGTGCCAGAATTTCTCTGTGCACAACAGAACATTCTCCCTTTCTCCCCCTACATTCCCCCTAAATCTGTTCTGTTTTATTCCCCAGCTTTCTAGAGCAGATTTGAGGAAGGCAAAGGGAGTGTGCAAGGGGACGGCGGGGGGGGGGATTCCCTTCAGCTAGTGCTAAACATTGTACTAGTAGAAAAAATTCATTGAGTACCACCCAGGATTGGCATCAGGTGACTTTGACTTTCTGTAGGACCTGCTGACACTTTTATCTTACACCCACTTCCAAGTGTTTTCTCTGGGGTGATCTCTGCCTAGGAGTTCTGCCTGTAATGAAAAAAATAAACAGCATTTTTAAAAATTTAAACTTTATCTGTTTTTCTCTGTTTAAGTAATAAAAACTTTGAAACTGATGCAAAGGATTTCTGTTTAAGTGTAAGCAGAATCATCCTCTACTAAAACATTTCACATACAATATGCATAGAAAAACTGTTGTGCTACTCAAAGGGTGCTAAATATCTCATTAACAGTGGTATAAACGGATCACTGGGGAAAGATGTACTTAAGTTTTACAGTGTATTACTTAATCCCTGGAATATTGTGAATTGTAGTTTCATGAACATCTGCTGTTAAACATTTAAACCTGTCTAGTTGATATAGATCCTGGCATTTGTTTGGGTGGATTGGGTTCAGGGAGAGCCAGGAAAACTCAGCTGGTTTTTGCAGGTAGTGTAGACAAGCATTTGTTCACACAGTATAGCTTCAGACACTTTTGGATACAAGGTGATGAGTGTAAAAATTCGGGTCTTTAGACTGAAGGCTGAATCCTCAGCACCAACCTTGTTGCAGACTACATTTCCTTCTGCTGGATTCAGTGGACCTTTAAGTGCTGGGGGCCTTCATGCACATTTAGGTGCCAAGCGAAAACGTTCCTCTACAACCAGGCCTTGGGCTATTTAACATCCAATACCCTTTTAAATGTGTTATGGGAGGGGGATTATTGTTTTGGTTTTGTTCTTATTTTTATTAAGTATTTTGTAATTTTAACATTGCAATTTTATGTTGTGAACTGCCCTGAGATCTGCAGATGAAGGGTGGTACAACAACAACAACAACAACAGATTGATTAACAGATACATTACATTTCTCAGGAATATTGTTTGGGATTGTGGCTATCAACCAATTTAAGCCTTTTGAAACTGCTTAATCATCAGGATTTATACAGTACTGATTGGTTGATTAAATGTCAATACATTTGCATATTACCAGGACTTCAATATAGGAGCCAAAATATTGAAGGAGGGGCTAGTTTTTTTGTGAGTAAGAGAACATACAGTGTAATAAACAGAAGCTTCCACTGACCATGGAAATTGGAACCAGAGGAGGGAAAATGCTATTCAAACAAAATGCCAGAGTTGAAACCACTTTTAAAATGTGCAGATTACATTCCATTGGTATTGAGAAAGATTTAGATTGAAAAGACATTAGCAATACTGATTTCAACTGAGCACAATCTGTCTACTGTCTGCTATTCACAGTGCTAGAAGAAACGTTGTGGTGCTTTCAAGGTGAAAGGCATTTTAAAAAATTTACTTATATAATTTATATTCCCACCACTTATCAAAAGTTATCTAAATGTCTTCTAGGTTTGGCTTCAAACTGGAATGAGGGTACATTTTAACATTTCTTTTCCAGTATATCTGGCAGGGGAAGAAGGGGCTCTGCTATTCTGAAGGTCATGCTGCCATTCAAGCTACAAAATCTCAGTTTCACTAATTAGTTGGTTAATCTATTGATTAAACCAATTAAAGCTTCGGGCATATTTTTAAATGAATGTAACTGGGGACAATGCAAATATACTTGACATCTTGGTTAGAGCTCCCCACCCCCAAACCATATCATTTGAGGGAATTACTGCATTTAATGTGCTATGCGTTACAGAGAAACTGTGAGATAGGAATCCTCAATTGTGAATGCAGTAAGGCTGCTTTCCTTGAGGCGTTTATTCACTGCATTTAATCTTCTGTACTATTTCAAATGTTGCATGTGAAAATGGTAGGCTGCTTTAATTTAGATTTTACTTTTCATCCTAGGTCAATCAAGGAAATCCACTTGAAAGACATAATCTCAAGCCTGAGAACATGGAGGAAAGGAGAATCCCCACAAGTCAACTGACAGAGCCAGTGTTGCATCCTTCTGTAGATCACAGGCTCAGTAATAGTATGAAAAAATCTGTGCTTACCCAGGAAGACCACCCGATTGAGAACGAGGACTTCTGCGCTGTTTGTTTGAATGGAGGAGAGCTATTGTGCTGTGATTACTGCCCAAAGGTGTTCCATCTTTCATGCCATGTTCCTGCCTTGCTCAGCTTTCCTGTGTGAGTACATATAGCACATGAAATATCTGCTCCATTTGGTATATGTTTCAAGGTCCACTTCTTTGAATCTAATCCACTTTGTGCCACTCACTCAGGTTTCATATATGGCTTTCAGTGGTTCTTTTCAGGTTGGATGCTTACTACAGTGGTACCTCGAGTTACAAACGCCTCAGGTTACAAATGCTTCAGGTTACAAACTCCGCTATCCTAGAAGAGTTATCTTGAGTTTAGAACTTTGCCCCAGGATGAGAAGGGAATCGTGTGCCGCCGGCGCAGTGGCAGCAAGAGGCCCCATTAGCGAAAGCATGCCTCTAGTTAAGAATAGCTTCAGGTTAAGAACGGACCTCTGGAATGAATTAAGTTCGTAACTAGAGGTACCACTGTATTTGAAAAGTGTCCTGCTGCCAGTTAGTGCTCACAGGATGATCAACAGGATATCTTGGGACTTGGGTGCAGACATTTGGTGGCTACTGGTATGTAAGTGACATTAGGCAGCCAGGAGGTGCATCTTCCATCTCAAAGAGGCCTGTGTTCAGCGATCTTCAAATGGTGAAGATGGCAAGATCAAGAAATGGCTCAAGGTCTCTCTAATCTTACAAAGTTGATAACCTGGCAACTCCTCAGTCTTTGAGCTTGGAGAGGAAGGACAGGATATAAACACCAGTTTTAAAGGAACTGCACTGTCAGCTAATACATTTCCAGCCCAAATTCAAGGTGTTAGTGATTACATTTAAAGCCCTAAATGCCTTGCAACTTGGATGTTTGAGGATGAACCTTTCCCTATATTTACCTGGGCATAAAGATCTGCTGGAGAGGTTTTCCCCTATGTGTCCCACCTGTGGGAGATGTGGAGGTGAAAGAGAGGGCATTCTCCACTATAGTTTCCTGGTTGTGTCATGCCTTCCCCTTAGGAGCTGTGTTGGCACCATCATTGGCTTTGTTTGGTGCCAAGTTAAGTCCTGTCTATACACTCAACCATTTGGCAAAATTAGCTACTGTTTTATTTGAGCTGTTTATGTTGATTTTTCTGCTGATTATTGGATTTTGTGGGGTGTATTAATTTTTAGAAGGTTTTATTGTTTATGTTGTATTGTCATTTTATCGACTGTAATCCACCCTGAAATAATCTGATATAGCATGGATGGGTGTGTGTGTGTGCAATCATCATACCAGGTTAGAACTTTGTTCCATCTAGCTCAGCACGATCTATACTAACTAACAGTAACTCTTTAGGTTTTCAATCAGGACTATTTCCCAGGATTGAACCTGCGTGCAAAGAATTTTTTTTTTACCACAGAGCTACAATTCTTCCCATGCTATATGTTACATGCACAGGGACACACATAATATCCATATATTGGCATCTTTTTCTTTTACAGTAATTTGTTTTGGGGGATTTTGAGGAAACCAGAGAACTTGATTCATGTTAGGTATGGAACGCATAAGAAACTAACACAGTGGGAAGTCATGCGTTGTAATTCTTGTCTGTGATGAAAACCATGTCAAATATTGAAGATAGCAAGGTAGAGGAGCAGTAGAAAAGACTTCCTGTGTTTGTTCATGTCTCCCCCCCATTACTGCAGTCTAGTTGTTGTTAAAAAGAACTTCATCACAGCTTCTTTTCTCAACTCCTGCTGTTTGTTTGTTGCATCCATGCCTGTACTCAATTAAACAGAGAGCCAGTGTGGTGTAGTGGTTAAGAGCGGTAGTCTCGTAATCTGGGGAACTGGGTTCGCGTCTCCGCTCCTCCACATGTAGCTGCTGGGTGACCTTGGGCTAGTCACACTTTGAAGTTTCTCAGCCCCACTCACCTCACAGAGTGTTTGTTGTGGGGGAGGAAGGGAAAGGAGAATGTTAGCCGCTTTGAGACTCCTTAAAGGGAGTGAAAGGCGGGATATCAAATCCAAACTCTTCTTCTTCTTCTAAACACATTGATTGTTAAAGAAAATACACAATCCATCAAAATGGGCTTATTCTGCCTGAGGTGACCAGGAAAGCAGAATTGTTCTCCAACATGGTGTTAAGGCTTCCTCTTAGGCATCTGCCATTGGCATATTAATTCAAGGACCAGTGATCTACAGCAACAATATGATGTTGTATTTTCCTTCTGTGCTCCAGAGGCGAATGGGTGTGCACGCTTTGTCGCAATGTGGAGAAGCCAGAGGTTGCGTATGACTGTGAAAACACACGTTTTAGCTACAGTAACACGCTAATGCCAGCAAGAGTACTTTATGGCCTTGACGACTATGATCAGAAGGTAAGTCCAGTATCAACAGAAGCATATAAACATGTTTGAGTAATGTTTGAGCCCTCCTTCTTTTCCAAACATGTACATTGTCTCTTCAATGTGTGCAAATATCCCAAGGAAAACTACACAGAATAAAAATGTGAAGTAAAATACAGTAGACTCCATCTACACTGAACATAAGTCAGGACCAAATTACACACCCCAGTTTTGGGGGCAGGGAGGGTGGAGAGGATAGAGGGGGAAGCATATAGTTTATATCAAAAATTTGAGATTTTCTACAATCCAGCGGTATACAAAATTTATTTAAGAGATTTTTAAAAATTCATATAATTGTTATAATGTTGGACTTTAGCAATGCAAATGAAACAGAAACTTGTGCTTTTCATAATGGTAATATATGCTTAGTGAAAATTAGCCAAGGGTTTCTCCAACTTTTGCAAGTAGAGAAACCTGATTTAGAATTGGGTGTGAGTGGAGTACTGAGAAATAAAGTATCTGGCCAAAATATCAACTATTAATGCAGGTATTCATATAGTTCTTTTATAACCAAAGTTAATTTTAAAACTTACATTTTACAGAAGTGTGAGAAACTTATACTTTCACTGCTCTGCAACAACCTGAGTCTTCCATTCCATGAACCAGTCAGTCCTCTGGTAAGTGTTACCAGAATTTAATTTCACATCTTTTTCCTATGCTTTTCAGTATGAAGGAAGCTTTGCTTGGTTAAAAAAATGATCTTAGGAACTCTCCAGATGACCTGTTTATTGAGCATTCTTCCTGATTTGCTTTTGGGGTATTTATATAGTTATTCATTCATCTCACACTTGTCAATGCATTTCCCCATCACTTTCCTAACTGCAAAAGTCCAATTCTTCTTCTTCTTCTAAAGTAGGTGTTGTACTAGGGTGACAGGGCCCTTTAATCAATTTTAACTGTGCAGACATTAAGTTACAGTATGTGCTTGAATCTCTTGCTAAACAGTGACAGTCTGGAGGCACCCTCAGCTCAGATGGTGGGCTACAGCTACTTTCTACTTCACAGTATTCTTTCTCAGAAGTGTTCCACTTCTCTAGTTTTGTCACTATAATCATAAGTAGAGTGCTATTATATCTCTCTGTCTCTTCCCACCCATTCTGCTGCCGCCCACCCTAAGCAGGAGAAGCTGAACTCCTTTAATCTTATCTCATCAGAAGCCTGATGTTTGTCAGTTAAGGAACACTGTACTTGGCTTGACTCACTGCATCATCTCACCAAATGGTAGGATGAGAAAACCCCTCACCAAAGTGTCCTGAGCAAGCATTTCAGTCATGGGATAAGATGAGGGGCCAGTAACTAGTTAGAGAACACAAAGCAGAGAACAGAAACAAATTGACAATTCTCACGTTGGAAGGAGGTACAGTAATCACTGGGGTCGCTGGAGGATCTGTACTGAGACCAGTCCTTTTAAATTTACTCATAAATAATCTAGAGTTAGTAGTGAGTGATGAGGTGGCCAAGTTTGTGGAGAACACAAAATTACTTAGAAGCACACAAAAAAAGAACAGTGAAGAGTTCTAAAAAAATAAAAATCTCCAAACCAGAACTGGCATCAAAATGAAAAATACATTCCATTGTAAGTAAGTGTAATTTTTTGCCCACTGTGCATCACTGTACGTGTGTGTGTGCACACACGCTAATAGTGTCTGAGCTATCAAGGCTTGAGCAGGAAGGGAATCATAAGGATGTGTTGAATAGTTCATTGAAAATGTTGACCCAGTAAATGCTGTGAAAAAGCCATATTCCATGTTGGAAAGGAATCTAAAATAAAACAATTCACAATTATTTACTACACGTTAAAGAGAAAATTCATGAACACATTAAATACATCTACTTAGCAACAACCATCAGGGACTGCTGAGTCAGAGAGTTGTCTCAGTAATTTAACTGCCACTTCTCCAGAAAAAAAATTGGTTAGATTTTAGATGAAGACATTTCCCCTGCCTAAGCAGTCTCTGATGGTTGTGTGTAAGCAGATGTGTTTACTGTGTTTGTGAATTTTCTTATTTACTGTACAGTAAATTGTGCACTTTATTGTTATTGTTATGGTTATGTTAAAGTTATTTTGCATAATTATGTATAGCATTGTGTTGTGATGTTAGGGATTTATAAATAAAAATGTATAAAAAACAAAACTGTGAATCTAAAACATATTCAAGGTAGAAAAAACACTTGCCTACTTCACAGCAATGCTTTTAGCTGTAAAGAATGATTGTGATATTTATTTACAGGCTCGACATTATTATCAGATCATCAAAAGGCCCATGGACTTGTCCACCATCCGGAAAAAGCTCCAGACAAAGAACAAGCAGCATTACTCCACCGCTGATGAGCTGGTAGCAGATGTGCGCCTTATGTTCTGGAATTGTGCAACATTCAACTATGTAAGTTCTTGCAATTCAGAATTCACTGCATCACCTGGGCAAATAATGTGGGCAGTGGCTATACCTCTTCCTCTCTGAATATTTTTATTTGGGCCTTGATTCTTTAACCTAACTTTGAATAATCCCAACACAGGATTGTCAATTGGATTTACATAGTGTGAAAAAATAGCAACCTAGAGAAAAGATAGCAAGTAGCCACTAATCAAAGGCAATTTCTCAGTAGCCTGGACAAAAGATGCAAATACTACAAATACTGGCAGTAATTCTGGAGTGAGAGGCCACAATAGGTGGTGCTGGAGAATCTATTATTCTCTATTACGTTACATTCTCATTATCTTCATTTACAGGATCCTCTGCTTTGAAGGTTTTTCTTTTTTAAAAAAATAGCAAGTTATTTAAAAGGAATGGACAGGAACCTGATTTATCATCCTTGTCCATGATTATTGTCACTCATTGACTAAATTGGCTGATCCTTGCCTTTGTGTTGCCTTTGTCTGTTGCACCTGAACAATGGCGATAACATACCAGGAAAACCTGCCTTCTGTGCTGGGGCTTTGAAATATTATTTGGCTTGTCCTTAGATATTTGCTATCAACAAAACTAATTCTGTAGGGTTCAGCACCTTGATCTTTTAGAGAAATTTACTCACCATTAATAGGTAATCTAAAAAACCTGATTTTCCTCCCAATATCTGGTTTCCATTTATTTCCTAATACCACTAAGAAGCTAGCCTTCCCATGCTCACCCTTGGTTTATTTAACATTTTGGAAAGATTCTTATTCAATGTATAGTATTATTTATTTTCACATAGAATTGCCTTGACCTTTCTTCTCACTCTGTGACGGACAATTCTCCTGGGTGGTTGTTTTCTATTTAACTGTAAATTGTATCAATTCTTTAAATGATGAGTATAATAATAAATCAAGAGTTTCATAGATCTAGCAACAGAGAGAGCATGTCTTACTAAGTGAACCACATGCTGTCGTAACAAATTATGATGCCTTCTCTTGCAGCCTGATTCAGAGGTAGCTGAGGCTGGACGATGCCTGGAAATATTCTTTGAAAGCAAGTTAAAAGACATTTACCCAGAAAAGCAGTTCTGCTCAGTGCAGCAAGATGACTCTGATTCAGAGGAACATGAAAATAGTCAAGTGGCTCCCAAGGGATTCCAGTGGCCCTCATACAGACAAGAGTGTATCCAGCCCAAAAGAAGGCGACGGCACGCTGTAAGAATACAAAAGCAATACAGAACATAACAAAACTTGATTGTTTAGTGGCCCCAAAGCTAATTCTTTCCACAGCTTTTAATATAAAGCTTTGACAATATGCTTAGGGATGTATTAGTAAACTTCAGTCAGACCAGGGCGATTCTTTCTTCATGTTCAGTTGTGTAAACAGGTTAGCGCTTGAAGGTCTTGCAAGCTACCTAATTATTTTGCCAAGTAAAATGCAATGTGAAACAATATTTGAAAAGACCAGCTTCTCTAACAATCTGCCCATTTATTTCCTTTGTACACAGGAAAGTGAAAAGACTAAAAGACCAATGTTTTGGCCAGCTAAAGGTCTTTCTCAGGTGTGACGTGTGGAGTGCTGCAAAGAACAAAACATCAATCAAAATAAGATGTGCGTAAGAGGGGAGTCAGAAAATGTCTCTTAAGATATTCCACCTGAACTTCATAGCAGTGGTCAATCAATTTCATTTTTAGATCCTATGGGGAGATTACATTTTCAGTGTAATGTAATTTTAATAGGTAGTAAGACAGCTATATGCTGTCTTAACAATTTGTGTTTACACTACTGTTTTGTCATATGCAATAGTTATTAATAATAAAAATAGGACATTTGATATGCTGTTCTTAAAATTATTTCATAAATTCTCATCGCTTAATAGATTGTAGCTGGAAACAGCCATCTGGCAACATCACCAGTAATTCCACACATATTTATAGTGTCCATTACAATTTTACCATATGTGGCAGTGTCTTAAGCCTATTGTCTCCTCTAGTGAAAAAAATGAATCCAAAATTCATCTGGTATGAGTATACACTGTTCCCAATGCAACTTATAGCCATTGTTATGTTGTCTTGCTAACAAAATGTGGCAACCAAAGACCAAATCTCTGGACATCAGTTGAAGCAAAGCTTCCCATGGAGTTAAGCAGAGAGTTCTTGGTTCTGTATTTACTAGAAGACCAGAAAGTGATGTGGAAAGAAATAAAATGAGAACTGCATTCAGGAATTCTACTCTTTAATTCTAGAAAAGGAAAGGACCTCCCCTGCATTGTTTTCAATTCTCACTCATATAGGATGATTGTGCACCAGAAGTGGATTGGTGCAACCAACATGGGGAGCAGAGGGTGGGTGGAGTGAAGTTTGACTGTCCATTTAATACCAGCAGCTTACATTATACCTGTGTTCTCTTTATGCTAATCCCTTGTCTATGTGTACTGCAAACGAATATAGGGTAATTATGAAGCCAGTCAATTGCTGAAATGTGCCTGGCTGCATAGGAGTGAGACCGATAAAGGGTATTTCTGAGATGCATCAGTCTTGCTTTTTCAGAGCCTTTTTTCACCCTCCCACTTGAGCAGTAAAATTTAAAATGCGGAGGAATCCCTTGCAGACAAGTTATAGCAGAAGCTGAGATACAGTTGTTTCACTCAGTATAATGCCTCAAGCTCTCAACCCCCATGTCTTCTTTGAATCATAAGAGTTGGAAGGGACCCTGAGGCTCATCTAGTCCAAGCCCCTGCGATGCAGGAATCCTGCCCACAGCTGTCCCTGGGTGGGTTCGAACCACCAACCTTCCGGTTAACAGCAGGATGCACTGACCCACTGTGCCACACACAACACTCTGTGAAGCCTCATCCATAATACATCCCCTGCAGTCTCTCTTTAGCCTCATTCCCAATCCCAATTGCTATATTGCTAGTTGGGATCAGGTGTGATTGCAGATGGGGTGGGGTGGTCTTAGATGTCCTGGTTTTCATCTGACTCTTTAAAAGGAGAGTCATTTTAACTCCCCCAAAGAGTAGTGAGTTTCCAGTTATACTAGATTTGCTGTAAATGAAGAGAGTTTTTCAGTCTATATGAATTTCTTGAATATGGTATCCATGGTTGTTATAATAGAGAACACGTTAAGCGAGAGTTTATAGAATTACTAGCCGCACCTGAATATTTTTTTCTGTTTTCAATGTTAATATGGCTCAAAATAAATGCTGTAGAAAAAAGTTGTCTCTTTTCTTATTGTATAATAAAAAATCATTGAAAAAAATAAAGGAAACATTGAAAAAAGAATTTAAACCGTTGAGTCTAAATTATTTCCTTGCCTGTGTCCTTGGCTATCATTCGTATCTAACTCATTCAAAGAATGAAAAAGTACTCTTCCTTAAAAAAAAAATCCAGTACAAATAATAATTTAAATCATGCATACGGAGAACAGATTTATTAAAAAAATATAATGAATACCACCACCACCAGTTTTTCAAATAGAAGTAATATAACTCATTTAAAACATGTTTGGTGTTTGGCAGCATGTCTTTATTAATTTTTCACAGAATCATATGAAGTAGATTGGTTTAAAATAGAGTAACTAGTTCACATCATCCACTAAGCTTCATTGCTGAATTTGGACCTCAGTTCCCCGTTCCATGCCCAACACTTTTATCTGTTATACCACAGTTTTGAACAGATGTGAATAAAATTAGTATAGAACATACACAAAAAATGCTTCTTATCCATGCTGTCTAAATAATGTTGCAGGGTGGAAATGCTAAAATGGTGTGCCTATCAGCTGTAAGAGATAGTAATTAGTTGCAGAGGAGGAGAGCACTGAGTATCTTTAGTAAGTGTATTTAAGACTCAGGCGTTATGGTGTAATCCTATATATATATCTTCTCAAAAGTAAGACACAGCAATTTACTGCCAGGTAGGTGTGAATAGGATTGCACCATTAGACATTTTAAAGTCAAAGTCAATCAATACCTAGAATTATGCCCTGGTGGATAATAGGAATCCAGTGCAGATACTGAAACATATTTTGGTAGCTTGCCTGTTAGGACTTACTCTTTTTATGAGGCAGGCTGTTGTGTTCTGCAGCAACGGAAACTTCCAGTTTGCCCTGAAGGGCATGCTGGGTCATGTATACTCAAGGACACAGTTCACGTAGGCCAAATGCAATGTTTGTTTTGTAATTCAGCTATAATGTTTGTTTCTAAGACAGAAGTAGTCCTATTATTACACTGAAGTCTGCATCAACTTGGGTAGAAAAACCAATAATTAACTTTGAGATTTTTTTTATTTAAAAATTGTGAGCTTTTAAAAATCCTTTAGTCAAAAGGTTTTCTCTGAATTCCCAAGAGGACCCTTATCAAAATCCACCAACAATGAAGCAGCGCAGCTCCCCCCCCCCCCATTTTATTACTTTCCCATCCACAGACTAATATTTGCTGCTTCAACAGGTGGCAGTAATTATTTTAGAACTGGGAAATTTACCACCACCTCTGAAATAACACCAGGGGTTATTCAGTTGTCCTACAAAAGTGAATTGGCAGTTCTATAGCAGTTAACTTTTGATATTAAACTACCCTGGCCATGTAAACATTTAGCACCATTCTCCTGTACAGTACATCAAAACAGGACACAAAAACTTTGATAACTTACCACCCTTAAAACTATCAGGTACCATTGTTTTACGGTTCCTAAGCTGTTTTTGTGTTTTACTTTTTGTATACTTGTGTACTTGTATACTTGTGTTTACTTTTTGTATTGCAGTACTGTAGTGAAAGGTGCTCTGTACCCATTTCATTTTATATGCTAATTCATAGTGGTTCTGAATAACAGTAATCCTTATTCTTAGTTTAGGAATTGACACACTTCAGAACTGCTTTTACTATAATGGTGCTTCTCAGGAATTATCCCCCCCATGAACCTACTTGAAATTCATGATCAGTCTCTGCAGCCCTCATCACTGTCTCCTTACCAACAGAAGTGTAGAAGGCGTGGACATGAGAGAGGGAGAAATTCTTTTCAATAGTGGCCTGTAAACTACAGAATATTTACTATGCTGGGAAAGCTTAACTTAGTCCTCACTTTGCCTAATTTTAAAAGGGTTCTGTTTTAGTTTGGCAAGCGTGTCATAGTAAGAGACCCTCTGATTATGTTTTACCTTCCTGTTGCTAAGAATTTTTATAATGCTGCATTTACTGTTTGTTTTGTTTTATTGCTAGGATTGGTTTAATCTTGTGTGATTTCTTTTTCTATTTCTGTTTGCATACTGCCTTGAGTGTGATATTATAGAAAGGGGGCGGGGTATGAAATAAAAACCCTCTAGAAAACTGCAGCAGTAGCTGTGTTTTATTAGGTACTTTATATGTATTTTATTTAAATCCAGTTAAAATATTTGCATCTATATTTGCAGAGACATTTACTCAAGGGAAATGTGAGTTAGATGTCCAAAAATGAAAGCCTGCCGTTTTAGCTGCATTATGTAAGCCTGAGTCTCAAAGGCACCTATTCTCTTCTGCCAAGAGTAAATAGCAGCAAGTGTTGCTATGAGATGATGTACCAAGTGGTTTTACTGCTTCTCGAATGGGGAATCATATTCATGAAAACAAATGTTAGTGGTTTAGATAAAACCTATCAGTGCACAAAGCTAACAACATATAAATCACATTGTGAAACAGAGTAATAAAAGAGTAAGCAGCGACATTTCAAAATGCATCAGAATAAAATCCTACATCAGCATAGCCATGTGTTCATATGGTTCCAGGTAAAAAGCAAACCAAACTTGGAACAGTCACAGCATCACACTGGGAGTACCAAATACTTCACATACACTCAAGTTTTCAATGTGGAGGCTGGAACAGATAAACCTTACTTAGTGGTAGGGACCACCACCACTAGAACCACACCTTATATGCACAAAGAAGGGAAAGGGAGTTTTTAATACATATGTGTGTGTGTATTCCTTGAGTGTACATCACTTTCTTTAAAGACCCATCATTGGCTACTCTATGCTACATGTACTATATATGAATTAGCATATTAGTTACATGTAATAAATCACATTTTAAAAAATCACTCTGGGAGAAACCAGGAGTTGATAAATCAACTAGCTTGTGATACTAGGTCAACAAGACTGCATAAAGAATGATATTAATATAGCATAAAAACCACCATGCATTCTTTTTAACTATACTTGTAATGGGGCTAGTATTTAAACATTACAATGAGAGATTTTTAAAATGTATTTATAAAGCATATGCACTGTCAAGAAGCAAGAACATACGGTAATTGCCTTGGCTGTGGTCTGAAGATGTGAAATATGGATGCTGGAGAGAACTTCTTGCAGTTGCTGAAGGAACAAGTCGCTTTAAAATGTGATCAGTCACTTAGCTCTTTGATAGTAGGAACTGCTGCAGTTGAAGCAGCAAGTAAAACTTCAGTTGCATGCATAGTTCTCTGTCATGTGCTTGGTATCATCTCTTTGGATTGCAGCCCAAATATGTTAGTATAGGAGGTTTGCTATGGTGTTGCGGAGAGTTCCATCTTGTTCCCCATGCTATTTAACAACTATATGAAACTACTGGGAGCTGTCATCAAATGATTTGGAGTGAAGTGTCACGAGTATAAGGATAGCACTCTACCTTTCAGTCCCATCTGAATTAGGAGTGATGGTTGAGGTGCTAGACAGGTGCCAGGAGGGAGTTATGGGCTGCATGAGGGCCAAAAAGTTGAATCCTGGAAGGACAGAGGTGTTACGTGTTCCAAGTTCTTGAGTCCAAGAGGTGGGAAGACAGCTTGTTGAGGATGGGGTTCCACTTCCCTGAAAGGAGCCGGATCATAGCTTGGGTGTACTCTGGATTCAATGGTTCCTTGAGGCTCAAGTGCCCTTAGTGGCTAGGAGAGTCTATTTCTTGCTAACACTGGTTTGCTAACATGGCCACTTTGGGACAGGGCTTACTTGGCCATAATACTCCATGGTCTGGTAACTTCCAGATTGGATAATAGGTGCCCTTGAAAACAGCTCTGAATTTTCAGTTGTTCAAAGCGCAGTAGACAGATTACTGGCTGGGTTTCCATTTAGTTCTCATATAATCCTGGCTTTAAAATAGCTGCATTGGCTGCCTATTAATTTTTGGGCCCAATTCAATATGCTTAAGTTAGTGTATAAAACCCTAAATGACTCAGGCCACAAATATGTGAAAGACTGTGTCTTTCCCCACAGACCTCTTGGATGTTAAAATTGGCAGAGAGGTCCCTGTTCGTAGTTCCACTGCCCTCAGAAGTTCTGTTGGTGGTGGCCTGGGAAAGGGCATTCCTTCTGGCAGCTCCTAGTTTGTGGAATTCCTTCTCCACAGAGATACATCTGGCACCATAATTAGCTAACTTCTGACACATATAGAATTGCTGTGTAAAGATTATGATGTAATCAGGATTGTTACTATAGCTAGCACTGGTAAACACAATTTTTTTTATTGTAGTACTTACTTACAACAGGAATTTGTCTTGACCATTTCATTTATCTAAGGTAAATATCATTTATTTAACGTGCAACTGTGGCTCACAATAGTTTGGACCTTGGAAAAGGTCACTGTACCACAGCCCATTGTTCAGTGCTTACGGTAATTCTATTTTGTATTAGTAAATAAATACAGGTTGCATTCTTCAAGGATATGCTCCTGGCTGCCCCTGAACGATGGACAATTTTTCAGTGTCAAGCACAATAAAATTTTGTTCATCTCTGTTAGACCAAATGATACACCAGAACGTTTAGCACAGGTGACACCACCTAAAAGATGGAATGTGTATGCACATCTACCTCCCCCATGCTAATTGTTACCTCTTCCTTGGGAGATTGTGTATCTATGTAACTACTTCAGACTGTGTTTGAATGTTTCCCTTTCTATACATGAAAAGCTAACGTCAATAAGATGAGTCATCTACCTGATTTACTCATGATCCAAATGTGCAAAGAATGCACTTGCAGTTGGACCCTGTTACAGCCGAGAAAGGACTGTATCACATGTTATTTCTGCACATATAAATTTTCAGTGACAACATCCTTCTATTCGACATAACTTTTTTCCACATGGATCACTTGAAAATTGTTGAGGGTCTTGACAGACCACTTGATGATTTTCCTGACTGTTGTTGTAGTTGTAATGTGCTGCGCTAGATGCTGTATAATTTTAGTTGTATTTTACTGCTTCTTTTATGTCTTATTACCTTGTGTGTCCACAACATTGAAACTGTAATACCAAAAACACAATATAAGAAATAAAAGCAATAAAAATACAATTAAAATCAACATGAATATTTGATGTGATTGATGTCTACTGACTTCAACCACAAATCGATAGACACACTGTGGACCACATGAATGAAACTTGCAGACCACTTGTGGTCCATGGACCACAGTTTAGGAACTCCTGACATAAGGATTGCATAATAACAGGTAAGGAGTTGCAAAGAGACCCATTCCTCATAGCAAGATTGTACTCTCCCTTATGCAAATTGTATATTGTGCTGTTGGTGTCGATTGAGGGTTTTCCTGCTACAATAAAGAGATAATGTAGTGCCACACAGTTAGAAGTTGTTTAAAAAGCTCAGAAGTGATCCTGTTGTGAGGCAAGATGAGGAGGGTGCCTCAGCAGGCATATTTTGGGCGCTGTTAAAAGGTGGCATCAGAGTGGGACATTTGATTTACAGGACACAATAATCTGAGCTCATTCAGTAGAGCAATGAGACTCTTAATTCCAGGATCATGGGTTTGAGCCCCACACTGGGTGAAACATTCCTGCATTGCAGGGGGTTGGACTAGATGACCCTCAAGATCCCTTCCAACTCTACAATTCTATTGTTCTCCTGTGCAAGCTGCACTGAGGTGTGGGAGCTAGTGGGGTTGTCCCCCCTGCAGATACTGAAGTACCGTATCTTGGGCTGGGCGCCCCTCACCTCGGCCTAAACTCCTTTAACCCTCTTGTTTTCAACAGGGGGCAGTCTGCGGCTTATACTGTATGTTCTTGCAAGGCATTTGAAACTTTACAAAGCAGTCTTGCTAAGTGAGGAACTAGAAGATGCAGGAATTGCACGTTATGGTACTCGGTGCAACTGGCCCTTTCCTGCTTCCTGGTTCTTCTGCGCCAGGGGCCATGTCTTGAGCACACCACTCTTTATACGCGAAAGCGCATCCACGGCAGCAGCAGCAGCAGCAGCAGCAATAAAAACCGCGGAGCCAAGTGAGCCTCACGAAATCAGAAAGAGGGCAATCCCAACGGACAAGTTTCGTAGGGAGCTGAGAGACTCCCAGCCTATGCACGCTTTTCTGAGGGGAAAGATCCACGGTATTCAATGCGATTTACTTCCCAGATTGCCCTGCTAAGTTTCCTTAGAGGCTGGAATGGTGGGGCAGAGCGGCGGCTGCAGCCGGTTTTTGAAATGTAACTTTTTTCAAAGCGAAGACCAAGTTCTCTCAGAGCGCCGGTCTGCTGAGGTAACGCCCACCCTTCTGGTACCGAGAGAAAAGCGAGGGGGAGACGGGAAAGCCCCACCGCCTCTTCCTCCTCCTCCTCCTCCCTGAGGTGGGGCCGGGCGGCCTCTGAGAAGGGCGGGGGGAGGGGGTTGCAGGGAGGAACGTCTCCGCGCTCTGCGCTACTTTGTCCCTGCGAGGCCCCTGTACTACCCGCGGTGCCCAGGCTGGGCGGCTGTGGAGAAAAGTTTCTGCATGCGCGAAGGGGCTGAAGAGCCGGCCGGGGACCGAGAGGCGGGAAAAAGCCGCCACCGCCGCCGCCACGGCAGGGCAGCGGGGTCGGTGAGGTGTGTGCGTTTGCCGCTGCGAAGCGAGGGGCGAGAGGGGGAAGGAGGGAGGGAGCTAGGGAGGGAGGCTGCAAGTTGTCCGGTTGCCATGACGACGAAGAGGATGCCGGCTGCATTTGGGCGCCCGGAGCGGCCGCTTCCAGGGAGGGGAGCGCAGCATCTTCGCCGCTTGTGGGCGCTTTTCGGGGCTGCCGGGTGAAGGAGGAACCCGCTTGTGTTTTTGTCAGCTAGTTTCCTTTGGGGTCCCTCACAAGTCACTTATTCGGAGAGTCTGCCGTGTTATCCGCTCTCAGAGGGGCCGGCCGGGTTAGGCTGCAGCAGCAAAAGCAACGTAGAGGCTGGAGGCAGCTTACTCTGCTATTATAGTTTAATAAATCGATCTAAGGCGTTGCATGAATTTATACGCGGGGTAGGCAGGCTTGTGGAGGACGGAGGAGAGGTACATCTCCTCTGGCAGTGATGTTGCAGCTTTAAATGCACGTGTTATTTATTCATTTGATTTATTTATAAAAGCACTTATACACTGCTATAGCGTAAGCCATCTCCAAGCGGTTTACAGCAATAGTAGCTGCACAGAATAAAAGTGCATTAAAAATTAAAATCAGATGTATTCTTAATTGCCTGTGTAAGCTTGGTAGCAGAGAAACGTTTTCTGCAAGCTGAAATAGAGGGTGCCTGCTGAATCTCTGTTGGCTGAGCATTCCACAGGACAGGGTTGATGACACCAAAGGCTTGGTTTCTTGTTGCTGTCAGGTGAGCCTTGCCAGCTCTGGGGAAGACTAATGATGCTCAGTGATCAAGCCAGGGTAGAAGGGTTTAGGCTGTCCTTAAGGTACCCTGGACGTAAGATATTTAAGGCTTTTAAAATTAATACAATGGCTTTGAACCTGGTTTGGTCGTTGATATGCAGCCACTGCAGATGTTTTAACAAAAATGCCACATGATGTTGGCAATGTGCCCCCAACAACAATCTAAGTGCCACATTCCTCACCAGTGAAAGCTTCTGATCCAGGCCTTAAGGAAGCCCGACACAGAGTGCAATAATCCAGCCTTGAGATTAACAGTAAATGAACTTCAGTGGCCAGGGTATTCCAGCAATAGCTATAGCTGGTGAAATAGGCAGAGCAGGTAAAAGGCACTCCTATCCACAGAGGACACTTGGTGCTCTAGTGACAGAGATGTGTTGAGGAGTATCCCCAAGCTATGCACTTGTTCTTTCTTACCTTGCAACTGATAAGTTGCCTATCTCCTGCACACAGAAACTACCTATCCAAAGAGACTGCCTCTTTTCAGGAATCAACAGTTTATTGGCCCTTTCAGACACCGATCCAGAGCTTTCATATGTTCATATGAGCTTTCGTATATTCAGAGCTTTCTTATCTCCTGATTCAGATGTTAGGGAGCAATAGACACCTTGCTTTAAAGTTCCTAATGACTTTCCTTCCCAATGTGGTGCCTGTCAAATGAATAGATGCCTGCTACTTTATCTTGCCCTTCAGAGTTAGAGAAAGAATCAGATTCCTGGGTGGCAGCAATGATTAGGCTTTCAGTCTGCCAATAGTCTTGGATTTTTCCAGGCCTTTTATTCTTTTTTTGGGAGTACATAACTTTAAGGAAATATGTTATTTCAGAACCTTCTTGTTTCCTGGACTAAGCAGTCCTGGTGCCATAAGGCAACATGGAAAGTCTTTTTCATAAACTCACAGTTCTCTGCAGAAATATTACTGCACTTTTGTATATTATTGTTTTGTTACTGTTATACAATTCAAATTGGAATGTTGTCTCTGTAGTTTTTACAGAATTGTCTGAATCAGGAAAAACTATCCCACCAGTTAAGCATGTTTAATCAGAAGTAAGTCCCACACAGTTCAGGAGGTCTTACTTTCATGTGATTATGCTTAGGACAGCATATGTTTTCTCATATGAGACCTAAATTGATTTAGAGCTTTTTGTATGCTGTTTGTACACCATGAGCACTGTGTGTGACATAAACTTTATGCAAAAATATAGCATAGAGAGAAAACATCTGAAATGCAACGTAAATTTTATACTGCTTAGCGTTCCAAACCTAGATGAAGCAATGGCTGCTTTTAAGGTTGACATATGTTTTAGAAAGTTCTTTCTAATATACCATCTAAACCTCTTTGGTTACAGTTTAAGACAGGAACTGGGACCCTGTGGCTCGCCAGATGTTGTTGGACTCCAGTTCCCACCAGCTGTAACCAGCATGGCTAATGGTTAGGTATGATGGGAGTTGCAGTCCAACAATATCTAGAGGGCCACAGGCTCGCCATTCCTGGTGTAAGATTTCCATATGTCTCTGACTGTTACTGTTTCATTCTTATGTTCATGCTCCCTCTGGTGGGTTATAGCGATGTGCACATCCGTAGGATACAAAAGTCAAGAAAAGATTTTTACAGGGCAAGATGCTATCTAGCATTCTTAGACGAGGCTACTTATCTAGATCCATTTCAATCTCATTATGGTCCATTTCCATCACTAAAACAGCCTTGGTTACCCTGATATGTTATCTGGTTGGGAGACCAGAGGAGAGTGAGACCTTACTATTTTTTCTGCCACTCGCAGTGGCTTTTGGTTTCCATAACCAGGGGTAAAGGTAAAGGTTAAGGTTAAGGTAAAGGGACCCCTGACAGTTAAGTCCAGTCGCTGTTGATTTAAGCAGAGTCTGTCGTGCCCAACGGAAGGATGAGAATACGTGCTGCATACTCTTTATTGCTTTATTTACAGTTCAAAGCTGGTATATTACAGAAAAACATCTTGCCTCTGCAAGAGCAGAAAATGCATCCTCTCTCCTGGACAGCTCGGAGAGAATCACACAGACAGTGAATAACAGGAAACCAGTGTACGTCACATCCAGTCTCCCTTTCCCGTGAGAAACCCAACAGTACAGACTGTGGAATGTAAACACCTGTCTTGTGACTGCAGTTGCTGCACAGTGAAGGAAAACAGAAACCAACATCCTCCCCCTTTCTGTGAACATCACTGGGCAGCGTGTTCGTACAGTATCAGTACAAACCCAACTTCTGCACATAGGTACAGTGTTGATCCCTTGATACAATCTTGGACAATACATCAGCAGGAATTTCATTACCTGGCATATAGGACACCGTTACGAGTCCCTTCTGAATACATTCCCTAGCATGCTGCAACTTTAATTGCAAGTGCTTTGTGCTTTGCTTACAACCTTCAGACTTTAGCAAAGCCAAACATGCTTTGTTGTCCTGGTAAACCTGGATTGGACATTTGACAGGAATTTTCATATCTTTGCACAATTGTACTAACCATTCACAATCCTTAAGTGAATAAGACAGTGCATTCAGTTCAGCTTCACAAGTATTTAAGCTAACTGTTGTTTGCTTCTTGCATGACCAATCAAACAGACTCTGATTGTACATGTAGCAAACTCCAGACGTACCTTTCCTGTCTGTAGCGTCACTTCCAAAACTTGCATCTGCAAATATCTCAAGACCACCAGACTTCTGATTGTTAAATCTCAGTCTGTAATGCATAGTGCCTTTCAAATACCGCGCTATGCGTTTCAGAGCTTTCAATCCTTGACACTAGGATTGTTGACTTGTCTGCTTAGCAAATTACAGCTAACAGCAATGTCTGGTCTTGAACATCTGGCAATGAAGTTTAGCTTGCCTAGCACACTCCTGTACAGTGTAGTGTCAGAAAATGCTTCTTCAGTGTCATCTACCTGATAACCTGTTGTCATCGGTGTGTCTACAGGGTTAGCATCCATCAGATTTAGTTTGCTTAACACATCAGCAATTTTCCGTGACTGGTGTACTAGAATGTTACCATCTTGATCTCTCTCTATTTCCAGAGATAGGTAGTTGTTTACCTCACCAAGATCTTTCATGTCAAAGTGCTCTTTCAGTTGAGCTAGGGCGCTATTGTACATTGCAACATCTTTCCAAAAGAATAATAAATCATCAACATAAAACAAACAGTACAGTTTCTTTTGCCCCTCCTCTTTGACAAATACACATGGATCAGCTTTCCCTTGCTGAAAACCTAGAAAACAATACTTCAGTGAGTTTTGTGTGCCAACACCGTGCACTTTGTTTGAGACCATAAAGGGATTTCTTCAGAGCACAAACAAATCCCTGTTTTACCTGTACGCCATCAGGTGGAAGCATATAAAGTGATTCATCTAGAGATCCGTACAGAAAAGCTGTATTAATATCATGGTGACTAATGTGTAGATTTTCCTCTGCAGCTAGCTTGAGCATAAGCCTAATGCTTTCATATCTCACTGTGGGTGAATAGGTCTCGTGATAGTCTTCACCTGGTACCTGTGCAAAACCTCTGGCTACCAATCTGGCTTTGTGTCTGACTATCTTGCCATTTTGATCTGTCTTCGCTTTGAAGACCCATTTGCTTCCAAGCAGTTTCATTCCTGGAACTACTGGAACTAGTTCCCATGTTTTGTTCCTTTCTAAGGAATCAAGCTCAGCCTTCATGGCATTTAACCATGGCTCAGCTTCCTTTGAATCCAAACCCTGGATTTCTTGGAAACTTGAAGGTTCAAATACCTTCTTGGAGCTTTTAACAGCTGTTACTGCTATCTTAGCAAACTCATCAGCAAATCTCTTTGGAGGTTTGCCTTTTGTGGCTCTCTGTGACCTACGAATTAGCCTTAAGTCTTCAACACTCTCCTCTTCCTTCTTAGGAGAAAAACGACCTATTGTGAACAATGGTTCCTCCAATTCTTGATCAGAGCTTTCAGAGGGTCGCATAGAGGCTTTCGCACTCTTGAAATCCTCTGAATTACCCGATTCAGTTTCAGATTCAGACTCAGAACCTTCATCAGTGGGTGTGGGTTGTTGTGGTTGCTTTTTGACTATCCTCAGTCTCATCACCGTCATCAGGATAACATTGGAAAATTCCCACATTCTCCCCCCCACTTTGCATTGTACTCGACACTTCTCGTGAGCTTAATTGTCTTAGAGTCAGTCATCATTATTCTGTAAGACCCTTTCTGATAACCTAGAAAGATTCCATGCAATCCACGCTTGTCTAACTTGGAGTTTTGTGGTGAGCGAACCCACATGTCAGAACCAAAAATCTTCATGTGTTTGATGTATGGCTTCTTGCCAAATATCTTCTCATAGGGGGTACAACCAATCGCTGAAGATAACCTGCGATTGTAACTGTAAACAAAACACGAGAGAGATTCGGCCCAATAACTCTCTGGAAGATTTGCATCATGCAGCAAGGTTTTTAACCCTTGAAGCAAGGTCTGATTTGCCCGTTCCGCAAGTCCATTCTGCCATGGCGAGCGAGGACTAGACAAATCGTGTTGAATTCCTTTCTCAGTCAGAAAAGCTTCAAACTGCTGAGAAGTGAATTCCCCCCCCGCGATCACTGAAAAGAGTCTTTATCTTCTTACCATGCACATTTTCCAACCAAGCACAGAATTCCTTGAACCTAGGAAAAGCCTCCGATTTCTGCTTGAGATTGTACACAAAAATATATCTAGAAAATGCATCAATGAGAACCATGAAGTATCTATTTCCACCCAAAGAGGGCGCCAGTGGACCAACCAAATCAGCATGAACAACCTGGTATGGTTCTGTAGCTTTCCTACTAGACACCTTACCTTTCGCAGCCATTTTCACCTTGTTTGCTGCGCATGCTTTGCACTTCATGTGGTACCTGCAGGGTTTAATAGTCATACCTTCAACCAAGGCAGGCATTTTAGATACTGCCTCAAAATGCAAATGAGCAAATTTTCGATGAAAATCGTGAATACATTCTGCATGCAAACTTTTGTTAGAACCTGCAATGCAACAAGTGTCATCCTGCACCACATCATCATAATACAAAACAAACAAATGATCAACATATTCTGCATGCAATACATAATCATTTTTCTTTGTGATGATGCACTTCTTGTTCTTGAAGGAAACGTCAATGTTCCGCTCATTCAGCTGTCCAACGCTGAGCAGATTATGTTTGGCGTCTGGCACGTAAAGCACATTCTGTATCGATAAGTCCAAACTGTGAAGAACAACAGTTCCGTAGCCTTTACTGGGAATAGTGTGGTCATCCGCCTGGTGAATCGCACCTTCCTGCGGTGTAAAAGACACAAACAGTTTCTTATCGTTGCACATGTGGTGGGTCGCCGCTGAATCAACAACGAAGAAAGATCTAGACGTCTTCTGGACCTCTGCAACCTTTGGAGTGAAGCGTGAAACCATAGCCTTGTGCTGCGTTGTCCTAGACACCGGACCTTTGCCTTTGCCTCGGCCTTTTCCGCGCGATGAGCTTTCGCTGCGCTGCTCTGTCTTGGCCCTGGGATGTCTGCATTCCCTCTTCATATGGCCTAGACGTCCACACGAGTAGCATTTCACTGCCTTCAAAGCTTTGGCGCCATCTGGTGGTTCCACTGCACTATGGGATGACGTCTGTGAAGACTCTCCCTTGCCCATGCAGCTAGCACCCCGGCGATCTGCTTCATTTAAAATCACGGCAGTAACAAAGTCCACTGTCAGCTGAGCAGTTGGTTGCACAGCAATCTGGGTTGCAACAGACTCCCAACCTGAACCCAAAGATTGTAGTATCATGAAAGAATACACAGCCTCTGGAAAGTTGAGTCCTCTCTGTTGCAGCTCATGTCTCAGATTTTGCATCTCCATCAGATGTAAACGTACATCTCCACCTTCAGCAAGAGCCATATTATGCAGCTTGTTAAAATAAAACATAGTTGATCCAGCTTCTGTCCTTAAGTGAGCCTCTCTCAGAGCGTCCCAAATTTCTCTGGCTGAGGTCTTATCACGCAATAGACAGAGCTCTTCTGGGGATACTATCAATGTAAGAGTTCCCCTTGCTTTGGAATCCTTAGCTTCCCATGCATCTGTAACTGGAACTGGGGGTTCCTGTAATCACCTCAAACAAACCCTCTTTCCGCAGAATTGCCTCTGCATACTGAACCCAGTCGCTGTAATTTGTCTTGTTGAGCTTAGGAATCCCACAAGCATCCTGAAGGGCCATCATGACTCTGGCATTAGCCTTCAGCGTCATATCTATGCTGCTTTAAATCTTGCTGCGTCACTGCTGCAGCTGCCTTATCACAAAGGCACACTTAAAAGTTACTTTCGATTTCCCCAGCATAGTGACTTGTGCCTGGGAGCCTTTTGCCTATTCGCAAAACCGGCTTTAAAAGTTCAAAGTCCAGCCATAAAGCCATTATCTTGAAGCTGGCAGGCTGCCCGGAGCAGTAGCACATACCTCATCAATCACTTCTACGCGCAGAGCAGATTCCTTTCCGATCTGTCCTCCCTCTGCATTCCGATCCTTTGCCGGCACTCCGATTCGACCTCTGGAGTCCATAACCACGTGTTGATTTAAGCAGAGTCTGTCGTGCCCAACGGAAGGATGAGAATACGTGCTGCATACTCTTTATTGCTTTATTTACAGTTCAAAGCTGGTATATTACAGAAAGACATCTTGCCTCTGCAAGAGCAGAAAAATGCATCCTCTCTCCTCGACAGCTCGGAGAGAAAACACAGTGAAAAACAGGAAACCAGTGTACGTCACATCCAGTCTCCCTTTCCCGTGAGAAACCCAACAGTACAGACTGTGGAATGTAAACACCTGTCTTGTGACTGCAGTTGCTGCACAGTGAAGGAAAACAGAAACCAACAGTCGCAAACGACTCTGTGGTTGCAGTGCTCATCTCGCTTTACAGGCTGAGGGAGCCGGCGTTTGTCCGCTCCGCAGACAGTTTTTCCGGGTCATGTGGCCAGCATGACTAAGCCGCTTCTGGCGAACCAGAGCAGCGCATGGAAACGCCGTTTACCTTCCCGCCAGAGTGGTACATATTAATCCACTTGCACTTTTTGGTGTGCTTTCGAACTGCTAGGTTGGCAGGTGCTGGGACCGAGCAACGAGAGCTCACCCTCTCGCAGGGATTTGAACCGCTGACCTTCTGATTGGCAAGCCCAAGGCTCAGTGGTTTAGACCACAGCGCCACCTGCGTCCCTAGACAAGGGGTAGTCAACCTTTTTATACCTACCGCCCACTAATGCATCTTTCTTGATGGTAAAATTTTCTTACCACCCACCAGTGCTCGATGGAAGGAGGATTCAGCTTGTGCCATAGAACCCCCTACCACCCACCCAGAATCCTGAAACGCCCACTAGTGGGCGGTAGGGACCAGGTTGACAACCCCTGCCATAGACCATGCTGGATTGGCTGATTGAGTTGGGAATTAGAGGCTGTGCTGTGAAGTGGTTACATTCCTATCTGGAGAGCAACTTTCAGAAGAAGTTGCTGGGAGACTGCTGCTTAGCCCCCTGGCTTTTAATATTCTGAGTTCTGTGGGGTTTTTAATATTCTGAGATCTTGTCTCCCATGCTATTCAGCATTTACATGAAACCATCTTGCTGCTTTTATCTGATTTGTTCAGAAATGTTATACAACTAGCAATGGCTTACAGCAGAAATGAAACTGCAGTGTAGTTTCTAAAGTGCTCTAAAGTAGCACTTTAGAGGCTAGCAAAATGTATTATTCCTTAAGCGTGCATGAATTACAAAAAATGAGACATCTGATCCTGTGGATTTCAGTCCCTTAAACCTTAGGCCATAATAAATTTGTTAGCCGTTAAGGTAGTAGTATTGTTCTTTTTGTTGTTTTGCTCAAGATGCACAATGGTTTACTTTACAGAGTTGTGACGGTAAAAAAACATTTTGGCAAAATTAAAATTAAATTAAAAAGCTATTTGTAAAATTGAAGTTCTTAAGTGTCCACAATAGCAAGGGAGAATGATGATGAGAAAACCAAAACAACTTGGCTGCACCCCATGAACTCCTAGCATCCTCACCAGGTCTAGTGGGCAGCCGCACCACTGATTCTTCTAATCATTTAATGGAAATGAACACTTTTGCAACATGGAAGTTCTCTGTGTTGGTGGTATTTACTAGTTTTTATTATTGTAGACCAAACTATAACTTCTGAAAAAAATATAGCCACTTGTTATAAAACAGCACACTGTGATACATCTCCAGAAGTGCTAACAAAGCTTACTGCCCATCATAGGCACAGTCTTGACCCTTGTTTCCTACATGATTTCTGACAGAATTTTCAACTACTTTATTAAATTTGATTAGATCACCCTTATTCTATGAATGTATTCAATTATATGAATCTAATTCTTAAAATCCCTTCTGTGTTGTTGAAATAAAAGCCATCTTATGGCTACTGGGCCATAAGACACAAGGGCAATAGACTAAGATGATTACTCATTTTCTCTCTGCTTCTAAATGAGTAACTAATTATGTTATCTAATTTTCAATAGATAGTCATATTCACTCTCCTCAAGAATGTTCACGGCAGCCTGTAAAATAGATGCTTTAAATCAAGGATTCACAAATCATTAATTTGCTAAAACACATTAGGAAGGAATGGTGGGAGTTGGTTTTTTTTGTAAGGGAGGAGAGAGAAGAAGCCAGCCGTCTTGTCCAGAAAAAAATACAAAAAGGGGATAGGAGCTGGTTTTCTTTACCCTGTGAAACCAGTAAGTTTAGTGTAGCCCAATTTTGTCCATTTGCACCATTAACAGAAATGCTACCCCACTGAATTGGCACTACTTAGGTTCACGAACTGCTCCTAGAAAAAACCTGCTAATTGTACTCCTTGACACTTAGTCCTCCCTGTGCTTAACTTTTTCATATTTTCTAGCTTGGAACCTGCTTCTTAGCTGACATTCTCTATACTGTTGCAGCTGCAACCCTTCACCCTTAACACAAGAACAGTCCTATTGGATCTACCTGTGATACAGAATCCTCTGTGATTCAATTTCATTGGCTGGAGTTCTGGTATGGAAAAGAGAGAAAAGTACTATACTTTCTCCCCAGCCCACCTTCTCTACACTGTGCATGATTTTGTAGATTTCTATCATGTGCTCCTTAGTTACTTATGTCAATATTTATTAATGTGGTTGGGAGGCTATATATATATATATATATATATATATATATATATATATAGGTTCCCCCCTCGTTCCCACTATGAGAAAGCCTGTATGAGTCTAGCTTACGTATGTTAGAATATTCCTATTTTCATTGGAGAAATGTTGGAGTGTATCCAATGGGGAATTGCACACCTGTACAATCATATCTTTATGTTGTACAGACTGCATATCCAGACCATAGATATGATATAAGAGCCTTCTAACTTTCTCCAAAGAACATTACATTTACAATATGATGTAAACAGGGATACATTACACTGACTTGGACAAAATTGGGTCCTCTGTAGTGTGTTGAACAGGGCAGTCTAAAAGCAATTTTATTATGGGAATGTTCAAGCACTTGAGGAAGTGAACTAGACAAGAATGCAAAAATCCCACTGAAAGCAGTGCTCCTAGCAACTAGCCAAGACCTGCAGTAAACATGAGCACAGCAAACTTCTTTGTTATGTGAACTTTTGTGGTTTCCATTTAACAGTGGAGCTGTCTGGACAAGATTTTATCTGCAGTTTGTTAATATGAATGTGGAGATCATCACAATGACTCAGTTTCACAATTTCACTGTTAATATTTCTATCCCTTTATCTTATCATATTTTGTAGTCTCTTGTTTAGGATCTTTTACACCTTTATCTGAACACAGTACATACTTTGTTGTGCTCAGATTGTATGGTGATGGGGTTATTTATGTCCTGATCTTTCGAGCTTCTGAGTCAACAAAGTAGAATCAGTTCACAAAAATTTGTGCAATATAACAACCAGGATATCACGCTTCGGGTATGAGCTAATGCAACAAGGTAGTATGGATTGATAACTAAGATGCTGGTAGGATATTGCAGCAGAGTTTGTTAGGGCAGTAGTATGCAAAATAGATCAGAAATTGGTAGAAAGGGCTTCCATTCAGCAGGGACCCATCTATATTGGTGCCAGCCCATGCAACTGGATTTTTTTTTAAAAAAAAGATTTCAAATCATTGCTGTCGATCTCTTTTTTGTCAGCTGTGTCACAAATGGGAGTTGTGGGATACAGTAGGTTTGAGCTTGGAAACATTTTACCAAAAAGGAGAAAGGTTACTCTGGTTAATGGATACAACTGAGATTCAAATGATCTACTGCCATTATCACCTCTTTGGAAATTAACTGAAAGTGAAGAGCTGCATCACTTAATTTAAACGTACTTGAACGAGAAGAGCTAGTGCAATTTTGTTGTGCAGTTATCCCGCATACTTATTTTGCAATGTGTACCTCCCAACATCCATGATGAAGGACGTAATTTCCTGATGATTTAGAGAGATCAAATTGCACATAACTTCTGTATATTTAATATATATGCATATTGTGCTGAGGATAGCTATAGATAAGAAACATTTTCTTTCACATAATGTTTGAATGGAACACTTAGGTGACTCTGAAGTGTAAACCACATTAATGTTTCTCCACTAAAATGCAAAACAGTGTATTGAAAAACAAATGCCAATTGAATGTGACTATACAAAGCAGATACTGTATCGTACTAAGGTGCCATCTGGTGGAAAAAAACAAATGACAGAATTAAGGAAACCACTTAATACTTCCACTCAGGGCTGGATTAACCATTAAGCAAAATAAGCACTTGCTTAGGGTATCAAGGGAAGGGGGCACCACAGATTCATTGCCAGATTTTTAGCATTAATGGTCACAAATTGCTCAGCTGAGTGTTCATTTTCTCAGTTGAAGTATATTAAAAATCCCAACAGAACAACTATGCAACGAGGTAGGCTGGATGCCTTATTATCTCTACTAAGTATGGAGGCATATGTCTTATGTAAGATTTGTTCTAAGGATCTGATCAAAGACTTTGCAATAAGAAAAAGTAGAATTTTCCCCCAAATATGAATAAAGTGGAAGTATACAAAAATAAACATTACTTTCCATCTTTCTGTAGGTTTTGTTTCATTTCAAAAAATATAATTTTGAATTAGATAAATATGGGGGCACCAAGTGCCTAGGACCTCCAAAGGTCTTAATTTGGTCCTGCTTCGCAAGATGTCAAGTGCTAAACCAGTCTTGAAAATAAGTTCAGAAATTTACAAGCCTGCTGAATCTTTGCAAAATAAGTCCCCCCCCCCCCAGCAGAACTTTGCTTTCATATGCTAGGCACAGAGGCAGGGTAGAGGATGTAAGCTCTGCTCCATAAAACACCAGATGTAGCTGCAACCATTTTAAAAAGGGGAAATTCATTCCTCATTGCAAGAGCAGCACAGAAGAAAGCCCAGGAAAAGCACTTTAAGGGGGTGCAGGGGGGATCCTTACAGGTAGCATGCAAAAAATTTGCAATACTGCCAAGACAGAAGAGCACAGTACAGGAAGTGCTAAGAATGGGATTTTTAAAATAATTATTTTTCATGTAGATAGAAGTACGCACAGTGGTTACTCACTTTTTCTTAGGCTCCGTTAATAAAGGTAACTATTTGTGGAATAATTTATTCCTGAGGAGACTAAAATAGGATTTCAGAACCCCTTCAGACCTGCATAGGAGAGAAACAATTTTACACTGCCTGAGGAGTATGTTGAATTGTTTAGAAGATGTTTTGTCACAGAAGCTACAAAGAAGAGAGGTTTACGTTTATGGTGAATCCATGGCAGGATAAGTTCTGTGAAGTTTTGTTAGTGGTCCATCAACCCCTCCCTGCCCTCCCTCCTTTTCTTGTCCCACTTTCCTCCTGAAGGAGCCTGGGGCACCTCGTTTGTCTTTCAGCCTGCACTGAGATGGGGATCAATGTAGCATGTGTGGTCTGTATGCTTGCATGTGTGTGTGCATGTGAGAGTGTGTGCTCTAGGAATGTGTGTGCATGAGTGAGAGAATGTGTATACAGTGGTACCTCGGGTTAAGAACTTAATTCGTTCTGGAGGTCTGTTCTTAACCTGAAACTTTTCTTAACCTGAAGTACCACTTTAGCTAATGGGGCCTCCCGCTGCGCCGCCGGAGCATGATTTCTGTTCTCATCCTGAAGCAAAGTTCTTAACCTGAGGTACTGTTTCTGGGTTAGCGGAGTCTGGAACCTGAAGCGTATGTAACCTGAGGTACCACTGTACTCCTCCTAGTGTGTGCATGGGCACCTTCCTAATTCTGTTGTTGAATGTGATGCAAGGTCATAAACGGGATAGTTCTTGGTGCCCCCTCAATGCCCTCTGGCTTTTACCAGGGGGCAAGCTTTTAGTTTGGCAGTTCCTGCCCTGTGGAACTCCTAGACGTTTGGCAGGTGTCACCTCTGCTATCTTATAGATCTCTTTTAAAAAATGTATTGTTCAGACAGGCCTTTAAATACAATTTTTTTTACTGACCATTTTTCATTGATATGTCATTGGCATTTTTACTGTTATTATTGCAGTACTGTGTTTATAAGCTGTTCAATGCCTTGTTTTATTTTCTATGAAAGTGTGGTTTTGAAATAACTAAATAATAAATGAATAATAAAATCAGCTGAGGAATACAGGCCGCAATGGAACTTAAGAGAACAGCGAGACGTATAGGAGTCTTTGGAGACAGGGGTTTGCTGAAAAGCCATTGTTTAATGCCAAACCATACAGCACACAGACTCCCCATTCTCTTACGCCATAAAGTATAAATGGATTTGGAAAGGATGAAGGAATGTGGCTTGATTAAAGAAATCGCCAAGCCTTTCATGACAGTACAAAAGTGCCACCTCGTGGAAAAAACAAATAACTGCAGTGCTAGGTAACTTTATTAATGAGAACACAGACGTATTTGGGACTTTTAATTTGGTTCTGATCATAAAATTTTGCAAACATTGAAAGTTAGTCCTGTAGGTTTTTAAAGTCATTTCCCAATTTTTTAAAAATGTACTAGTTTATACAAAAGTTTTTAATTTCAGGGTTGAAGCACCTTCCAGGTAGCTAAACTAGACAACTGTAGTTTATGCTTCAGCATTTGATCTTTATTATAGCTGCACTTTTCCTTGAGCATAAGTTCCCAAGTTCACCTAAAAAAAACCCCTTTAAAAAACTTCTTATCAAGTTTGTACCTTTCAGCATTTAATTTTCTGCTTGCAGCAATGTTGCGTTAAACTATAAGGTATATAACCCTTGGTCTTTGAGTGAAGCTTCATTGAAGGTATTGTCTTTATCATATGACAGACTTGTAAATAAATGTTAAACAATTTTGTTGAAGTTCAGAGGATAAAAAAGGTCAGCAGTCTGCCTTCTTTATTCCCGATAAAACTACAAAGATAATAGCTTTGATTTATTTCCCTTTGAGGAGAGAATAACACAGTGCAGCATAGAGGATTTTTCACACTAGATATCTACATGATTTACATACTCTTTTAGAGAGTGCTGTTTTCTTCAACTTTCTCCCCCAAAGAAATGTTAGCTTCCTTGTCTTACATAGGCACACAAAATAGAAAGTCTGTAGTACATTCCATTTTTTCGAGATGAGTATTGTTCAGTTTGTTTTAGCCTTTGACTTGAATATATATCATTAATTCCAGCTTGTTAGCATGATGGAGTGGTGCAGTTTCTTCTGCTGATTCCAAATCCATGTATATCTGTGCAGTTATTTGTCTCCAACACCAGCTCTGCCTATGTCATTATCTGATGAGGAAGGTTGTTGTGTACAAAAACTATCATTGTTATAAATTAGTTCATTGATAAGGTGCTAGGAAACTTTTGGGTTTCTTTCTAGGCTGGACTTTGTGTACCAAAGTCTGCTGCTGTCTGAGAATATTTCTCAAATTAGGAGGGTAGACTTCCTGGATGAGTATGTCATGTATGAGGAGCACAGATAATTTGACACCTGCTATTGAAAACAGTTATCTGTGGATTTCCCCAAAATGTGGATTTAAATCTGCTGCAGTTGCTGGAATTGGATCATGCGTGCATGCTCTGGATCATAGTACTTAAGGCTGAAGATGCAGTGGTCAGATTGAGGAGTGTGGGTGCAGATGTGGAGGAGGCAGGAAGCAGAGAGGCATGGAGTGTACATGAAACTGCACTAAGTATGTAAATATAGGAGCTGTCTGTAAACCCTGGCCATAGTATGTGATGAGGGTGTCTACAGTTAGACTGCTATGATGCAACTGCAGTTGAGGAATTCCGCTTTTGCCCTTTGAATTGAGTATGTGATTTTCAGGGATGGGGTTAACAAAAGCGAGATTGCCACCTCTCCTATTTTATTTCGTGATTATTATTATTGATATTATCATCATTAGGATTCTATAAAGCCCTTCATTTTAAGATTGTGGGAAGTTTACAGGATTAAAAACAGCATTGCAAACCTATTCTTTATTTTTTTTAAAAAAAATCAATAATAAAGTAACATTGGTTTGTACAACCCGCTAAGCCAAACCTTGTCCTAGCTTAGTATGGCAGAGGAGCAAAAAAGGACCAGAGATGGGCAAAGTGGCTACAAGCTCTTCTCCCAAAGTTTGTATGCTTGTGCAGCCTCACAAACTGGATATAATAAAAACAATAAAGTTTTTGTAAAAGTCTTTTTTTGGTAAAAAACAAAACAAAACCCAGGGAGAATAAAAGACCTGGCACAAAAAAGATAGCATAATACGTGCCAGGTGAGTATTTCTGGGAGAGGAGTTGCCACCTGCCTTACTTGCATCAGTGGGATGTTCAAAGAAGAGCATTGGCAGGTGACCTAAGTGTACAATCTGTATTTGGTTTCTGTCTTAGATTTTAAGAGCTGTTGTGTTTCTGAGAAATTATTTTTGTGAATCACATAACAGTAGCAGTGTTTGCTTTGATAGCAAGCAGGTTTTTCTTGATACTTTTTTTCTTTGTTCACTGGAGTGCATTATTCCTATACCTATGTTTTAGGAGTAGCAGGTTCAAGATATGTGAAGGTGGGGATTTGTATCTTACGCCAGATGAAATGAAAATCTACTTGGGCAATAGCTCCTCCATTATCTTACTTCAACAGATAAAGCAAACACTATAAATCAGCATTTTATTACTAAGGCAAGATACAAAAGATGGCTTTAACAGTCCTGCACAGAGGGAGTAGATAAGAAGCATTTGTCCTTTCATTAGTGTATGTAATACCATATTTGAATTAATATTCAACACAATAAAAAGTGAACAAAAATTGGCGACAACTGATGGTGGTGAGCAGTCATGCTGAATTATATGATTTTAATAATTTGTGGCAATCTTTCCTTTTCTTATGTAATTATTTTTTTGGAAAGTAAAAGGCTACAGCCTTACAGCAACGTATAAGAGATTTTAATAGAGATTGAATAGAGAATGCAGTGTAGTGGATTTGAACAGGGAACATACTTTCCATACAGCGTATACTAGCGTCTCTCTGGAATATATAAAATAGGTATGTGAAATATACCTCACAGGCGTAGGCTGCAATCCTTACTCCCTGATGGTGGGAGTTAGGTTGGTGTGTAGAGCTTTTTCCCCACTGGCTTTTGTCCCAGCTCCACCAAAGTGGGCAGAAAGCTACTGTTGGTGGTTCTTATTCTGATGGTCGACAGCTGAAAGGATAGAAACAGATTAGTTTGTTTTGAGGTGGGGCGGCAGAGGCTAAGTCCCATGGATCCTCCCCCCAAAGGCCCAGTCCTTAAGCCTCTCAGTTTTGCCAACCAGGAGCTGGTATAACGAAAGAAAGAAAGAAAGAAAGAAAGAGGCTTCCAATGCAACAGGGACCACACTTTCGCGCCTCCCTGGCCCCTTGTTAGTATAGTATATAACTTTATGGAGGTAATTAAATAGGCATATACTGACCCAGGGTGCTTTTATATATAACATTTACCATGAGAAAGGGCAGTGTTAAATGTACTTCGCTTTTTTTTATTTCTTGAGTGGGCATGTATGGGGTAAAGCAAATCTTTAAGTAAACTTGTCCAAAACTTCCTTACAATAAGAACATCACGATGTTATCAGCATAATCTGTGAAAACCAATCTATGAGACCAATGTGACGGTCATATTTTTAAGTAAATGATCATGTCCTATGAGGTACTTACCACACAGAGAGAGCATCCAATTAGTCCAGTTCAGCATCTACGTATGTATTTGCTTTCACTTGTTTTTCTTAGTATCTTCTATGATGCTATCCATTACAGCTGTCTACTTTAATGTATGGTGAATATATGTTGGTAATTAAGCAAGCATTTTTGTTAAAAAAAGAAGATAACGTGGGAAAAAATATATTTGAAAAATTATTAAATAATTTATTTTAAATAATTACAATATTTTAGATAAACGTATGTAACACATAGGTATGAGTGGTAGCTACACTCAGTAATATGGATAATACTAAATATCTGATGAAGCCACCTCATGTGTTTTATTTTTCTCATTGGCTAATAATGTCTTTTCAGTTCCAGCTGTGTTGTATGTCTGTGTGTGAGATTAGTGTTCATAGCAGTATGAAGCATTAGTTAGCGGCTTGACTAGTTAAATAATTACCTTTACTTGTACAGACTTGGCCCTTGTTGTCCTTGACAATAGGATGCTCTCATGTGCAATTAAACATTAATTTGCCCCCACTCTCCTTGGGTCTCTGCTTATGGATTTTTTTCACTTCCAGTTATGCCCCACTGATTATAAAACCTTGGTTTCCAGCCGCTGAAAACCTGATTAGACTTGTGCTGCTCTGATGTAAGGTTGACCCCCCCCCCCCCGGTATACCTTCTAGGCTTATTATTTTGGAGCAGCAAGTATAAATACCAAGTAAAATATTCATTCCTTTTTTAAATATAGGGAATGGGAACATTTTGAAGTTACAGTGGTGTTTCGTGCGACCAATCAAATGTGAGTGTATCAGGTAAGAATTAATTTTTTGTTAATAATCAATTTCATTTTCAAATGCTAGGTTTGTAGAAATAGGTTTCTCTTTTAGAAAAAGCACATACATGCATCTAAACGTATTTCTTACACTGCATGTTATACACCCATCACAAAGCAGCAGAGTTCTACCACGTACCACTCATGGTAGTTACTGAAATGTGATAAAAGACAGTATTTACCACACTGCATGTCTACAGTATGCATTGCATTGCAATGTTGCACACTCACTAACTCGTCACATTTAGGCTAAGCAATTACTTAGTCAGTCTAGATAATAAGTAGGCAGAAGTAAGAAAGATGAACAGCTACCATGAAGCTATGCAGTAGTTGTGGAGATAATATTTTTTGGCTGGCAGGTATTAATAGGCCAGTCATGTATCAATGAAGAACAAGAAGGCGATGACTACAGTGCTTCTTTCAGGTTTAATATCAGTCAGTTCAAAGGATCAGATATTAGGTGACCAGAATGGAGTGTAAGTCAGTCAGATAAGCAAGGAACATCTAGGCTGTAATGTTACTATAGCAAGAGTTAGACTGCACATCATTCCCTCTCAGTGGGGAAGATGTTTCTTACACTGTTCTCTGTTGTTAGACTCTAGTGCACTAACTCCGTAAAGCAGTCCAGACTTGTTTTTATGGAAGCAGTAGTTTGCTGACCTAGATGGGGATTTCGCTGGAGTTGGTGATATGACAGCTATGTCTGGAAGAAAAGCAAAAGGCCTCGGAGGGTAATCATACTATGTGGCAGGGTAGCCCCAAATACTGATGGAGTGTCTTTTTTTTTGTAAAAAAATAATAATTCTTATCTTTGTTTAGGTGTAGGTTGTGACTTCTCTTGAAAGTACGTTTTGTAGGATCTAGTGACTGCCTCATTTCATACATGTTATAGACAGTTGTGGACCTGTGAAAACAGGTTATGTAGGCAGTAAGCTTCATATATATGACAGCTTGCAGAATTCCCTTGTTTGTATATTCCTGTCCTGTCACCAGTCATTCTACCAGAAACAAAATCATTTATTTACTTTGCTTTAAATTTTGCCCTGCTGAAGGATGCAAGGTGTTGATATCAAGTACGGAACACTATAGGTAGACCCATGGCCCCTTGGAGGACTTAACAACAGAAACATAAACTGACCCAGAGAGGATGGAGAAAAAATAAACAAATGCATAAAATAAAAAACATTAGTCTTCCTTCAGATACATACATAGAACAATATCAGAGTTATAATTCATATTTTTAAAATGATGCTGTGCACTGTGAAAAAAAATCCAATCATAACTGGCAAGAAATCTGCTTTTTTGAGATTAGAAAAGGAATTTTCTTGTCAAGTGTCTTACAACAAAGGACAGATTTTTTTAAAAAAAAACTTTGAGGAAATGACATGGTGATGTCCTTTCAAATGAGGAAATGAATCCTCTTCCTGTGAAAATGAAATCCTCCACATATCTCAGTTGCCTTTTAAGCCTTTCAACCTGTCAATGAAATTGTGTAATCAAATAATAGCATGCCTGAAGCTTATAGCCTTTTCTTGAGAAGTAGTATCATCAAACGATGTGCTCTATTGATTTTAATCACACTGAACCAGATTTTTTAAACTTAGAGTAACGGTATTGGCTTCAGTAGGATTACTCCAGAATTTATATCATATAAGCACAGAATTCTGTTCATTTAAGCAAAATATTATCCACTATAAGGTACTGGAACATCACTAGGTGAAAGAAAATATGGTCGGATTTTCTTTTTCTGGAAGCTATTCAAATAGTCTTTCCTTCTGACCACCTGCTAAAATTGTCAGATATTTGCCTCCATTTTGTGATGAGTATTCAAGGTCATTGCAGTGCTCAAATGTACATGCTGTTTTACTTTTTCTTCCTAGTCAGCCTGAGTTCTTGTTCACTTTTTCATTTTTTATCCATCATATATTGTACTTCAACACTGCTATGCTAAAAGTGCATTTTCTTTTTAGTTTATTAAAGGTATTTTCCAGTTAATCCTAACACTTCTGAGCATGTCTACTGGTTCCCAAACATGTTCAGCCACTAAAACTTGCATGCTCTGTACAGTTTTATTATTTATTTATTTTGGGGATTTATATATGTACTGCCTTTCAAAACATAAAATCTTTCCAACTACCATAAAAACATCATTCAATACATCAATACTATAATTAAAAGAGGAGTAGAAAGCAGTTTGATAATTATCCTTTGAGCAGGAAACTGTTTCAAATTCTGCTAAATTTTGCTTTGCAGGAGCTTAAATGAAAGAGTATTAACAGTATGTTTTATTGACTTTGGTATTCCATTAATTTTTCACTTTATAAATGGAGCTATTAAGTTCTTACTTCACTATAGAACGTTTTAGTTTGTCAGGATTTTGTAGGTGGTATGAAACGAACTAATTCCATAAACACAAGGATTTCACCCCCTCTCTTCCCCCTTCATGGCCCCTAAATTTGTTCAGCGGTTTTTTCCTACTCTGTAGATCAAATTTGAGGAGGATGTGGGGTTCTCATGCGCAGGGAGGAGGGAGTTCTGGTGTGTAAGTGGGGATTTTTTATGTTGAAGGAAAAATCTAGTTGGACATTGCCCTGTAAATTGTCTTCTGAAAAGCCTTCCCCCAGCTCTCCAGAACAGATTTGTGCCAGTGTGTCGGAACTACAGGGAACAGCGGGATTCAGCAGCCTCTAACTCAGTGGCTGTCACTGCCCCAGAAGATCAAGCACCTATTGTTCATATTCATTTCAAACCTTGAAAGTATTTGATGGGGAAAACAGACTTAAGATCTTGCAAATCACTTTCTGGTTTTCTCACTTGCCCCAAATATGCTGCCAGAGATGCTTCCCCACTTTATGGCTTCTCTTTCCAAGGTACCTCCAGAATTTCAGTACCTTCCCTATCCCTCCCCACTCTGCATCATCTGGATCCCAGGCCGAACCTCCAAATTCCACCCACAAGGTAAACTCTTTGCAGGGAACATGGCTAAGGTTGTGCAAATTTATACAAGTTCATGATTTGCTATTCAAAAAAAATCTTTTGGTTTCTTCTTACAGAGTCTGTATTGCCATGGTGCAAAATTTGATTTTACTGGGAAGAAAACTTCACAGTGACCTTCAGCAGAGTAACTAGAATAATAACTCAGTGAGTTGATACACTTTGGCAGTACAAGAATTAAAATAAAATAGTAGCGGGGAAGTATTTACCTCATGTATATTTGCTTTGAGATGCAACTAGGCATACAGTGGTGCCCCGCAAGACGAATGCCTCGCAAGACGGAAAACTCGCTAGACGAAAGAGTTTTCCGTTTTGGAGGTGCTTCGCAAAACGAAGCTCCTATGGGCTTGCTTCGCAAGACGAAAATGTCTTGCGAGTTCCTGCGGTTTTTTTTCCCTTCCCCCCCCTTTTTCTAAGCCGCTAAGCCGCTTATCTGCTTATCCGATAAGCTGATAAGCCGCTGATAAGCCGCTAAAAGCCGCTAAAAGCCGCTAAAAGCCGCTAAAAGCCGCTAATAGTGCTAATAGCGCTAATCCGCTAATCCGTCAATGGGCTTGCTTCGCAAGACGAAAAAACCGCTAGACGAAGAGACTCACAGAACAGATTCTTTTCGTCTTGCGAGGCACCACTGTATATAATGTGGTTAAGCAAATGTAACCTATTTCCATTTAGACAATTTTGACAGTGATTGATTTTGATCTATAATGGCATGGCTGAAATATTGATAAACTTGAGTTAGCACCTTCAAATGTTTGAATGCGACACATCACAAAGTACATAGGTGAGATGGCAGACCCAGTTGTGCTTATTGCTTGTGAATGTACTCTTAGAAACATAAAAGGATAATAATAGAATCATAGAATTGTAGAGTTGGAAGTAATAAAAGTTTTGTGTTTGTTAAGCAGAGATGAAATGTTTGGATACAGTTACATAGTATTGTTTTGTTTTTTGTTTAATTATCTAGCTATTGGTTTTAGACTTTAATAACATGGCACCATTGCACATGAGCTTCCTATAGCATTCTGGTCAAAATGTAAAGGGTCTGTTTCACCTGTAAGGACTTTACACACCTTTTGCTTTGATTACTACAAGCTTTGGTCTGTCCAGAAGGGATTATAATGATTTATCCTGCATTTGTTTAGATAACTTCTGTTCTTCTTTGATATTTTAGGAATGCTTTAAAATGTACTCTGGCTCTCTGCATAAAAAGAGATTAGGAAGCTAGCTATAAATTTGATATGCTTGGCTAACACAAAAAGCATACAAGAGATTCTTTAGGTTAATTATTCTTCAGTATCCATGTGGTGGGTAAATCACACTTGCACTTTGCATGGTTGACCATTAAGCTCATTGATATGCTGCTATATGTCAGGGATGGCTGACTTCTGCATTGTTGGGGACCATGCCATTCTCCTAATCACCTGGTGGTAGGAAGTGTCTATTAACTAGCAACCGACTTTCTCATGACTAGTCAAGCTCCATAATAAAGTAGGTGCAGTGCAATACTTGTTGTTGTTGTTTAGTCGTTTAGTCGTGTCCGACTCTTCGTGACCCCATGGACCAGAGCACGCCAGGCACCAGAGCACGCTTAGGGTATCACAATTATAGAACCCATGTGCTCAAGGTTTAGCCAGGACAATACATACAAAATCCAAAAGAGAGAGTATGTGTGGAGTCACTATTTCTTGGGAATGGAATCTCTTTTCCTTATAGCTGAAAGTGTAGACCAGCCTTTCATGACACCATGCTTATAATTTGGTTGGGCTGTAGAAGGTGCTGTAAAATGATTTGGTCCCGGGATTGTCAGTTGGTCTTTCCTGTCATATATTTAAAGTCAAAATTTAAAACCCTTGGTAGCAAACATTGGAACAAGAACAGCTCATTAATTTTTAGAGATGAGCAAAACCCATGTTAGACCCGCTGCCAACATGTGAGATGCTGGGCCCACCTGATTCCTGGCATGCCCATGGCAGCAGCCAACAGGGCTGAGGGGACAGCTTTGACTGGAGCTCTGGACTGCATGCCCAAACTCACCATTCTGCCATATTAATTATGCTGCCCTGGTGTGCTTCTGGCATGGAATCCAGTGCTCCAAGTGGCAATGGGGACTGCAGGGGGCAGCTCGGCAATGACACAGATCAGAGCTATCTTGATTATGTTTGTATTGGCCTCAGCCTACACATTTCACAGCTGAAGTGGCATAAGATGGCTGTGCCACCACCATCGTAGATAGGTTGGCAGGTAGCAATCTTGGAGGTGGAGTAGACATATCTCAGAAGTTGTTGGATCTGGGGGAATATACCTAGTGAGGAATATAAAGAACATTAGAGAGCAAAGGCTTTAAGGGGGGATGGAATTGTTTTAAGGTCTGACACACACACTGGCTTAAATTAAGTATTCTTCTTTTAAGGATCAAGCAATAAGATAGGATCCAAAGGCTTATCTAGTCCAACATCCTACCAAATACCTGAAGCCCTGTCAATTCATTCAAGCTAGCCAAATACACATTTACCTCTCTAGCATAATAGGTTTTGTTTTATGTTTTCAATTTTTATTCCACAACTGAGAATATAAACAGGGAAGAATTAAGTGTTGTGCTTTTACAAATGTTCTATCAGCACAAGGACTGAACAACCCCTCCTCTCTCCTCTATGAACATTTCTGGGGGTTTTCCCATTCCCACTGGGCCAATTTGGGGTGCAAGTGCAGGAGGCAAGACAGGAGGGAAAACCTTGTTATGCTAGGGGAAGTCCAGTTAGTTGAATCCAGCCCAGAATGATAAAGTAACTAATAACAAACAACAGAACATTCTAGCATGCTGTTTCTGTATGGTTGCTTTTTTGGGGGAGGGGGGTGTCTTTTAGTTTATGAACAGTAGGCAGATTACTTAGTCTGTAGACTTCAGTGGTTTCTTTCTATCCATTCTTACTCCAGCTCCCTTCCATGACAGTGCTACCTATTTCAACATGGTCCTCACTTTTTGAGGTAAGATTTTAGGTTGTACATAATATTCCTTCCAATATTACATCATAAAAAATGTAGCATTATATATTCCCCTTTTGTAAGCTGAAATCATCAAGATAAATAATTTCCCCTGCTAAAAAAGGGTAAAGGACCCCTGACAGTTAAGTCCAGTCGTGAACGACTCTGGGGTTGTGGCGCTCATCTCACTTTACTGGCCGAGGGAGCCGACGTTTGTCTGCAGACAGTTTTTCTGGGTCATGTGGTCAGCATGACTAAGCCGCTTCTGGCGAAACCAGAGCAGCGCACAGAAACGCCGTTTAAAAATGTGTGTATGTGTGTGTGTACACACGTGTGTATAGAGAGATCGAGAGAGATCAGAGGTCTGTATTACAGTACTGTCATTGCTTGAAGCCATTGCTAGTCATAACACATTTTAATACCACCAATCCACTAACTGTGACCTTCCAATTCCTTTTCTCAGCTTTTTGTTTTGCTTCCTTCAACAGTGGACACTGAGGTGCCAATCTTTGTGCTACTGTTTAATTTGCACAGCAGGATCTACACGACCAAACAGATGGCTGATCTCAGTCAGGAAAATACAACTGCAAAATGTACAGAGTGTTGCACATCATTTGAACCAAGCAATGTTGTGCTTTTTTGCCCCCGTTGCAATAATGGCACCATGAGCCCTGAACAAGCTGTAGTAGAGACCTCAGATTCACCAACTACTTCAGTGAGTGAATGTTCGGATCCCGAAGACACCTTGTCAAAGAAACAAACATCTTATTTAGCAAATGTAAGGATACTAACTTCAAAGATTTTATTTTCTTCCTGTTCCACCATCCTTCCACCACCCCAGTGTATGTTCAGATAACTTTCCCTTTTGTGAAATGCCTTTGTGAAATCTGGCCAGTGATAGTAACGTCAGGCAAAATAGGAAAATGTCAGGATTCAAACCTATAAAGCACTCCCTTCCAGGAAAGCTGCTTACCCACTCAGCCACAGAAACAGGCAGAAGACGTGGAACATTTGCCATCCTCCAGGTGACCATGTACAATTCCAACCATATGTGGCAGGACCAAATAGGACACATAAGAAACTCTAGCCCTATGAAACAGTAGAAGTCTTGCCTGGAGAAAGTCCTAGGCTTATACTCAGACAGGGATAGGAAGCTTAAGCTTGTGCAGACACACCTGACCAAGCCATTTGGGTGCTGGATGGGCAAATTACTTGTTTCTTAATGGACCTCTGCTCCATCTTCCTGTGCTGTTTTTCTTGGCCGGCTAGCTCTGCTAAGTTATTGATCATATATGCCTTGTTCCTCCCCCTCCCCCTGCCAGTTGATGGACTCCTTTACAGTGGCAGCAGTACCTGTTTCACTTGTGGGTTCCGAGAGGCTGCCCGCTTTGAATGGAGGGCTCACTGAACTTAAATCCCAGTAGTAGAAAAAGCATTGGCACCCCTCCCAGTTAAGACTCTCATCCTGAAGTGAGATTGAACTAGGATGGGAGAAGAGATCCCTATCCGCTAACTCCCAGTAACAAAGAAATGGCAGCTGTATGAAATCTTTTTATTGAACGGCATGGCAGATGGAATAGCGTCTGAAACAAAGGCAGGTGGGATTGCCAGTCTTTTGTCCCAGCGGCGGTTCGTTGCCATTGAAAACTGCATAACAGCAGGCAGAAGAGTTGCAGGTGTTACGCTCGCCGTGGCTTCTTCTACATGTTGGATATGCCTTTACCTGTTTAAGCAGCTGCCTGCCTGTCATCTTGCAAAGGTGCAGGAGCCTGTCTGGTAGCTCCACAGAGGAAAACCTAGAAGTGTTCTGGTGACTGCTAAGGATGAGTGAGCTGTCCAGAACTTGCCTTAGACCATCGCTTCTCAACCTGTGGATCCCCAGATGTTGTTGGACTACAACTCCTATCATCCCTGAGCTCTGGGCTTGTTAGCTAGGGGTGATGGGAATTGTAGTTCAACAACATCTGGGGACCCACAGGTTGAGAAAGGCTGCCTTAGACTGACTTATTCTCTGATCCCTCCCACACCCTGCTCAGGCCAATTTGAGGGCGTCAGAAAAAGCATCCACTATTCCCAGAAGCCCTTTCTGCCGGTCCCCTGCCTCTGAAACGCAAGCTCTCTAACCTTCCTCTTTTAAAACCTAATAGGCATGGCGCTTTGAGCAGTGACAGCAGAGAGATGAAACAAGTCCCCCTTGCAACAACTGGGGTGACATCATTAGATCAGTTTCAGCTGATGTTGAGAATGTAGATATGTTGAATCATTTGATTTTCTTTGAAATAATAGCTCAGATTTAATCTCACAATTTTCAAAAGTTACAATAATTGTGTGGAGAAATTAAGCAGAAGTGGTGATTGACCTAAATTTCTATTATTCCCCTGATGCTTTTTATAGAAAATATGTACAAAGGACATTTTCTTTTGTTTTCAGTCCAGTGCTGTGTACTGCATTTATTTGAGAACACAAGTATTTGAAACTTGTACAGCACAAATCTTTAAAAGCTTTTGTTGCAAAAAAAATCCCCTGAAATAAATATACATTCAAAACAAATGGGATGGGAAAGCACTTAAGATTGAAACTCCAGAGGATTACCCATAATTTGGTCAATTAACACAAATTGGCCTCCTTAAAGTAGTGCTCTTAAAAAGCGGGATGCAAACTTTGAACAATCTCAGATAAACTTTGTTTGAACATACCATGAGTGATTTACATCTGATATAAAAAGATAATATAGTAACCTATGATTATACTTTTTATGTCATATAGTATAATCAAAAAGAATTACTTCATTTTACTATTGGCAACTGAGTTTTACATCTCGGATGGTCAGTAGAATGCATAGGATGTTTTGAAAAGCATGACCATTAACTTTAGAATTGCCATATATGAAATCCATTATTGTTATAGATTTCTTTACTTTTTTAGTGTAAGATGGATATTATATTAGCACAAATAATTTTAGCATCATTTTATTCTCTTAGTTATACATTTACTTGTCTTTTTTCCAACATCAGCTACTTCATTAATTTAGTATCTAATTGATTAACTTAATGCAAGCACTTAATGCAGTGTCATTTTTTGTTAGCGTATCCCAGTTGGCTGATTCACACAAAAAGAATAATCTTTTACTCTGCTTGATAAAAAAAAAAGTATTAGGCATTAGGAATTTTTTAAAACCCTACTAATTCTAGATTCTTTATTCAGGCTGTCTAACACCAGTAGCATTTACAGTTGTAAATATGTAAATACAAATACATTTCCACTACTGTTTATTTAGTGGAATTCCTTATATATATTGTCCGGTATCAGTTTAAAAAGGATTTTTTAAAAGCAGCCATTAGGCTCTTCTGCTTGGTTGGCTTATATAGGTACAGAGTGAATCAGATTGCCCTATTTTATTTTAACACGGTCCCTTCCAACTCTACAATTCTATGTTTCTATTAGAATATGAACATAGGAACCTGCTTTATGAAAAAAAGTTTTATTGTGCATTGATTTGGCTATTTCTGGTTTGAGAGTGCCATACTGCTATATAAATATTTTGGAATAAAAAAACAAAAATTGAATTGGATTATTAGTTCATCTAGCTCAGTACTGTCTCTTTACTGTGATTGGCAGTAGCTTCTCCAGGACTCAGATTAAGTTTCTTCCCAGTCTTGAGACTTGTATTGAATATGGGGTTTTGGATTGACTATAAGTACATAGAACATAGGAAACTGACTTTTAACAAGCCAGATCTTCAGTCCATCTAGCTCAATATTCTTGACATTGGCTAGCAATGCCTCTCTGGGTTTCAGGCAGGAATCCTTCCCAGCCCTCCCTAAAAACACCAGGGATGGAACCCGGAACCTTTGACATGAAAAGCGTATGCTCTATCACTGAGCCATGGACCTTCTCCTGCGAAGCATGTGCATCACCCTTAGGGAATGATCCCTTTTGGGACCATAGCTGGTGTGCTACCAGCTATCAAGGCAGGATGGTGCTGTTCAGGGTGGCTTTCGCTCTTTCAGCTGGTGGTACATGGGGGTAACTGCTCACCTGCTGCCTAGACATACTAGTCCTCTTGTAGAAAACAAGGAAATAGAGAGGCTTATTGGGAGACATGCTGCAGAATCTGGATTCTGTGAGTGAGACTGGCTTTTCAGCAAGCATTTCCTAGAACTGAAGTAGAACATAAAAAAGCAATGCAAGCTTAAATCACGTTGGAACTCCTTGCTGAAATAGATTAAATGCATCAGAAAGGAAAAAGGAATACATATTTTTATATAAGGTGTCTTTAGACTCTCTTTCTTTCCACTTATTCATACTCCGACACAGGGGTAGCCAATGTGGTGACTTCCAAGTGTTACTGGACTTCAGTTCCCACTATCCATTACAATTGGCCATACTGGATGGGGCTGAAGTGAGTTGAAGTTCAACAACAGCTACTACATTGGCTGCCTCCTGCTCCATCATACATTTTGATTGTTTTGCGATCTGTTGTTTTGAAATCTAATAAGTTCACCTTTTCTAGGTCTCGTCCCACTTCATATATTTTCTCGTTTTCTTGTAATAACTTACATATAACTTACTGCATGTGCCGGAAGGTACATAAAATAGCATATAGCCTTTTAAAACAATGGTTTGTATTTTAATTTCATGCTTCTCTTTTTATGTCCCTAAAGATGCCAAAGTCAGAACTAACAGACTCTCAGAGGAAAATGCTCATTACCACCCCAGGCATTCGTGGCAGTAATACAGATTTCAAAGTTCCTCACACGCGAATAGAAGATGGAGCAGCAATTCAGGTTCGTAGTTGTGCATTCCTCCAGACTTTTGGTACAATTTTTAATTAGAAGATGGCAAAAATAGCTGTGTAAATAGCTGCGTTGGTCCATGGGTGGGAGAGTGGTAATGCCTGTATAAGGACCATCCTGACTGATATAATACAGTATCATAGAATCACAGAACTGCAGATTGGTATCCAAAGGGTCATCATGTCCAACCCTCTGTAATGCAGCAATCTCAATGTCAAAAGCAAGCTTTCAAGTTCCTCAACACTCTTCATCAGGCTTGATGTCAGAGACTGGGCAGAGGAGGAATGGTGGAGACTGCCTCCCCAGCCAGACCCTTCCAGAGAAGGAGGAGACTTCAGAATTACAACAGGGGTTTGAGGAAATCACAGCTCAGAGGCAGATGAGGGGAAAAGCTGGGAGATAATGGGAGAGGAGGTAGAAGCACCACCCGAGGGGGGGACAACTGACGGACTCTGATGGACTCAGTGTCTTTAGGAAGCACTCCAGACCCTGCCCCCTGAACCCTGCAGGCATTGAAAGTAGGAGAGCAGAGAGCTCAGAGGCAGAAGGCATCTCAGCCACCATAGTGATGATGCATAATGGGAGAGGTGAAGAGGGTGGGGTTTCACTTGGAACAACACCATTACTCCAAGAGGCTGCATTTCTAAGCTTCTCTCTGTGACTATTGAATAAAAAGCATCGGTAAGAACTTTCCTTGTCTTATCCATTCCTGGCAATCTACCATGGGGGGTTTGATCTTCTGACTCTTGACACTGTATATTCAACAAAGCAAGATGGAGGGGGCAATAAAAATGGTCATTTATTATTGTTAATCTAATATAATATTCATTCAAGCTGCTTCTTTTTTTGCATTTCTATATCTATCAGAACAGTTTTGCTGTTCCGTTACGGTGGCATCCTCAGGTTGCTTGGCCAAAAGATCTAAAGCAACCTGGTGAACACAATGGAACTAAAAAGGGCTGGAGTGGACACAGCTACAATATACAAATAGATTAATGGGATGACAAGTAGTTTACGTGGTGTTAAACCCATTTTTCAAACAACAAATTGTTAGCAAAATTATGTACTTTGTAGATACAGCACTTTTCTAGTTGGGATTCTATGAACTTAAGAAGAGCCCTGCTGCCTTGGATCAAAGGCCAGTCTAGTCCAGTACCCTGTTCCCACAGTGGCCAACCAGATGCCTATGGGAAGCCTGCAAGCAGGTCATGAGTGGAATAATGTGTTCCCTAGCAAGTGCTATTCAGAAGCAGAATGTCTCTGATACTGGAGATAATATATATTGATAATAATGACTATTAGCCATTGATAGCGATAACAACAGCAGCTTGTAAAGTACTTGCGGTTTTCTAAATACTGAACATACATTAAAGAAAAGGCAGCCCATACATGCAGGATAGACACGATACAAATGGAAAAAAGAAATGGGGAAGGGAAAAGGAAAGCAAGTATTTGAGCAGCTGCTCTTTTGTCAGCCAATAGATGGGGCCAGGTCGACATTCCCTCACCAAAAAGATTTCCTTGAGAGGCTGCTCCTGCTGCTTGATCATTTTGAATGCCATCATGTGCAACTTTTCCAGTTCTACAATTATACTTTGCAATCGGTGGTGGCCAAAACTGTGCCCTGTAATCCAGGTGCAGCCACACCATATATATGTATAAAGTATTATGATATGGGCAGGTTAGTTTTTTATTCTTTCCTAATGATCCCCTGGCATTCAATTTGCCTTTTTACAGCAGCAGCACACTAGGCTGATATTTTCATTGAGCTATCCACCACACACCCAATATCCCTTTACTGATCAGTCACCATCAGCATGTATGTAAAGTTAGGATTCTTTTGCCCCACTGTATAAAATGGAAGACCCGTGTATTTTCCTGAAAGCATCCTAGAACATTTATTTTGCAAGTGCCTACTTTTTCAAGTGCAAAGCACACACCATTGCTGTCAGCCCCCTGCCCCTGTCATCACAATCTGGTTTTTTGATGTCCTGCAAAACTCAACGTTCCTCAGTAATAAGGATTTGAATATTTAGTGAAATTCATCAGTCTTGAGGATATTTTCCTCATATATATTTGACTACTAACATAACTTAGGGGCTCATCCACACTTTCACTTGTCCTGTGCCTAGAAAGCCCAGGTTTGAGCAATTTTCCACTTGCCCCATACTTTCTGGGCATAGGTCTGAGCGGTTTTGCCCTGGTCCCACAGATTTCCCTGAGAAAACCTGCTCTTTACCAATGAATCATAGCAAATGTCAGTCCACAGAAAGCCCAGCTGGCGTTTGGTCCAATTCAGCAGTAAAGATTGGGTTTCCCCGGGGGGGAAATGGTGGGGCAAGACCAAGTCTGGATGAGTCTTACATGAGTGTTCCTCTGTAACATTCAACTTGTTAATTTTATTCTTCTTATTCTTCTTATTACTGCAGCAAATTTATTCATTTGGAAGGAAATTAGGACAAGGCAGCTTTGGTGTGGTGATTGAAGTAACAGACAAAGAAACAGGCATGAAGTGGGCAATCAAGAAAGTGAACCGGGAAAAGGTAGGCTTCAATTGTATTGGAGTATGAGTTTTTATTTTTCAGACAATGATAATATTATTTATTACAAATTAATCACCACAATGCATTTATGTGCCCCAAATTCACATTGCAAATGGTGAATGTGTTGATTTTCATGCTGCCATCAGTTTTCTTCAACTTTCATTTCTCAGAAAACATGAGACATAATATTGTGAACAACTCTGAGACCTATGGATAAAGGGTGATATACAAATATAATAATAATAATAATAATAATAATAATAATAATAATGCTACCATTTTCAAACAAATGGTTCAAATGAAGTAAGTGGTTTTGAACTGCCTAGTATTTTCTGAATATTTTAATTCCAGGAATAGTATTTGGATAAATAATTGCAGAATCAATTTTGTAATTATTGAGTTACGTAGTGTATGATCCTATCCTGCACCGGTTCATCACCCAACCACAGAGGGAATGCTATCAGGCACAAGAGACTCATGTTTCTACCCTCCTCTTTCCTTTTTGGTGAGAAGGCTGTGGCATATCACTAGGCCATTAGGGGAATGGAAGGCTTCCACATTCCTTACATATCTCAATTCAGCCTGCTGTCTCTACTTGTTGGCATTTCAAGCCTGAGCAGAGGGTCAAGGCTGTATGGGGATATTTATTTATGTATGTATTTGGAGCACTTTTAGCCCACACCTCAACATACAGTTCCAAGGTGAGCTAAGTCCAATTAAAAACAAAATAACACTAGTTCTAATATATTTAAAAGAGCAGGTAAAAACTACATATCCATTAAAATACCATACATAAAAAGGCCTGCGAGTCTGGTGGGATTTTATTGAATACATTAAAAAAAATTATATTGGTCTTGTCCACAAGTCTCAAAAAAATTAGGACAAGTAACATCTAATTGGAGTAATATAGAGCCTTTTATTCTTGGTACTCCTCTGATGGTTTCAGATGGTTTATAGGCTTGTTTTTCTGTGTATCTTGCAACTCATGTGTGCCATACCTCTTGCTCTCTCTTCACTTACCTGTCTGTATCTTATTGCAAATATCGGGATAGTTTTATCATTCCTCTTATGAATGTAACAACCCATGCCTACCTTGGCTTGGTTTAGTTTTTTATGTGTTTGTCTCATGAAGTTCTGGTAGGGGTGTTTGACAGGACTAAGGCTATGGAACCTGACTTTGAAGCTGCCGCAAGAAATGTGTTTCTCTCACTCTTAAAGGCGGGGAGTTCTGCAGTAAAACTACTTGAAAGGGAAGTGAGCATCCTAAAAACAGTAAACCATGAGCATATAATACATCTTGAACAAGTGTTTGAGACTCCCAAGGTAAGACATTATCAATAGAAATCCTATAATGCAGTTAACCCAAAGGTGCAAACCATGTGTGATGATGACAGATGGTTGTGTTAGAATTGTACTGCGGTTCAGTTCCTATAAAGTGGAGATGGGGCTTTATAGAGGGCGAGAGGGTGCTGAAGCTCCCAAGCCACCCAGTGGTGCTCTGATATAGTCCCACTAGGAGTAAAAGACCTTTGAAGAAGCTGTTTATCAGGGAAGTGAGTTGTGCAAAGGGTCCTTCCACATTTTTCACCTTGAATGACTCTTCTTCTTTTTTTTATTCCCCCCCTTTTTTTTACCTTGAATGACTCTTTGAAAAGCACTTATAACCAATATCACTTTATATTTTCAGTTTTTAAATGTTGTAACATTTAAGAATACAGTTGTACCTTGGGTCCCAAATGCCTTGCAAGTCAAACGTTTTGGCTCCTGAACGCTGCAAACCTGGAAGTGAGTGTTCCGGTTTGCAAATGTTCTTTGGAAGCCGAACGTCTGACAGTGCTTCCACGGCTTCCGATTGGCTGCAGGAGCTTTCTGCAGCCAATCAGAAGCCACGCCTTGGTTTCTGAATGTTTTGGAAGTCGAATGGTCTTCTGGAACAGATTCCATTCATCCTCCGAGGTACCACTGTAGTTGGCTGTTCAAAAATATGAAGAATATTAATTCTTCAATCTTTCTAAAACAAAAATGTTTATTCTATTTTTAACTAAATATTTGAGGCATTTAGATTGAAAATATATATTAATACTTTCATATTATACCCACACATTTATATTGTTTATTTCTTAATGTTAGCGTGTGTACCTTGTATTGGAGCTATGTGAGGATGGAGAACTTAGAGAGATTCTACAAAGAAAAGGTCAATTTACAGAGAATGAGACACGGCACATCATTCAGAGTCTTGCCTCAGCAATAGCATATCTTCACAAAAGAGGTAATGTGATGATTATTACGTTCTTATAGATTATTATATCTCATTTTCACAATTTTGTATCTCTTACTTGTTTCATAGTATAATTGTGGCCCTATCAACTGAAAAGCAACATTCTTTTAACACACACATTTTTTGTTGCTCATTTACTAGTTAAAATGCCATTACTTTCTCCTATTTTCTTCTAATTATTTTTCTTCGTTCATTACAGCAGTAACTTTTTTCAGCAAATAAGTGCAGAATGTTGTTGTTATTGTTGTTGTTGTTAATTTTGTTGTTGTTGTTGTTGTTACCCCCTCCCCTTGCACACTCTTCAAACCCCATGCCCCCTCCCCTTACAGTTCACCTAACCCACCCTACCCTCGCCTGAGTATTGTTCTGCCATTGTGCCGCAGTTGGCCAGCCAGCTAAACTGCGGCATTGCAGTGTTTTTTCTTACAAAAATATAATACGAAATACTTGTATTGATTATGGATAATAACTGAGAGCACAACTGTGAATGGGAAATGGGACAAAATGAGAAAGAGTTGTTCATCTTTACTTCTGATGAACCTTATGCTTTGTCCTTCTGAGCACAGGAAGCTAGCTGGATGATTTCCTTTGATATGCTAATTTTACAAATGGGTGCTTTTAAAGTGCATCAAATGACAAATCATATTATTCAAAATTATGATTTTCCCTTTATTAAAAGAACGGATCTAAGTTTGATCCAGATTTGGAATGTACAGACCAGACTTTTTCTATAAAAGAAAACTGTGTCTGCAACGTGCACTAATGTAGGATAAAATGCACTAAAAGTGTAGCTCATAAATTACTCAATCAAAAGGGTTTAAAACATTTATGTCAGAATATTTTCAATGCAATTGATAAATAACACTTACTTTTTGTTCTCCATCTTGACAGATATTGTTCACAGAGATCTGAAATTGGAAAACATTTTAGTTAAAAGCAGTGACATTGATGAAGAAAATGAAATGAAATTAAATATAAAGGTAAGCCCAGAAATTGCAACACTTTACTTTAAGCAGTACTTTTGCCTGTGGTTTTTTTAAAACCCAGGAATCAGAAGTCAAGTTTCCAAGTAAATGCCTATTAGTAGCTTTTGAACTGAAACATAATGGTGTAATCAAGCCAAAAATAAAAGGTCTGAGATAAGAACAATTGACAAGAATGTAGGAGTCAAGTGCCATTGAAGAAAGTTCTTGTTGAGCAAAGAGTAGTATAGTTATAGGCCATTTAAAAAGAAATGTTTTTAGAAGTGTACTGTGTTATTCTTATACCTTTTTGGATATAGTTCCAAGCCATTAGCAAGAGTGAGCTGGGGAGCTGTAATTAGTATGAATTATGCATACTGCCAATTTATTTTAAACATTTTAGTAATTTTGAAAAACATATGATGCTTTACATATCAGCTACTTTCTATTTTGTAGACTTTGGATATTATAAGTATTTACTACCTAAACGCATTAAACGTATCAAGAACTTACACTCATTTATTTGTGTGGAAATAATTGGAACTTGATGGTTGCTAAATTATATATTACTTTATCCTTACTTAAAAATTTTATTGCTGTTATAAAATGGCTGTGAGGATTGTATAAGAAGTGCATGCTGACACATAGAACCGAAGTACAGAGGTTCAACCTGCAGTAACTAAAGCAGCACACTATGATAAATTGTATTTTAATTAGAGTGTTCTTTGTGAATCCGAACTTTTCTTTGCACAAGTTCACAAGAACATTCCACCAGGCATTTCTCTTCATGTGTTGCTTCTGAACATACTTTTGCTTGTAGCTGCATGGAGAAATGCACAATAATTCTCAAGCTGGGGGTTGTTTGTGCTGTGCACTGGAAGGGAGAGGAAGAGCGAGGACAGTCATGTTTCCCCTGCCTCTGCAGACTGGGCTGTGACAGCTTGCTGATGTGACTGTGCAGCCTTGTTACTTCCCCTGTGTTGGTGTCAATGTGGTACATTCAAGCTTCTGTTTGTTTGTTTTTCCTGGGAAGACTAAAGAGAAAACCCGTTTGTTTTGGCTGCTTTGGGACTATGCTCAGCCTCTGTGATCTTCCTACCCTATGCCTTGTTTTCTTCACCATCCTTGTAGTTTCTCCCAATTTTGAATGTTGCCCATAAGTGCCATATTGCTGTCACAACTGACATTTTGCTTTGGACTTTTAAATGTGGTCTTTGGGCTCAGTGAGCATTGGTATCCCACAAAGACTATTGTGTGTGTGTGGGGGGGGTATCCTTCAGAGGCCCTGAGGCTTTCAACACCCTAGACCAGCGTACTGGAATAGGGTCTGTCCCACCCACAGGGAAATGGCCAAGGCATGGCTACCCACCTGCATTTAGAATCATAGAATCATAGAGTTGGAAGAGACCACAAGGGCCATCGAGTCCAACCCCCTGCCAAGCAGGAAACACCATCAGAGCACTCCTGACATATGGTTGTCAAGCCTCTGCTTAAAGACCTCCAAAGAAGGAGACTCCACCACACTCCTTGGCAGCAAATTCCACTGTCAAACAGCTCTTACTGTCAGGAAGTTCTTCCTAATGTTTAGGTGGAATCTTCTTTCTTGTAGTTTGGATCCATTGCTCCGTGTCCGCTTCTCTGGAGCAGCAGAAAACAACCTTTCTCCCTCCTCTATGTGACATCCTTTTATATTTGGGTCTCCGTCTACTACCAATATCCCTTCCATACTTTCTTAGTAGATTAGGCCAGCAGAAACTGAATCCCAACAGTTGGGCTCGGCAGGAAAAGTCCTATATTCTGGCATACTTATTTGTTTACTTACTTACATTTCTATTCCACCTTTCAAGGCTCCATGCATGTGGTCTCTCATCAAGGCCCTAACCAGACCCAGAACTGCTTAGCTTCAGTGAGGTGGTAGCCTCACGGATCTTTATGCCATATAATTTAACTGATATGTCTCTTTTTTACTCACTCATTTCTATTGTGTTTGGTCCCTTATTTTTCTTCTTCCCAGTCCTACCATGGATATGGTTTTCTGCTCTAGCATTATACAGATAGTGGTAGCCGTTGCTCTAGAAGCTGCCAGTCACAGGAGTAGCTGCTGAATATATTTTTGAGCCACTAGTTTACCTTTTAGGGCAGCATTATGGGGTAGTGTATAGAATGTTGTACTTGGACCAGGGCCATCTGAGTTTGAACCCCAACTGAGCCATAAATGACTGACCAGGTGATTTTTGGTCAGTCACTCCATTGCAGGCAAACCTATATTTTAGGGTTGTTGTGAGGATAATATAGGAAAAAACCTCACATATATCTTCCTGAACCCCCTTGGAAGAAAATAATATTACTACATTTCTGCTTGTGATCTCTCACGAACAACTGCAAATAAGTGCAAGGAAGCAGCTGGTGGACTGGTCCTTGTGTGGACCAGTCATTTATCTAGGAAAAAGTTACTTTTTTAAAACAGAAAACCTCTGTAAGGAAGAACAAAAATGGCATGAATAAATTCTTGTTCTACTAACAACAAAAGCTGTATTTTGGGGGGGAATGCTTCATTGTGCAGTGGAAAAATGTGAAATATTTCTGTAGCTTAGCTTTTCAAGATGCTCTCAGGATTCATTAAAAGGGGGGGGGGGAGGGAGCAAGGTAGTTATTAACTTTTCCTCAGGTATGTTTGTGTATTTCTGTTGGCACAGTACTGCTCTGTGTACTGCTCTGTGCCAGGCACACAGCAGTGTGGCAGGCCACAGTAGAACAGCCCCAGGCACTTCACATCCTATCTCCTATGCAGTATCCTGGACCCAGTGCACATGTGTGTCTCTTGCTAGGCGCAGGAATAAGCACTATACACAGTGGAGCTTGTACTACTAGGGAAGTCAGGCCCCAGGAAAACAAGGAAGGTGGAGGGAGGTAGTAGCTGAATTGGCTCACCAGAAGGAGGGGAGCCACTAACGTTGGCCTCCCGACCAGGAGGACTGAGATGGCAGAAAGGTTGATGTGGTGCAAACAGACCTGCAGAACTGATCTAGTGCCATGCCAACATCCTCGCTGCCTTGCACGTCTCCATAGACCTCCCTAAGTAACAGCATTCCACCTCCCAGGAAGCTAGCATAGCTGCTCCACTCCACCTGGTGAGCTGCTCCTGGATACAAAACTGGGCTGGGCTTCTTCTTCTTCCCCAGTCTCTGCCCTCACATAATAGTGTTCTGGCAGTTGAGGTAGCATTCAGCATTACGCTGCTGCTGAATAGAGTCGAGAAGGATGGATGAGTCTGCCCCAACTTCACCCCATCCTGTGCACCTGTGGAGTCTCCTCTGTATGTGGAGAGGAAGAGTGTGTCCCAAACACCCAGCAAATCATTTATCTCCTGATTCTTTCCTGTCTGACTTCCTTCCTGGCTTCTTTCCCTCTTGTTGCTGTTCCCCATATTTATGTCCCCCAATGATCTCATAACTAAAATATTCGGCTTTTTAAAGTGCTTTGATCAGACCCTATAGCAGCACACACTTAGCTTGAATCTCATTAATAAGCTCATCACTTTTCATATGCTCAAATGCTAGTGCAATTTGCAGTGTAAGTATTAAAGTTGTTTAAAACTCGGCTCTGAATATTTATAGAAGGACTGGGGCAGAGCTTTCTCTTCTTTAGGTGTGCTGTTATAGGAGATCATTTGGGAAATCTAGTCAGATTCCGTTAGGTTTCTCTGAAGTGGTTTTGCAATGAACAATGAGCTCTTCAGAGGAATAAAAGAGTTGCAACTACATACCAGCAGAGAATTTTCAAGACAGTTGAGTTCTGTTTCCTGTAGGTGACTGATTTTGGTTTAGCTGTACAAAAGATGGGAGGAAGCGAAAGCATGTTCCAGTCTACCTGTGGGACTCCTATCTACATGGGTAAGTTCAGTGCTTCATATGGTAGTATTCCCATTTAGTTTCATCACATGAAAGACTGGCATTTGAATGGAATAAAACTTTATTTTGTAGCCCACAGTCTGTGAATAGGTGGTTTCCATTTGTTTAGATGTATATATACAATGTCTTTGTTTTGCCCATCGTTGCTTTGGCATAATAATAATAATAATAATAATAATAGGACAGGAAGTGTCAAACCCTAAACAGATGCACCCCACACTGCAACATTTTGTTGCAAGGCCCCACTTGTTTCATATAAATGACTATATTTGCATTGGCTCAGCAGGCAAGGACATTGTGAAGCTGCATACAGCTTGTTATGGTGACTTTCTGATCTAGAAATCAGTATTGTGTGTGACAACCCTCTCTGTAATTGGCTTTTATATTCTGCATTCTGTATTTTAAGCTATGTTGTTGACCTGGGTTTGATACCATACATCAGGTTTCCTGCCTTGTTATGACCCTTGGTTTAAAAAACCAAGACTGATCCAATAGCTGTGATATTATAATGGCATGTCAAAATGAGATTTTATGCTCTCTTAGCAATTGCTTTGCAGCTTCAAAGCAAGAGCTGGATGTAGTAAAAGGATGTTTTCTGCTAGCTGTGACACACACTAAATAAGTTTTGAAGGCCAGCCCGTTGGTTATGTAACACATGCTAAACTAAGTCAATTAAAGTTAACTTGCTTCAGTGTCAAAACGGATGAAGTACTGATGCATGACTATTTACCTTGCCCTTTTCTCTGAGGTGAAATGTCCTTGGCAGACAAAGAGAACTAACCTTGTACTAAAGGACAGTACATTAGGCACTGCTAACTTTACCCTTAAGCAATTGTTTTAAGTGTATTGAAATCAAACACATTCAAGCTTTTTATTTGTGTATGCAGCCCCTTCACTCCTCTCTTCATGTTATGCAGCTATGAAACTGGAAAGTCTTTTCATGTGTTGTCTTAACTGAGATACTGTGGTTACCCACTTTGGAAGAAGTAGGTTCTTAAACAAACTTGAAACTTGTGACTGTAATTTCCTGGTTCGGAGAAATGGGGAACTTTGGCTAATTAGAAACTTTTTGGATTAAACATGGCCAACAGAAAGGGAGCTGTGAAAGGGCAGAATGTGCAGGGAAAAGGTTTGTGCATATCTCCATTTAGTAACCTGATATGTGATCATCTGAGCCAAGCCAGTGATTAGTGAGAAAACTTTATGTATATTTTTCAATCGTAGGGCATGTATAAATATATAAAACAGATAATTCGAAGCCATTTTTTTATTTCAAAAAGCATGTTTATATTTTAAATTGATGTTACCCATTTTCAGATTTGTCTTAAATGAATATTTAAAGAACCCCTTCTGTATTTAAATCCAGCATATAACCTTATGCACTACACTTGTTTACTAAATGGAAATGTGTTTATGTGGTGTCATGAAGCATTTGCTATCAGTATTTTATAAGCAACGTTTTCTCAATTTATAGCTGGAAAGAAAACCAATAATGCAATTACTTAGCCACAATGTCATCATTCCTAAATGATCAAAGTGAGGACACATCAGCATGAATTGTTAAGGGCTGTACATTATTAATCTCAACATCTGCTGCTTTTCTTTTTTGCTTCGGGGAGGAATAAAGTATATCTCATCAGCACATGCTTTGTTTTAAGCATTTTAAAAGTAATTTTTTGTATTATTAATAATATTCTTTCTGCTTGGTTGGCAGCCCCAGAAGTGATCAGTGCACATGACTATAGCCAACAGTGTGATGTTTGGAGCATAGGTGTCATTATGTATATGCTGTAAGTAGCTTGTAACATTTATATAAAATGAAAATATCCATCCTAAAGAACGTAACTTTGTATTTAATCTTCCCTTTTTAAAAAAATAAAATAAGGGTTGTTACTTGGTTTGGCTACATACTAGCTGAAATTATTCATTGCTTAGGTTGTCTTTCTTGACTCCTTTTTAACAGGATTGGTTAATCTTTTCGGTACAATTAAACCTCAATTCTAGATACTCTTTCAAATAGGTGTGCTTAGGATCAAAGCTTTAGAATGTACATGTCTAGGCAGCGTGAAGGGTCAGGCTATTATTGACAATATCTTTTTAATGAAAAATAAGGTTTCATGAAAATGTGGTCCATTCTTTCTGTCAGTGTTGGCGTAGACTTGACAGAACTGGGAACCATTTGCCATTGCTGCCACTGCTCAAGGCATTTGCTTACACTGTCTGCCCATTGTACTGCACAATTTTATATACGGTGTCCAGTGTATTTAGACATTGTTTAAAAATTAAAATTTAAATTTTTAATGACTTACTATATTTGAAGAGTACAACATATTGTATAATAGAAGAATACAGTAAGAGAAACAAATTATTCCAGATACACCAGTAAATGTTTTTACTTCTCCAGTTCTTGTAATTATTCATATGTTTTAATAGAGTAATTCAAAATAATCTAAAACCTCCATTTGATTGTGGGAATAATGAATTTACTCTGTTATATTTATTTGTGCATAAGAGAAAATGCTCAGATTAAGCAAACAAAAGCTGAAATTTTGTATGTATTATTATTATTTTAAAAAAAATTAAGAAAAAAACCCACACGGCATGTGGATCCAGGGTTTTAAAGTATTTTTCCTTTAATGAAACCTTTCAACTAAGCAAACGAAACGTGAAATTGTGGCAGAGGATTGTATCCAATCCTGCTGTTCCACTCGTGCAACATACTTTTGCTTGCTCAACTGAACTCGCTTCTCTCATCTCTCCTGCAGCACTTGCACACGCTCAAGATCTGTCCCAGAGGGTCGAGGGGGGTCCCCCGGGAGCACATTTTGGGGGTGCGCAGGTTGAGAAAATGAAAGGAAAGTCCTAGTGTTTCAGGGAACTCAGCTTATGCAGTGCTAAATACAACCCAGAGCCCCTTTGATGTGCAGAGAAAGACTTTCCCATCAGCTCTTCTTGGCTAAAAGTGCTACTTTGGGCTAAACATGAGATGACAACGGGAGTAAACCTTCCTACCCCCGCCTCACCCTGTGTAACCAAACTGCTCCCAGCAGTGTTGGGCTCTGATAGGTTAACTAGCAACAACATCTCTGTTCTGGACAAGTGCAAACAGAGGAAGAACATGCATCTTACCTTAAGCTGATGTAGTAGGGGGTGTACCACTCCCCCACCTATTGTTCCTTCAACTCCTTCAGTGTAGCTTTTCTGCATACCATAAAAAGATTGAACAGCTTTATTGCTTTTCTTTCTTTTAATTTGTGGCACAAACTGTGTTCTACAAACTTTTTAATGCTGAGGCAGTACCAGTTTTATGGCCATACTTTACAGTATTAATGTTGCCACTGAAGAAGTCACATTTGCACAGTATAGCACAGCTGAATGCATTATAAATTGGGCTGGGGTAACTGAAATACCTGATTGGCCAATAAGAATTCCATGCTGTTTCTGCAATTTGCACAATTCACAGGCCTTGTAAAAACACAGAACAGTGAATTGTGCTGATTGTAGTCACAGCTCAGGACTCCTGACATTATACTTTAATTAACATATAAATATTTTAAATTAGCATTTTATAATCACAATAGTATTATAACAATGCAACATTATATTGCACTTCATCCAGATGACAGTTAAAAAACCCACAAACATACTGCCTAAGTATTAATAGAATCTACTTCACACCCCTTTTATTGCTGCAAATGGTATTCAAGAGATATATAAGATATGTGTTTAATTTTCATCCAGTTTTCATAAGCAACACACCCTACTATTGTTAGCTGGACTTTTGAGCCACAATGTCTAAGTGAATGCTTAATGTTGCCATTGCTACATGATGTTCCCTGTAGCTGAATGAGTCTGCATTCACCTTCTAGCAGCCAAAGCAATGACAAAAGTACAGATGGCATGACTTATCTTAACAAGTGCTTATCTGTTAGAATCGGCTTGATCTTGAGCTACCTAGGAAATCCAGGCCTTAAGATTTGAGACATTTGTTCAGATTTGTTGAATTTTGCATGTGATGTGTTTGTATAATAGAATAATGCTGCTGTGATGCTTTTAATGGAATGTATCTGTAATTTGCTTGGCATTTCTCTTTTAGCATAGGCCAGTAAAACAACAAGCAATTATGTTTTTATTGAGCTCCTCGTGGGCTGTGTTTGGCTTAGTTTCGTAGACCACAAGTTTCGTAGACCACAAGGCGCATAGTAGCATTTTATGTGGCCAATATTTTTCTCACTGCATCTTACAAAGCAGCTATGCTGCCAAACAGGATTGAAGCAAAAATTCTCCCAGTTTCTCTGGAACAATTTCAACAGTGCTGAAATAACACTAATTTTTCTTTAATGCCTATGAAATATTTTCAAATTCTTTATCCTCAGTTAGGTTTGCTTGCCATCAAGTGATATAACCATGTAGCCAAAGCTGATTGGCCAAATATCCATACACTGTATGATCCTTGGTTGCCCAGAATCATCTATGTGACTTATTCTGGAATAAGTGCTGTCACATTCTCAATAGACTTTATTTAACCTCAGTGACATAATCATGTAGCCCTCGGGTCACAAGTCATTTTGGACCAGGGAACACATTTTAATTTTCAGAGTGCTGGGAATGCCAGTCACAAAATGGCTGCCACAGGAGTGTGGCAGAACGCAAAATTAAAGAGGCCTAGAAAATAGAACGGAAGTAGGAAAAGTACATTGCCACAGGCTTGTATTGGTGTCACTGGCAGCAACTGGCACCCAGGGCCCCATATTATTTGTGTGGGTGCTCGGCATTCACACTGTGAGGCCTCTGATGCTACTTCCAGTGCTTTGTGAGGCCCAAAAGTTGCATTGGAGGCCTTGCACGGACTTGGAGGTCGCATCTGAGGCCTCTAAGGCAACTTCCAGGAGGAACTGGAAGTCATGTCCGAGACCTCTCAGGGCCTTGAAATCACGTCTGAGGCTTTGCAAGGCCTCTGACGCATTGTGTAATTTAGGCACATCACCAGGAATGGCTCTGTTTGTGCCCTGCCCCTTCACTGTCCTAGTATGTAACAATGCTGTTGATGCTTGAAGGCCAGAACAATGGTAAGCCCCTTTCTGCTTTTACTCCTATTAGCTTATACAGTGGTATCTTGGTTCTCAAACTTAATCCGTTCTGGAAGTTCGTTCAACTCCTGAAATCATTCAAAAACCAAGGCACAGCTTCTGATTGGCTGCAGGAGCTTCCTGCACTCAAGCGGAAGCTGTGTCAGATGTTCTGCTTCCGAAAAACATTCAAAAACCAGAACACTTACTTCCAGGTTTTTGGTGTTTGGGAGCTGATTTGTTCGTCAACCAAGCCATTCAAGAACCAAGGTACCACTGTATATCATGTCTGTTGTGTTTTTGAGGATATTCTGGGTTAAAAATCCATCAAATAAATATATGAGACTTGTGAGAACTGTCATTTGAAAATAAATTGCTAAAATGTTTACTTATGGCATTTCATAGCAGAGTGAAATAAACCTGATGGTAATGATTCTACATTTTGATTTTGAGTGGCAGGCATCCATCAAGGATAGGTGACAGCATTTTCTAAATCTACAGCAGACTTAAAATTAAAGAAAAAATACATGCTCCCTACATTTGGTGAATCTGACCGCATGCTTCTGTTCACTTTTTTGTCATGTTACACTTAATGGTAATGTGTGCAAGTTCTAAATTAGTGATGATGAGTATTTTTTTAGAGATCACCTGGTATAATTTCTTTTTCATAATTGTCAGGAGCTAGGGCATTGGGCAGGTATTCTAGGGCCTGGCTGTTTGTGTGAATGCTCATATTAATTTTTGACACCCAGTGGGGAAGGAGACTGGCAGGAAGGAGCCTAAGTTAACCATCAGGTTCATATACTCTTTTCTTCTCGCACAGCCAGGAAAAGGAATTTGCCACTGTTTATTTTCTTTTTCCACTCATCAAATTGGAAGAGCCATAGTTTAAAGCAAACTCTAATCCATTTCTAAGCAAGGATTTCTTCCAAACACTGGTTATGAATCTAGTTTAACTAGCATTCAGAGGCAGCCTACCACTCCACAGTGGATCGCTGTTCGTAACAGGAAGCAGTCTTTCCCCAAATTTCTTTTAACTCCACAAGGAACATTTTCTGACACCCTTTCTTTCCTCTTTAAGCAAGAGTTGCAGAATTGGCACCTCTTTTGTTTTGAGGATTTGTTCTGATAGTTCTCCCACTGTGTATTCTGGAACTGGCTTGGGGAAGTTTTCTTGCAGTTGCTCCAGAGACAAATCTTCTCCCGCTGCTCTTATTTTTGAACCAATATGATATTTCCCTTCCTGCTCTTCTGCCTCTGGCCAATACTTTGCTCTTTTTATGGATATTGTGCACTGCAACCAAGAAGCTGCAATGAGGAATTTCCTAGCCTGGATCAGAGGCCAAAAGCTAATGGGTTATTGGCCTAAAAATTTGCTGGGGTTTATTATCTTGGATTGTAAGCAGTGATTAAATCATCGTTTCTTGGTTCTGATATCATGGGAAACAGTGGTTTAACAAGCCAGGATAGATGCATCAAAGCCAAGTATAAGAGAAAAGGAGGGGGAGAAGGGTGAGGAAGAAATGTGTAGGTACAGAAGAAAGTTTAAAAGGTTCACTCCGGTATAAATACTTTTTGCTATTGCCTGAATTAATTTAGGAGGGAAATCCCAGTAAGCCCTGGGTGAGGTGGGTGTTCCACTAATGAGACATTGAGAGGAATGCTTCATCCACTGATCTCAGGGCTCAATAGAGGGATCATAAGCAAAATGTTCCTAGGCTAGGTAGCCAAACATTCTTTTCTAGTAGTCAGCAATCACACCACAATACTGCCTATGAATGAGCATGAGATCATTTCTAGACTAATTGGACCTTACAATCAGTGCTGCCGACATAGCACGCACAATGTGTTTAAGTCTTGTTCAGTGCAATTCTATGCTTGTCTAATCAGAAGCAAGTCTCACTGAGTTCGGTGGACTTACTTGCAGGAAACTGTCTATAGGACTACAGGCTTGTCTGAACAACAGCGTAAAAATATAGATCATATGTCTTAAGAGACTAGCTGAGCTGAGCAGTCAAAATCCGAGAAGCAGAGTTTTTGGTGCAAAGTTTTGCCATTTCTGACAAAGAGTCATCTTGTTTGGGAGCTTAAACTAGCTGTCTTAAACCTCCGGGGTTTCAAAATCATTTGGATTTTGTTTGTTTCAGAAAACAAAAATGTTATATAGAATTTGAATGTTTATATAGAGAAAAAACAACAATGTACATTCGTTTTAAAAGCAACAATGGAGATATAATAACCTGGCTTAAACTCCTATCCAAAAGAATGTATTGCAAATGTGAAGAACAGCTTGCTTATACTATCTAGACTAGACTTGCAGCCACCTCTCAAATCCTCACGGGGCTTCTATCTTTTAAACATATATATGTACTAATCAGAATATAAAGCAGCCTTCCTTTTTTGCTTCCTGCAAAACAGATTATGTGGTGATCCACCTTTTATGGCAGGCTCTGAAGAAAAGCTTTTTGAACTTATAAAGAAAGGAGATCTTCATTTTAAACATTCAATCTGGGATACAGTCAGTAAGGCTGGTAAGTAGGCAACTGTACGATAAAAACAAACAACAACATCCCCAGCATGAAATTCAACAAATTGTTGCAATATTTTGACCTTTTTATTACCATTAAGTACTGTGTTTTCTCATAAATGTAAAATTGATGCTAAAGAAAATTCACAGAACTGTTGCCATGAATTAGCTTCACAGCATTAGAGGTAAAATACTCTGCTGGATTAAAGCACTCAGAGACAACTGGGAGATGTGTTTGTTAGCAGCTAACAGAAATGAGGTTTACGAGTCTTTCTCTTTATAGCCAAAGCTGTGTTGGAGCTGCTTCTGAGAGTAGACCCTGCCCACAGAATGACTGCTAATGAATTGCTTCACATCCAGTGGATAACAGTAAGTTGCTGCTGTTGTTTTTTTTTTTAAAAAAATCCTAAATATTTGCCTTATTTTTCTTTTTATTTGTGAAAATGTTTCTCCCTCACCTCCCTCAGATAATAGCCATATCCCAATTTTTCTGAAGGCTCTACTACGTTACAACAAGTAAGATGGTAAGACATTCGTCATTTGCCTTATATGCATCTAAATTGTACTTACAGCATTTGGTGTATCTGCCAGTATATAAACAATGACACAAGTCACTGTGAGGGCTTACTGGGCTTTTATAGACTGTGTAAACAGGAACAAAAATCCGGGCCACAAATTACTACATTTCTCCTTCTACTCCCTCCAGATTCTGCCAACTCTTCATGACCTTTCTTAGTGTAGTTCCAATTGTCAGAATTCTGATCCAGACACTGAGTTGCATATTCCATCTGTGTACATGCATACTTCATTTTATTGTTCTTCACTTTAATACGCCTTGCAGAGAATGGTCCTTTTCTGGCCACGGGAGTGGAGTTGGCTAGGGCTAGAACTAGGTTTTCCCCCCTTCTGTCCCTGCAGCCAGGGAAGCCTGGCTTAATAGACTACAGTATAGTGTAAACATATCTTTTCTATGTATGCACTGGGAAACAAAAAGAAAAAGAAAAAGTGAGACTTCCTTCGTTATGATATTCGCTTTATTGCAGTGGTCTGGAACCAAACCCGCAATATCTCCGAGGTATGTGTATATATTTTTGTTAACTGAAAGCATAAGCAGAATCAAGGGCACTATCCACAGGGAACTTCTCTTGCAAACTTCATTTAAATGGAGTGCATGGATGGTTGTTCCCCAAAGCAAATGTATCCACATTTAAGCAAGCAGTATAGGTAAACTACAGCATGAACACCCTACAAAACAAATATTATTTTCCCAGTATATCTGAAGTTTTGGTGATTACAGAGGTTCGCTGATAATAATGGAAGCAATTATTTAAACAACAATAATATAGAAATGAATAAGATGTTATGCGCTTTTGATTACTTTTCCATACTTTACACATTTCTATTTGTTCCAGTCCATTTCTAGCAAAGGTTTCATCCTAAGGCTCCCCTCCCCCATGAAGAACAAGATCAGCTTTGCTAGTGAGATGTTTAATAATGGAATGTCGGTTACTGTCTTATATAGGGCAGCCTAGTGTTACCAGAACTTAACAGTTCTCTGCTTTCCTGTAGCAGGGCCGCCTTGTGCAGACTGGGCAGAATCTTCAGGAGGTGGGGTCCATGTATGGGGCTAACTAGGTCTTGCAGAAATTCCTGGGAGCTTCTACACTATCACAAGGCTTATGGGGAAGATGCAGGGCTTATCTTAGTCTCAAAAGGAGCCCTTGACTTTGGGAATTGGTCTGTTCTTGTCCATGGCTTCACCATGCACCTTCCCTCCCTCGGAGTAAAGACATTTGCTGGGAACTTGTTTGGTTTCCCGGAAAGGAATTTTGCTCATATCTTGATTGGCCCATAATGTAAGGTTTTCACCTTCATCTCAGCAAGAGCTGTTTACATTTTTAGGTGTTCATCTTTGTTTTCTCTGTCACAACTTGAGCAGGATAAGGCATTGGGCAAGACCATTAATATAGTGGGGACTTGGAGGTGGTGTTTTAGCCCTCAGCCCTGGCTTGAGCAGGGCAGGCCTTTCACTGTTTGTCCCAGGTTGCCAGCCAGAACTCAGATGCTTGTCCCATAGTACGCTGAGGACTGTTATGCTGGCAACCCACAGGAGGTGGCCTCACCAGATGGGCTAGGGGCACTGCCTTCTTATAAAAGGTGAGATCTCTGCTATCCAGTCCTTGCCCTGTGCCTAGCCAACTGCACATACTTGCTGTATCAATAGGGTTGCAATCTATTTTCACCCATATCTGGATTGTCCATATCCAGTTGTCCTTTCTTCTACCTTTGGGGGTTAGGCACTTCATGCATGGTACACAGCTTTAGGGTTTGCAATCACTGAAGCTTTCAGAGCATTTGACAGAGGGATAGCTGTTGAAATGACAAGCATTTGGGCAGAATTATCACAGAATATCACAGACGCGGGTGGCGCTGTGGGTAAAACCTCAGCGCCTAGGACTTGCCGATTGCATGGTCAGTGGTTCGAATCCCCGCGGTGGGGTGCGCTCCCGTCGTTCGGTCCCAGCGCCTGCCAACCTAGCAGTTCGAAAGCACCCCCGGGTGCAAGTAGATAAATAGGGACCGCTTACCAGCGGGAAGGTAAACGGCGTTCCGCGTGCTGCGCTGGCTCGCCAGATGCAGCTTGTCACGCTGGCCACGTGACCCGGAAGTGTCTGCGGACAGCGCTGGCTCCCGGCCTATAGAGTGAGATGAGCGCACAACCCTAGAGTCTGTCAAGACTGGCCTGTACGGGCAGGGGTACCTTTACCTTTTTATCACAGAATTCTAATAGCTGCTATTTTATGTAAAGTGCTAATTCAAAAATCTGTGATTGGTTATCCTTTGGAGCAGAGATAGCAATGGTTAAAAGCTTCTATCAGTGTTGTTTTTTCTCCATACACTGCTGCAAACAAACTGAAATTATGTTGCATCTATTTCTGGATTATTTTTGCATAATTGCTATAGTTTTTTCCTCGTACTCTTTACCCAAATAAACAGCTGTTTATTTATCAATAGGATTGGTTGTTAGATTTCCCCCCCCTTGTGCCCACAGATGGACAGAAGGTCTTGTTTGTTAGATGTTTATAATTAAATTACTCCCACCCACCTCAGTTCCCAAATTTATGTAAGAACTCATGTTATGTTAATGCAGAAAAGTGTTTAGAGATACTAGGGTAAATGTGCATTTCACGAGTGCCTCAAATATTTCATATTCGTATTTGCTTCTGCGTAATCTGAGTTTCACTCTTCCTAATGCATAGTCTTCTAGTTTGTAAAACCAAGCACACTGCTTCTCAGTTCAGCAAGTTGGTCCATACTGCACACGATGGAACATTTTGTCACTAGTGGGTATTTCTTCAATTCATGAATAAGTTCAGCACTTACATTTTCAACTACTGAGGCTGCTTCTCCTTCCTTTTGCCCCTCCACTTCCCTTTTTGATCACACAAGTGTGTTCTCCAGTGCGTGGCCTATCCCTCACAAAATAATAATAAAAATCAGTCACCAGTTAACTGACCATTCTGTGTGAATATTCATTTATTTTTCACCACACACAAATACCGTAAAAGGTTCTTAAACTATGCCTTACTTTTGGAACATTTTCTCCAACAAACCTTTATTTTTGTCCGGAAGCTGTGGTGTGGGAGTACTGCCATTCAGAACAGAGTCTAGCAGAGATCACAGAATGGAAAATGTGTTTCTGACATACGTTGGGTGCCATATGATGGAGGGGCACACTGTTCCCTTCTATGCCTTGAATCTCACTGACATGCACTCCCTTAAAATATGAACATAAAAAGCTTGAAGGAAAGACAAAAGAAAATGAAACAATCTAAAAGGCAACCAATTAGTAATCCTCCACTTTCCCCACAATCAGCACCAGATGCTAGCCAATTAAACTCAACAGGTGCTCAAATGAGGCAATACAGACAATTAACTTAAGTGGTTCCACTTTCTTAAAAACTGTCAGAACACAACCACCCCATTTCATGTGCTATTTAAGTATTTGTAGCTCTTTAAAACATAGTGCTTTTTTTCCTGAGGCCACAACTCAGCCTCTTATTTTGTAGGTGCGATTTGGTGCACTTAGAAATTTAATTACCTGAATGTGCTTGCAAATAAGGTAGTTATTTGGATGTCTGCAACATCAATTTGTCTACAGTTAATTACAGATGTAAATTTGCACCTGCAAAATTGGAGTCCACATCTGAAAATCATTCTATAAATTTAGAAGGACTGGGAATACATTATCCTGATTCATGTAGAACTAATTCTCTCTATGCATGGCTATCTTATCCCAGCCTCCACCACTCAGAAACAACACACACATACATACCTTGTGCCAAAACCATAGGAAGGCAAAGACTGAAATATACTGTTAATAAAGACAATATAGTATTGCGGTTGGAAAAGAAGGTGTAAATCTAGTTATATTGCTTGGAATGTATGGATCCATTGTCATGTATGGATTTATGGTATGGTCAAAACCTTATGATACATTTCTTTAAATGGAAAAGATTCACACACCTGTTATTTTTAGACACGTATAAGCAAACTTTTAAAAACATAGTGCTTGGGTTTTTTTAAAAAACAAAGTATTTCTTGCTTAAAGCATTAGGTTGAATGCTTGTATCTCTTAAAGATACTGAATCTTCACTGTGAATCACTTTGCATTTATTGGATTCAACATCCATGGGGAAGATTTTCCCCACAACAGATCAAACCCATAATCTTTCTTTAAGTGGGCCCACACACATGACTTTCCTGTTCCAGTCTTAAAGAAGCTGATGCTGATACATTATATGGAGAAGACAAAGCTACAAGGCTGCTTTTACGTTTATAGTCCTTTCCCCTCAGTGTGTTGGGGGGGGTAACTGCTAGTTTCAAATAGACAGGTATTATACCCCTAGAGACTTTCAGAACCAAAAGCTTATAAAGACTCAAAAAAGTGAAGAAATCCATTGGGAGAAAATTCACTAAAAATAGTGCTTATTTATATATTTAAGATCCATTTATTTCTATGGAAATTGATATGTGTCCATAATGAGCATTACACAAATACAAGAATGGGTCTGTAAAGCTAAGTAAGTTAATATATAAGAACACAATGCAAGCCTTGGTCTAACTTGCTCAAGTTCTTTACTGAAACATTTTTGGCATGGAATTGAAGTGGGAGGGGTATGTCCTCCTCTCTCCACCAGGATTATAATTGCTTGTTGCCTAGGTCGTTGCTTAGGAAATCTGTTTTTGAAAGACCTTATATTAGGTCTTTTCCTATTTGATCCATCCATAAGCCATATTTATGTCATTAAACCACATACCCAATTGGATTTGGTTACAATGATAGTGTCACAAAGTTAATTCAGAATAAGGACATAAAGCAGTCTCCTCACGCTGAATGGTTGCTGAAGAAAAATAAGTAAAGCTGTTTTCACTCTTGTTCTTGGTTCCACTCCACAGAAATTACTATGAAGGAACACAGGAGCAAAAATATGTTCACACAAACCTCTTTTCATGTTTTTGGCTCAAGTCTAAAAAAAGAAACGTTTAGGATTCCATAGAATCTGCATTTGTGGGCATCAAAGTATCTGATGCCATATACTGCAGCTTGTTTTGTCTTTCTAGTATTGTTTTTTTTTACTCTACCTCTTTTCCTTTGCCTGGCTTTAGTAGACACTTGTTGCTGCTGTGCCATGAAAAAAATAGTTACATTTGTCCTGTTAGTCAAAAATGCTTCTAAAACTTCTAGGTGAATAGGACTTTGTGCTTGACAACTTTGTGGAGCTTTTGGGAAAACAGCTTGCCACCAGGCAGGCAAAATCATTTTCAGATTTTATTGGACTTGCATACTTGTGATAGAAAATCAATGAAGGTACGGAGGGGTTGCCAAAGCAATTGACTTTCTAATAAGTGTACCAGTGCTATTTGTAATTGCCTACAGGTGGGTGTTCCATCTTGCCACCTCAAGAAGTAGTTGTAAGGAGGATCAAAAAAAGGTGCCACCTAGGATAAGGTATAGATGGCATCAGCTGTTTTTAGAATGTTCTGGCCAAAAAGAAGAGGAATGCATGTGCTACAATATAATTCCCAATGTAAAACTCTTCATTATCATTATTTTGTTTTGTGGGGAGAAAATCAGTTTGTTTGGTTTTTTTAAAAAAGAGGAGCTTTCTCTCTTTGGACTTTTATAATAAAAGAATTAATGAAACACCTTGGCTTCCAGAAATAAAGGCCTGAACATAAATGGTTTATTATTTCTTTAGGGTGAAACAGACATTTTCCCAAGGCCATGTAATGTCCTAGAATTGATGAAGAAGTGGAATAATGACATCAACACAGACAACAGAGAAGTAGACCTTCTGGAAGTTGAACTGAATGGCGCATCATCAACTTCACAACAAGAAATCCGTGAAGAGCATGATAGACTTACTAGCAGCAATGGCAACTTAGAGGCCAGTATAGAAACAGAAACAGAGAGTGGGAGCAGCAAATCCTCCACGCCGACAAAACAAGTAAAAGTTTACCTGGTATTTCTAAGATTAAATCAATCTTAGGGGTGGGGCACCTCAGTCCTAGGAACCAAAAGTGTCTCTCTAGGAATCTCTGTCTGGCCCAGACTCTCCCTGGGCCACACCTGCTGCTGGACCAGTTTTGCAGCCTCCTTGAGTGTTTTGGTTTGGCTGGAATGTGTCTTCAAACTCTGATAAATGCTTCTTGCTTTCCCTGATGAAAATAGAGAGGGTGTGTAAATTTTGTATGGAAACTCACCTAATGTACACAGGTAAAATTCACATTTGCTCCTGTGCATACTTTTGCCTCTGGCCCTGCCTCTCATTGGTGTGTAGCCCTCAGAAGTTTGCACAGCGGGGCAGCCATCAGGCTGAAATTACTACTACTACTACTACTACTACTACACCCTGTCCATCTGACTGGGTTGCCCACCCCTGAACTAGATAATAGCATAGAGCAGTGCTGGTAAAGGCAAGGTTTGTGTTAAGGAGAATCAAAGTTTATGAATCGTAGTTACCTTTTACAGAACTTTTACAGTTACTTTTTTATAGAACAACATGTATTCTTTTTCAGACTCATAAGAAAAAAAACCACAGCAACACTTTACCAAATGGGACATTGCGGAAGAAAAGTTCATATAACAAGTCAGCTTCCAACGTAAGCATATTTATAAAATCAGCCGCTCTCTCTTAACTGAAGGGTCATTTCAGCTATGTGTTGGCTGCCATATAAGTACTTTAGATGCTTTTGTAGTTGGTATTGTGCTTGCAGCAGGCTGGGATCACATTTTAAATGTGCCTCTAAGTAGATGGTCTACATGTCATTGCCCTGAGTCCCACGATAAGAAAAGGGAATTGGGGCACTTGCATGTAGAGCTCCCATTAGTGGATGCTGGTTGATACCTAGGTGTCTAGGAGCAAGCATAGTGGCAGTCTCACGCAGTCCCAGCATCTTAACCAACAGCATACCAAGAGGCTAAATAAAACTGCTCTGAATCATTTAGAGGATTTGATTCTGACGAAGCAGATTCTCTTGTAATTTATAGAGGTTGGTTTAGTTAGGTAGCTTCCATATATCAACTTGTGTGATTTATAGTCTTTTTTTTATTGGTAACTGCTTTCTCATTGTTCTTGGTGTGTAAACTTGGTGCAGAAGTTTTCATTACTCTAGCCTTCAAAACCTTCCTTGCTTCAGTCTTTGTGGTGCCGTAGTTCTTGCCACTACAGAAATACTTTGCAAAGTAGATGGCGTTCATTTCAGTCCTATAGATGATGTCATCAGGAAGGGAAGTCTGCTAGCGTGGGCAAAGATGTGATAAAGCTATCAATGTTTCCAACATTTAGGGTTTCTTAGTTCAGGGGGAAAAGGCAAGTATGCGGGGGACATGATAGAGGTAAATAGAATTATGCATTGTGTGGAGAAGGTGGGTAGGGAATTTTTCTGCCTCTCTCATAATACAAAAACTCAAGACCACCCAGTGAAGCTGAACATTGGAAGATTCAGGACAGACAAAAGAAAGTACTTCTTCACACAGTGCATAGTTAAACTAAGGAATTCATTCCCAGGAGAGGTAGTTGCAGCCATCAGTTTGGATGGCTTTAAAAGACTGGACAAGTTAATGAAGGATAGGGCTATTGGTGGCTACTACCCATGATGGTTGTATTCTGCTTCCAGTGTTGGAGGCAGTGTGCTTCTGAATTCCAGTTGCTGAGGTTTAAAAAGATACGGAGAGTGCTGTCACATTCTGGTCCTGTTTGTGGGCTTTCCATAGACATTTGGTTAGTCAGTGTGAGAACAGGGAGTTGGAATAGATGGGCCCAATAGAATTGTAGAGTTGGAAGGGACACAAGAGTCATCTAGTCCAGCCCCCTGCAATGCAGGAATCTTTTGTCCAACGTGGGGCTCAAACTCAAGACCCTGAGGTTAAGAGTCTCAAACTGCTTTGGTGATGCAATATTGCATAGTTCCTTCTGTCTGGGACTGGAGTGTGATGGAATACAAAGTCAGGGTCTGTTGCAGCTTGTTCTGTTATTCTATTACTGTTCCTTTACCTCTTTTCCTTTACCTTTCTTTAGTAGACACTCATTGCTGCTGTGCTCTTCCTGGTACGTTTTGAGCATCTGAGAGCTTTTTGGCCTATTGGTTTTTAGCTTACAGAATATGGTTCTGCTGAGTAGTTAGACGAGGATTCTTCCTACTCCTAACACCATGTATTAATAAGAATGCTGTCAAATCTGATTTGCTTTATTGCAACGTAGCTCCAGTCAAAGTTGTCCTTTCCTAATGACATTGTATAACTGATCAGAAATCAGAAATTTCTACTACAATTTGAACAGGCATCATCACATGACTGTTTCTTCCTCCCATTAATAAATGTGATATCAAATGTACCCTGTGTTAATTTGTGTTTTTGGTGTTGTTTGTTTTTAAGATTCAGAGTGGTGGAAGTGGGTCGGTCTCTCCAGGATCAGTTGTGAAACGGATGCAGGATAGCCAAGAGAAGAAAACTGAAATGGAAAAGTCTTCCTTTTCTCCGAGTCATGGGTCTCCAAGCAAAAGTTCACAAAAATCAACTACCCTTAGTGGCCTACTCAAAACGAAAAAGAAATCTTAGGGGGTATCCATCAACTCAAAACGAAGTTCTTACGAAGTAACTAGTGCCAATGCCAAAATGTGGCAGCTTTATAAAAAGGACCAATGTAGCCTGAACTCTTTTGCCTTTTTTTGTTGTTCTGAGATCTATAATCATCAAGAGAGCTCTAGCTTCACAGTAGTGCTGATAAAAGTTCTGAAGCAGTGTGAATTCCTAACCTATGTGAGGGCATCCACTGGTCGTATTACTTTCAGAGCAAGAGCACAGAATTGTGTTAAAAACCGGTCTTTTATTTATTGTATTGTTCAGGCAAACGACTGGTTTCTTTCAATCTACTTTCTATGTTTTTCCTAAATTTGCTTTGTATTGTCACAAACATTTGTTGCGTAGGGGAATAAGGAGCCAAAATATGTAATGGCTCGGTGGTATGTATGTATGTAGATTGTGTTTATAACCCTGTAGGCATTATAATCTGTGTACCAAGGTCAATGGATTTTGTTTCTGATATTTTTATGGCACTTTAGTTTGTTTAGAAAACATACTTTAAACATTTTTAGGTATTATGAAAATTGCTGAGGTTCATATTGCTGCTAAAACTCTTCTGTGTTCAAATAAAACAGATCTTAGAAAAATATTTTTCACATGCTAGTTAATCTTCATTTTTGAAAGGATGGATTGTGCCGCAGAAGAATCATATTTTTGTAATATGATTCTTTTCTTTTAAAGATAAAGCTCTTTTTGCTTAAAGTTTTTCATTAGATTATTCTTGAATGCTTAAACTTGACACATTTTGCACTGTGCATTATTCAGACTGTCAGGCTAAATATTTGTGTAGTGGTCTCATCCATATGCTTAAGAACATTTGGTTCTTTTCAAACTTTTGTGGAAAATTTAGTGTAGGTCTTCCTATGATTGCAAGCAACTGTGGGTCCTCAGTTTATGCAGAAATACCAGGTACTTCAGTGAAGCCTGTGAATGAAGCAGATTTCATTCAAGATGATTATGCAGGGCAGTGCCAAGGGCCCAGTTCCATGTAAGCTGCAGGTTCCCCAGAGGTTCCTAGTTCCTGGTACCTGCAAGTGACTTAATGTGGGCACGCTGCCACTCAGACTTTTCAAGCCAATGATGGCATTTTAGATGTTCACAATATCATTTTGGATTTAATTTGTATGACTTGATAAATAATTCGATATGTCCAGATAGATAGTTGGATACATCCAAACTTTCCCCAAATATGCATGGGTGATAAGGAGGTTGCCTCTTTCTACTTCAGATCTTGATGTCTTACCTTTACTTCATGGGAAGAATTTAATATTTTACTATTAATGTGTAATAGTAAAGTTACGAATGTTATAACCATTTACATTAAAGTACTTCTCTTAATTTAGCTGGTCTTAAAGACTAACCCCCCACCCCCCAAAAAAAATAAATTCAGGCTATTTTCAGCAAAACCTTGTCCCAGATACTGGATCTGACAGCCTCTCTGGTTTGATATGAAATGGTCAGAGTATCTTAAAAAGTCGAACTAGCTTTCTGAGTCTCCTGACAGAGGTGCAATAGGTCCCTTTTGTTCTAAAAGACCAGATCTAGTTGGCTATTAGCTCTTGGCACCAGTTATTTTCCTTTAGTCAGATAATTGCTTGTAGGCTATGCCAGGACATGCTCTATTAGAGCTGCAAAGGCATCATTAGCCAGCCTCGGGTCAATCCTACCTGATCGCAGGACTGGCTTAGTTGCAAACTGACTATGTAGCGTTAAGGTCGATTCTATTTTGTGTTCAAATAAGTCCTTGACTATTGTAAATGGAATTTTAATGACTGGGGCTGACATATACTGTGCCCTTTGCTCTTTTGTACCCTGGACCCAGGGACATATAGAATTTTAAATAAAAGAAAATATGTCAGTCACGTTACCTCACAACTGGGAGGACTTGTTTATGTACTTATTTAAATACATAACTTTTGCTTTGTTATGATGAAACTTTGGGTAGCCAGTGCACTGCTTTTATAGTGGCTAGTATCTAGGTTTTGAAGTTGGAAAATCCAGGGCCAAATCGCCATTTACCTTGAAGCTTAATGGAGCATCTCTTAGTGCTGCTGTGAAATTATGGGAGGAAGGATGGGGTAGGGATGCAAAAGTTAACACCACACCACCATATACTCAAGAAGCTTTGCCCCCTTAAAAGTATCTAAACCTTAGAGCGCTTTATATTAAAATGACAGCTTGCCTATGCTAATGCTTGTATAGTTTGTAGTCAGTTGCACCACTGGGAAAACTGGAGGAAAGTACCCAATCTGACAAGGCCTTAATCAACAGCAGTCTGATCCTTTAAAAATGCAATACTAGTTCATTTGTTCAGCCTATCTACATGAAAATTTGATAGATACAATCACCTTGAAGAATGTTTCAAATATTCATGTTGAGATACAACAGAGAACCTTTCTACTTATGTTTTAAAAAGGGGGCCTGTGAGCCATGCAAGTAGCTTTCACAAGTATTAGCTTTGTTACACTGTAGAATTTTACTAATGATGTATTGAACCTAGTTAGTGAAACAGCTGTGGCTGGCTTTTACAAATGTATTTATTTTGTAGAATGCATACTTCCTGCCCATGCTCAGTGCTACACAAGAAAGAAATGAGATACATGAAAATGCCAAGCTAAAACGACTGTTGACGATTCCCCCCCTCCCCCCAGAAATTCCTCAGAGTCAGTAGAAAATTATGTCTCAGGACTGAATTTGGTATATTCTGCACTGCTTCCTCGCATTGTATCATATCACATCAGTAGGTAAAACTGTACTTTATTAATATATGGTTTAGATTCCATGCTGGGTGCACACTATCATTTATGAGTAGCAGCAAGATATATGTGGAAATGTTCACATTATTCTTGCTCCACCAGGGTACAGTAGTAGTGTTGTTTCAATGTCATTTCTAAGAAGATTTAAGAATTACTCCATAATTTTGTTTTGCTTTGACTCTATCTGCATATCATACTTGTACTGGTGAAAACATAATTTGGAAGGGATGCAGAGTAGTTGTGTATATTGTGTGACTTGATATACAAGAGCTGCAGGGTTACATTCTACTCCTGTATTACATGCTACCATCCTAGGGACAGGCGCTATCCAATGTTTTCTTTAAGTTACAGCAGCTGTCGTTCAATTTAGATGGAGGAAATTTCATACAGTGCTTGTTTTCTTGCTCTGTGCGAGTTACATACTTAACAGATTCCTTCATACCCTGTCACTTAAATTGCATCCTTGGGATTTGGATAAGTAGTTACAGCTGCTTTTAACAAACAAATGGTATCAATTTGATCTGATTTACTTAGAACAATAGGGATATTCCAGGATTCAGAAGTGGGAAATAGCATTCTGAGTGTGGGCATTGCAGCCGTGCAGATAGAAAGACCAGGAAAAAAATTTCATGGATGAGGCTGTGGGGTGTGGGATGGTTGGGGATGATGAGACTTTTAGTACAGCAACATCTGGAGGGCCAAAAATTAACCAGTCCTGGTCTAGGATCTATATTTCTGGGAAAATGATATGTCTCCACTCCCCCCCCCCTTTCATCTTCAGAGAAGGCATTCTTTCTGCATTGTACTTGCATTGCCTCCTATAGTAACAGGGAAATGAAGGGGAGATTCACATTAAAAGAGAGGAGGGGATTTTTGTTTCCCCCAAAGGTTCTTGAAATGGGGTATTGCTGTGGAAAAGGGAAGAACATTTTTTTAAAGGCTGCATAAGCTTGCATATGATACAGAAGAGAATTCATTTCACAGAAGAAGAAAAAAAAGAAAGCATTACCAAAACTGGATGGGCATCTGAGTAGAGGGGTATTGTGTCTTTTGGACATCATGAACCTGCTCACATTATATATGTACATTGCAGAAGTATCGGTTCCGATAACTGCCTTGGATTTGGGAGGAAGTGAAGTGAATTAATGTTTTGTGGCAGGCATCAGGAGTTCCTCAGTAGGCAAATGAGGTAGAAAACATTGAAGCTGTCTTACAACAAAAGAGCTACAAGTCAATATTGGTTTTCCTGAAACAGAAGTAATCTATTCTAGCTTTTATTGGTGAACTCTCACCATTTGCTCTCACCAATATAACTGTTTATAGGGCTATCATTCTCTTACTTAACCCATTCTTTTACTAACACAGGGATAACCATATCCTCCTCTATGTCTCAAGTTGTTTCTGTTGCTAGGGATGCTTATGGCCAGGTTAGGCTGGTTCACTAGCTATGTCTGGAGCAGGATAGCCTGTCCTCTGCTCTGGTGACCTACTACCTGGGCTACTGTAATGTGCTCTATGTGAGGCCTTCCTTGAAGATGGGTTGGAGGCTGCAGCTAGTGCAGAATGTGGTTGCACTGGCCGCTAATGAACTACTGTGCCCAATTCAAGAAGTCAGTACTTGTGTACAAAGTCCTAATTGGCTTGGGGCCCAAATACCTAAAAGAGTGTCTTCCTCAATATCAGCTGGGAGATTATGTTGGTGGTGCCATTGCTGGATGCTCCCTGGTTGGCACTGACCCACGGCAGGGCTTTCTCGATGACCCTTCCCTGTTTGTGGAATGCCCACCGTGGCATGATGCATCTGTGTTCCTCATTATTAACTTTCAGGACAACTTTGATGACAGATAATGCTTCCTTGCAACTTTAAAATTATCAACTCCAAAAGCATGTAACTCCTTTGCATATTTTTAGATGTGTTTTTTTTAAGGTTTGAAACATTTACATTATTATTTTTTTAGTTGTTTGTATTTATCATTTGATCTATGACTTTGGTGTTTGCTAGCCTGGGCTCCTTTGAGAAGCAAAGTGGGACAGAAAGTTAATAAATAAATTTTATAGGTCAATTTGTTTTAACTGAAACTGATTTGTATGATACCATGGATTTGCCTAGCTTGTTAAAATTATAACATCTAAATATTCTGTGTGCCCATATGAGTTTAAAATCTACTGCTCAGTTATTTCCACAGTAGTTTCCTTACTGGCTCCATCAAATTCAGGACATTCAATGATAATTTAAATATACATTTTTTTCCAGTTTGAAGTGCTGTTCCACAGCTAAATCTAATGATTTATATGTTCATGTTTGATGGATGAAATAGTATCCACCCTTATTTTTACTGGAAGTTTCTGCAAAGGTCTAAGGGATTGTTTATATCAACATAGGTTTGGCTGTGTTGGCACCAGATATATTTCACAATTGTCCATGTCTGAGTGCCCTTGCCTTTCTGCTCTGTATGTCCATTGAATAAAAAATAAAGTCAGTCAGGAGAAGTTCAAGGCTGCATTTGTTTCTCATCTCCTTCTGTCTCATCTATCTGCATTAAACACTTTTAGACTATATAAAATGAAGTTGAGAGTTAGCCATAGTCTCTGACTACAATTCTTTAAAGCTAATCCTTGGAACCTGGACACCATGGTCAAAAGTTTCTTGGAAAGAGCAAATAACTCAAGAGCAAACCAGCAGGTAATGAAGCAAGATGTGTCTTAGGGGATGTCATCTGTTTGCTGGTAAAGAAGGATAGTCCTATGTAGCAAGAACAGCACTCAATATCTGCCTTACCTCTTGTTGCCCCTTTCCTGATCAAAAAGCACTTCTATTTTAAGAAAAAGCTTTCATGCATGTCATGCGTAGATTGCATCCCCTGACAATTGCACATGCATGTTTTGCCGCCTCCATATATAATATATATGCAGCAGCCGTTAGTAAGGCAGTTCTGCTGCAGGACACTGATGGCGACAGGAAGAGGAAGGCCTTGCAAGGTGGTAATGGAGGCATGGGACAGTTACATCAAATCCATGCACTGATGGGCCATAATGCCAGTGGCCCATACTGCGCACTGCCAGCCACTCAGCAGCTGCATACTTGTGCCTGCGTGGTGCTGAACAGAACCATTCCCAGGTCTCCACTGCTGCCTTATGACATCCTCTGCTAAGAGCATCAGGTAATTTATCCTTCTATATTACTGCTAAGCATGGAATTACCTTCCGTCAAACTGCCTCAACAAGCCACCACTGTGTATACTGTATGTGCTGGGAAGCTGAGACCAGTTGTAGCTTCCTGGCTTGTATACATTCAGCAAACCACCCACGTGTTCTCATTCCATGCAGTTCCATTCTTTCCCTTTTATTTTTCCTCCCATTGTAGTGTTTTCCATTTAGGAAAACAGAAATAGCCACGGTTATGGAAATGTTTCTAGCCAGCAAAGAGCTGTTTTTGACAAATAGAGCTAACTGTCACATGCTCAAAATGTCAAAGTGTCTCTCGACCACTGCCTCCAACTCCAAGAAATAAGGATTCTCATTCTTTTTGTAAGGATTGGCTCCCGACATCTCCACTGCTAACAGGAATTTATTTATTACTTAGTGAGACAAAACAATTAATACCCCTTATCAATGGTTTGTACTTAGACTGTTGTGTCCAAGAGTCTCTGAGCCAAATTATAAGTCATTTTGGCATGGCAATGTTGAGTCCAGTTGCTACCTAACCAGAAAATTTTGAATTTGTTGTTGTTGTTTAGTCGTTTAGTCGTGTCCGACTCTTTGTGACCCCATGGACCAGAGCACGCCAGGCACTCCTGTCTTCCACTGCCTCCCGCAGTTTGGTCAGACTCATGTTTGTAGCTTCGAGAACACTGTCTAACCATCTCGTCCTCTGTCGCCCCCTTCTTCTTGTGCCCTCCATCTTTCCCAACATCAGGGTCTTTTCCAGGGAGTCTTCTCTTCTCATGAGGTGGCCAAAGTATTGGAGTCTCAGCTTCACGATCTGTCCTTCCAGTGAGCACTCAGGGCTGATTTCCTTAAGAATGGATACGTTTGATCTTCTTGCAGTCCATGGGACCCTCAAGAGTCTCCTCCAGCACCATAATTCAAAAGCATCAATTCTTCAGCGATCAGCCTTCTTTAAGGTCCAGCTCTCACTTCCATACATCACTACTGGGAAAACCATGGCTTTAATGTTGAATTGTCACTGGGGATTTCGATTTTGAGCTGTACTGGACTCCCAGCACAGAAGTTCCTCAAAAACATTTGACATGAAGTTTTCCCTATCTGTAGCAATAACTTTGTATCTGCTGTGTGGCATGGTCTGTGCACTGAACGAAGACAACTCGGATACAAAAACTGGACAGAACACCTTATCAAAGGTCATGTTTATTAAATTCCCATTTACTCTTTTTTCTTTCTAAAATATACATTGACCTTCATGATGGTTTCTTTCTTTCAGGATCTGTGATATAAATATGCTCTTTGGAAAATACATTTCTACTAGTTCCCCCCTTCCCTGTTAAAATTCCATTAAAAAGTACCACATGCCGTGCAAAATGTATTTGAATAAATATCCCAGACTCCTATATAATAGAACAGAAGCTTAATGAAAATGTTTGCTGGAAAAGCATTTATCTTGCATGTTGATGCTATGAAATAGCACAGCTTATCTGTATTGTTTGTAATCTGCTAAAGGACTAGAAAAGCAGTGTGCAAAACCTCAAGGCCTCCTAAGCTTGGAGTCCATTGATAACTTTTTTTTTAAAGCGGCTTTTCTTTTATATATCTGGTTTGCTAATTAATCATAATAAAGAGATATGAGCAAATTAGTCCCAAACTAAATTATAGTCCTATCCCTCTAATGTAGGGAATGCATCAGGGATGTAGTTGAAGGTTCTCAGCACTGGAACTGTTTTGAAGAAAAAAGAAGAAGGAGCACATAGCTCTTCACAATCAAAGAAAAAGAAGAGATGTGCAGGTGAGGGATGGAAAGCAAACCCTGTAGCACAAGGTTGCTTCTCTTTGATATGATCGATGGGGGGAAAATGGGCTTCTGTATGACTAGAGTAAAGAAAGGTCAGGATGAGCCTTTTCAAAGCGACAAAAAGACTTTAATCTTTTCCTTCCTTACCTTTTTAGTGAATGTTAGTACATCTTAAAGGTGCCTAATTGATGTCTCTGGTACACCAGAAGTCCTTTGTTTGTTATTGTAACTTCCAGATTTGGCTGCTGCAGTGGGCTGTGCATCGGGCTAACTTTAAGCCAGTGCCAGAGCACCTTTGCTCAGGGTTTGCCATTGGCTTCCAGGTAGAGGTAGAGATATTTCTAGGAGCAGCTCAAGGTGCTGACTATGACAAGTGCCCTAGTTTCTTTCACTTGCTTTGTGCCTTAATAGGAGTTAAATTTGGCTGAGGTGATAATAGCCCCAATCTTCTTCTTCTTCTTTGGCGATCACTTGCAGCCGAGTAAGATTGTCTTCCATAAACACGGTTTTAACAATGAGTCCATAAGTGACTGTGGAGGCCAATTCTGGACCCACATGTCCTGCCACAGAGGGGACATTGGTTCCCGGGCGGGAGTTGATCACGGTGTGGATTTGCCAAGCATGCCTTCCTCTTAGCACGTTTCTCCCTTGTGTTCTGAGTTCGAGTGTCTTCATGACACCTTTGGTAAAGGCTGTTCTCCAACAGGAGTGCTCGCAGGCTAGTGTTTCCCAGTTGTGGGTGTTTAGACTACATTTTTAAAGATTTGCCTTGAGACAGTCTTTAAACCTCTTTTGTTGACCACCAATAGCCCCAATATTATATATCCTTCATATATAATGCATGGAAAGCATTGACCTGAATGGAATATTGCAGATCAGGGTCTTGATTTTGGAAAGGTAGGGGCACATCTTTATAGCTTATATTTCTATGGTTGTATTCTTTGGTTTGCATTTCAATTATCATTTGACACACATTTCTCAAGGTGTGCTGAGCATGCCTAGTATAAATCAAGATGGCAGCAGCCCAGGAATTGGCACCATTTTAAACAGTCCAGAAAAGGGTGATTCAGGGACATAAGATTTAATTTGACAATCTAATCATATGAAAATAAGCTTGTCATCAGCAGGCGATTGTGTTTAAAAATGCTGAAAGGAGAGCAAGGCATGCAATGCACAGTTCTTTAAAGTTATTTACATAGGAACTTCTAAAGGAATGTCCAACATATCAAGAGGATAAATAGGCAAGGGTGCTTCAGAGTAACAGCGATATTGTCTGGGTGGATTGCTTCAGAATAGAGTCCTCTGTGACACCATGCTTTTTAACCTTAAACCAGACTTGCACAACTTCTGGCCTACTAAGCTAAACACTTATGCATTGTTGGCTACTAGTTGCTGGATGGTTCCCCTGCATTTTGTAGTCACAGGCAGGCAACAAAAATAGGTTTTCTAAATCAAGCCTCTGACAGCTGATAGCCTGCATTTATTCAGTACTGCTCTAACTCCTTTTTTGCCTGTCCCCCCCCCCACCTGTGATGTAAGTGCTCCCTTAGCTGGGGAGATGCGGTTGAGCTTTATACATCTTGACTTGGAATATGAACCTCACAGACTCGTAATGCTCACATTAATTGCAACATGAGCATTATGTGAGTTCATCCCTTTGGGTTTTTCTCTGACTTGGATTTCAATCCAAGACGGAGAAGAACTCAGTACCCTTCTTCCAGAAAAATGTATAGAATCTCAACAATGTAAGCCTTGTAAATCCCCACAAAGTAATTAAAACACAGAGCAGGAAACCTTAGAGTCCATTCCCCTCTCGAACCTGATCACTTCCCTTATAGTAGGCATGTCCATCAGGTCAATTGCAATCTACTGGTCAATCGCGGGGTGTTCCTGGTCGATTGTGTGATCCTGTTTGATCAACAACTTTGGTCAATCCAATGGGTAGATCACTGCCAGTTTGTTTTTATAGTGGGAGTAGATCACAGTCTCTTGGAAGTTGTGCATGCCTTCCTTATAGGATAGCCTAGCCTTTATAGGCATGTTCTAATCTCTGTATCTATTTCATGTGCTTACAGACATTTATCATGGATGCAATTCCCATTAACACTTAATTGATATATGTATATTGTCACACCACCTGTATCCTCCAAATTCCATTCTATTAAGGGGGTACATACTTCAAACAATTACTGAAGCAAAGGCTTGCTTTTTATCATTGTCTCGTCGTGCTTTATAAAAGATGCCATTGCTAACATTGCTTTATGCCCTATTCTTGTCTGTTTCAGTTTAGCATTTGTGAATTCAAAGTTCCTTGGATTACAGAGATATCAAATTTGACTTGCATTAGAAACATGGCAGGGAATATTATCCCATCCAAATTCTGAACAGAAAGTAGCATTTTGGGACTGAAAGACAGAAAACAGAACATTGCACATTGCATCTTACCATATGTGAGCATCTCTCCTGGGAACTGCTCCACAGCAATCTTAATTAACTTGTATTCAGTCCTGCTTAGGAGCTGAGGCCATTC